AGGAAACGCGCAAATTTACACATTACACATACAACGTTAAATTTGAATAAGTTTTGTCGGTATACGTGGAAATTAATTAACGTTTTGTTTCGCGCTCTCTCTCTCTCTCTCGTTGCGATCTATAAATAATGTAAGGTGTTAACGTTATCAACTCGAACGCGCGAGGATGGAAGAAGAGAGGAAAGCGAAGTGGGAGAAACGCGCGCTCTCTCTCTCTCTCGAAATATTTCTGATAGAAATTGCTAACTTCGCCAACCGACAATAGGTTCTAAAGCGTTTTCGTGTTCGGTATTTCGCGCACGTGTAACAATGTAAAAGCGCTTTGGTGAAAATGAAATACGCCTGTACATCGGGGATACCCCGAAAGTGCACGCATCCATCCGGCACGTTAGTGCATGCATATGGAAATGCACTTCCATACACTCACACGCCTGTGTGCGTTCTCTCTCTCTCGCGCGCGCGCGCGCGCGCGCGCACACGCACGCGTGTGTATATTACCGCATTAGCGCGGTCAATCGCCACGATAAAATCAAGCGCGCTAATCAGAAATGCAGATTCAATTAGCAGAAGACGCACACGCGAGAATTTACATGAAACAAACGCGGCGGCGCTGCCGCCGATTCAAACTTTGGATCGAATCGATTTCTCTTCGAGAATGGATGCAAACAAAAAAAAAAAAAAAAAAGAAATTGCATTTAGTTTCCAGGTAGCGTGAGAAGTGAGGAGAACACCGGCAGCAAGCGATGTGCGACAATTCTTGTGCGGTGAGATAAATGCAAGAGGTAAAATTAAAAAAAATTGAACATGCACGCGGGACACTTTTTCATTTTTTGTCAAAGTTGAAAAATTCTCTTTGTGAAAAATTGCATTTATGCCGTTATGAGCGCGGGCGTGACAACTTAATCGTAGGACAAAGCGAGTTCTCGGGTTTCGAAAAGGGTACTTATACCCGACGAGCCGCGGACACGCGTGCAATTACGCGCCGGTTTCCACGGCGCGATTTATCGCCCGTACGTTTTGCTAAAGCAAACAAGGCCGCCGCTGTGCGCGCCGCGTGCGCGCGCGCGCACGCCGAGTTACAAAACTGATTAGCATACGTAATGGGCGGCGGAATCGTTGAAAAATGGGTCAGACGTGTAAAAATTGGAAAAAAATCCAGGCGGGATCAATTTGCAGACTCTACCCGGGAATGCGCAAATTGCCGCGCTTGCCACGTTTGCTGGCTGGCTACGGATCCGCGCGGCCTGTTACTGCGGGGCACGTTTTATCCACCCGATCGCGCCACAAACATTTTCGAGCCGGGTATGCGTTCTGTTGATTCTGTAATTCGGTTCCGATGAAAAATGCCGGATTAACGGACGATGCGAGTGTATAGATCAAAAATAAACACCAACAATCACGTTAACTTCTGTGAGAGCACGGGGAAGTTTCCCGAGGAATTGCACCCGATCGCGCGAATCAACGAGAAAAAGCGAGAGAGGGAAAAACAAAAATGAAGTTACGAAGTTATACATCGTCGTCGATAATCTTCTGTAATTTGCGATCGCAAAAGGCGGATTTTACATTACAAGTCGACGTAACGATTTCTCGATCTCTGACCATCGCACGATACCGTTGATTGTCTCGTTGCAAATTGTCAAGTAGATTTGACGCCGAGACTTTCCACGAGAAGAGATTTAACAAAATTTATAAAAAACAAAAAAAAATAACAATATAAAATAATTTTTTGTCGAACCGAATTCTTTTCATTCCTACTCGTGTGTCGCGAATATTTTAGCAAACGATTCTCTCTTCATTTCCTCCCGATCGCGCTCCTCGGACAGGATTTTTCCCGAAACAGTTTTTCGATTTCTTCGGTCGAATGAACACGAAGGGAAAAACAAAACATACACGTGTGTCTTCCGCACATGTTGTTATTTCGATGAGCTTTAAGAAAAAGAGATCGATCGGAGCGAGAGAACAACGCGAGGCGACGACGCTTTGAGCGTGGGGCAACTCGATACCGATAAGAGTTCAACCTTGTACGATAGCAGAGAGACTCGCCTCCTCCCCTTCACCCCTGAAGCAAAATTTGGACGCGGACACAGTTCTCGTTCAATAGCGAGTCGATTCCATTGAAATGCACAAGTGTAACGTGAGAAAACGAATCCGAGACGATCGGGAAGATGGGAAATCTAGTTTTCCCGAAGCCGAAAACTAGGTCGGAAAAGTAAATCATATATTGCGAAATCTAACTTGTACAGAGTGTATATTGTATATATATATATATATATATATATATGTATCGTGTGTCTCACGTGAAATTGCTTACGTGAGTACACAAGTCGAACGAGATTATGACGAGACATTTCCTTATTTTATCTTAATTATATCTGTATTTTACGTTAATTTCGTAGATGTAATAATGATAATAAAAAAAAATTCGCGATGAAGAAGTAAAGCGCTTTCCAAAGAAAGCGAGAGAGGTAAGAAGACTCCGCGTCTCAATTGAAGGAAGAACTGTAAAGTAATTAGGAGAACCGTAATGACAAAGACACGAAGAGAGCGCGAGAGGGAAAATCGATAATATATATATATATATATATAAAGGTATCTTGTAATAACAGGGTCTTTGACGAATTTGGAGACTAATTTTCTCCTTAACTGTAATGCCAAGATAGTTTTCGCCTCGACAAAACGAAAACGGGGCTCGGAGTCCGCCGCGGGTCTTCTTGTTTGCCCGAAAGTCATCATATCTCTCTCTCTCTGTCTCTCTCTTTCTTTTTCTCTCATTTCTCTCTTTCTTCGCGACTTATCTCAGTCCCGAAATAACGGATCTCATTTTCCCGGAATGCCGGAATATTCCGGAAAAGCCGCGCGGGAAAATTTAATAAATCCTCCTCGTCCCAATTCTATCGGATCGCCGCGGAGAGTCCGACGTTGAAGTCGGGTCCCGTGCGATCTCTTACTCGACGCCTCTCGCCGTCGACCCTCCGTCCGTTAATAGCGACAAGTTACTTGGTCAGACCCTTGCAATGTTTCTATATTTAGCTCACGGTTGAACCACTAGAGAGAAACGGCGGGAAAGCACAAAAGAAAGCGAGCGAGAGCGACGCGACGCGACGCCGACGCCGACAGAGAGAGAGAGAGAGAGCTAAAAAGGGCCAGAAAGGATCGTTGTCGTTGAGAGAAAGAGAGAGAGATGATATCTCGACGTCGAAAGAAATCGGATTACGTTTCCTACGGGGACGTGAATTTCTGGTTCTTGCAACTGCGCCGCAGAAATGACATTGTGAGAAAATAGGCCCACAATGAATCGTCGTCGTCCCAATACTTACGTTTAACGAGAAGAAACTCTTTGATCATTCCTGGGATGCTTCGTTCTCTCTTCGATTCGCAGAAATATTGTACCGAAATCGTCGCCAACAGCTTCGAGAAAATTGATAAAACACAGACGGAGACGCGGAAATGCGAGAGAGAAAATTTTCTTAAATTAAATAGATCGAGCGAAAGTTGATAATAAAATTTTGCTCCGCGCACATTGATTTTTTTTTTTTTTTTAAGTGGACTTTAATTCACTGGAAATTTAACTCGTTGACTTTTAATTGAAAAAAACGTCAATATTAGAACTTTGCGAGAAATGTCGACGCCTTTCTCTCTCTCTCTCTCTCTCTCTCTCTCTCTCTATTTCTCTTTCTCTCGGTATTTCTGACTCTCAGTATTAAAACAGACACGTGAAATTAATTGACAAAGTGTTGGATGAGTACTGGTGTATTTTGGAATACATTATATATGGAATATATGCGCAATGCAGATTTATACATGCTCGTAGTTCTCGTTCTTCAGACTTTAGATGAAAGCGCGCGCAGGCAATAGCGAGGGTCCGTGCGCTTCACGTATAGTCGCGCGTTATACAGTTAGTTAAATTGTATGCAACGAAAAGACTGCAACTTCGTGAACACACAACGAGAGTTAGATACCGACGCTATGGGGAGGCGGAGCGCGTTTAACGTTCATGGAATATATTTTTGTTCCTATTTTCGAAGTTTAATTTCTGCACGGACTTTCGCCCCGGCAAAGGGGGTTTCGAAATAGAAACGCGCACATTCACTTCTCGCAAAGCTCAATAGTTTGTATTATGTTAAAGTGTTTGCTCTCGCGCGCGCATATGTTACATTTGATTTTTCGGACACGCGTGTAACATTTGCGCGAGCACGTTGCGCGTTTTTTCATCAAAATACACATCGTTAAAAACCTAAAACGTGCCGAAACAAAACGTTCGCCCCCGTTTTTCGCTTCAAACATTTTGTTCTCTCTATTATATTAAACGTTGACAAAATGTTTATAAACAAATGACGCAATTTCGTTGCATTTTTCCAATAAATCGTTTTTTTTTTTTTTTTTTTTTTGTCCTAAAATCACCAAATTACTTCAGAAGTATTTTTAATAATCCGTTCCCCGGTTGTGTTTGCAAAAAATTTTTTCGCGAAAAAGTCAGTTGAATTGTCATTAAGTAAGAGTGTTTTTGTTATAAGCGAGCCAATTTTCAGAATATTATACGTAACGAGTTTTTCACGCGACAAACAATACCGCAGCAAAACAAACTTGTTTGCGATTAGCCCGATTCACTTTTCCCGGCTTCGTTATTTCCATTGATAAGCTTATAAATAAAGAGCAGTGCAATACATCACAGCTGTGTCTCGTTTTTTTTTTTTCTTTTTTTTTGTTTTTTCGTACAACCCGTGATATCTCCTACATATTTATTTTGAAACGAGCATATATCTCTTATCATTTTTTAACAAGTTTCTATTGTTTCGCGCGGATCTGGATAAGTTTCGAAAACACACGCACGCTGTTTCTTTCGCAAAAAAAAATCGCAGAATATCTTTGATCTCCCGGATTAAGAGCCCGGGAATTTCTGCGCACAGCTGGACCGTAAATGCGTTAAGGGCTTTCTATTTATAGCTCCAATACACAGAGGACCGCGCTCTTATCTGTGTGACCTTATCTCGTAGACTCACCTGCCATGGAGAGGAGTATCAAACAAACCGCCAAGCCGCTCATCTTCCGGATGGATCTGTTGTCTCGCACGAACACCCTTGCGCGCGTCAATCTCAGAATCGAAGAGATCCTTCAGTTTCTCGGTTCTTCACGCAGCAGTTCGCTGCTTCGTCAGTCTCCGAGTTAGCACCAAGATACGCGCGCGCGAAGGCTCTTTTCTTCAGATTACTATTTGTTTTGCTTTCCGAGTTTGCTTCACACACACACGCGCGCGCGAACCTTTAAGTGCAAACAGTAATATCTAGTCTCGTTGATTGAAAGCAATGTATGGAAAAACCTTCGAGTATAATTATTTTTATATGTCACGTAACAATAAATTTTTCAATTTTTCGAGAGAGGTGTAAGAAAAATTAGAAACTAGATTTTTGCGCCACCGCGTATTTTTCATGTTTCGATCAGTATCACGAGAACAAACACGTACGATGATAATTGTTATTCTCGCTCGATATTATTGCAACGCAAATTTGTGAATATATTTTAGAATTTATGTAACATCATAACGCGCGGCGCAATAAATTCACATTTTATTTACTTGCTGTTTATTTTTTCAAACAAACAAAAAAGTAATAACCATAATATTTAATATGCGCGTATATATCTATATTTTTTTTCGGAAAAAAACTATTTTACTCTAATATAAAACTAAAACCGCGTTTTAATTTAATATAAAAAATATCAAATGTAAATATGAAATTAAAACAAATAAAATAAAAATAAAAAAACGAGAGAGAGAGAGAGAGAAAAAAAAGTCAAACAACTTTGTCACACTTACTTTCTCGGGACTCTCTTGTTTCCTCGAAGTGGGAATAAATGCGACTTGTACTACTTGTGCTTCTTATCACGCGGCGGCGAAAGAAGAATCCCCGCGCTGTGGCGTTCAAGAGTAGCAAACGCGGGATGCTGCTGCGTCCAACGTGTGTGCGCCGCTCGGACGAAAACCTTGGACTGAACAAGACCGTATGTGTTCACTACCGCCTATTCCTGCGACTTTCTCACCCCTACCTAAAAGTACCAGACGTATGGAGAGACAGAGAGAAGTAGCTTAGCTTGGCTCTCCGAATAAACGTCTCCTTTCGCTCATATACACGCACATACGCAACGGACGCTCGTATACACGTGACATTACATTGTGTGTGTCAGATATAGGATCAAAAGCGGCGATCAAAAATTACGAACAAATTTTCAATAACGATATCATATCGGGAGAATGACTTCCGAGCTTTGTTTTAATTCGCAAAAGAACGTCCCAGAGTCAATATCAGGAAAATTCTTTATTGTAATTTTCGCCGATTCCTCACGATAGTTATTGCGTGCATTTTTATGTGTAGTTCTTTCTTTTCCCGCTTAAAAAACATTCAATGAATTAAGGTAATATGTTATCAGTGAATTTACACACGTTTGTGCGCTATCATCAAATTTTGCTGCGCGGCAGAAAAACATACACGCGTTTTTGCGTCTCCCAGAAGCGTGCAAATTTTATAATCAACTCGCTGCGCTCGTGCCGCGAACTCGATTAGTAATTGAAATGTAAATAATTGCGGTGAACGCACACCACCAATTACATGATCATCGCTTTTTTATCTCATCCGCGTAACGAAATTTAATTAGGAACTTTTTTCTCAATTTTGTGTTTCTTTTCAAACGTGTATATATATATATATATATATATATATATAAATACATATAATTTCTAATCGCATTATCAAATTCACTGACAGTACGTATGTTTTCTGCCGAGTCTTAATATAAATATAAAATGTTTTTTTCTAAAGTTCAATTGTTTTAAAAAATGAAATTTATATAATAAATTATTTAAATTCACACATTTAGAATCTACCTTATCAGCATCCATTGTTTTTTTCTTGCACACGTCAACGGTCAATCGAACGCGGTTACTTATTTAAATACTAATTAAATTTAACATCCCTTAACTTCTTTGTTTTTTTCATCAGCACTTATTTTCGGCGTAGCAAAATTGCAGGAAATACAATTTATACATGTGTGTGTACTGTATCTACATTTTGAAACGTGTTCCAACTCCACTCGCGCCATCTGGCGCAACGTTGGCGCGTCTCTTTTACATAGAAATTTGTCATTAAAACTCTCAAATGGTCATGAAAATCGTGGATAATTTGATCTTTTTTTTTTTCACTAGTTTTACAAATCTATGTTTGTGTCTATCTACAATAGTTTTCTCTTCTAACAATCCCGATACACAATAAAATTTGCAACACACACGATTATTGCAAAGAAATAGTACTGTATTTCTTTTACACATAGCAAGACCACTCATACAAATATAAAACAAAACTATGAATTTTTAAACGTTTTTATAAAAATTACACCAAACATTTTTAAAAGGAATTTGAAAGAATCAGGATATAGAGTATGTGGGATTGCTATTAAACTTCCTCTTTATTCACTGGTTACTCTCTTCTGTTATATATTACAATACTCTTTGTTAACAGGATAAAATTATCACAATCATTATTATTCGCAAAATATTTTTTGTACTAAATAAATATAAATTTCGTAGCGCCGAGAAGTGAGTACACTATATAAATTCTATTACTTCTATATAATACATGTTTATCTGTTTTGATAGAAGTAATTAAATTATCCTGCTGTATCCTAAAGATTTTGATATATACATCTCGTCAATAAACATTTTTTGTACTTAGTAGAAAATAAAACCATCGAGTTTATACGAAAGTAATAAAAAAGGAGAGAAGTATAAACGACATTTTATATCATCACGCATGTGTGTCGCTGAATTTTGAAAAAATCTCTACTACTTTCCACCACGAAGTCGCAGAACTAAATGCAGAGTGGATTCTTTCTGTATATTGTAGTCCGACAGTGTGCGTCCGTCCTCGAGCTGCTTTCCGGCGAAGATCAATCTCTGTTGGTCCGGAGGAATTCCTTCTTTATCCTGTATTTTGGCCTTGACGTTCTCAATAGTGTCAGACGCCTCGACTTCCAATGTGATTGTTTTGCCGGTGAGGGTTTTGACAAAGATCTGCATGCCACCACGTAGACGAAGTACCAAATGTAGAGTTGATTCTTTCTGGATGTTGTAGTCCGACAGTGTGCGTCCGTCCTCGAGCTGCTTTCCGGCGAAGATCAATCTCTGCTGATCCGGAGGAATTCCTTCTTTATCCTGTATTTTGGCTTTGACATTCTCGATGGTGTCCGACGCTTCGACCTCCAGAGTGATGGTTTTACCTGTGAGTGTCTTGACGAATATTTGCATACCTCCACGAAGCCTCAAGACTAAATGCAAAGTAGATTCCTTCTGGATGTTGTAGTCCGACAATGTGCGTCCGTCCTCGAGCTGCTTTCCGGCGAAGATCAATCTTTGCTGATCTGGAGGAATTCCTTCCTTATCCTGAATTTTGGCCTTAACGTTCTCAATTGTGTCGGACGCCTCGACTTCCANTGTGATTGTTTTNCCGGTNAGAGTTTTGACNAAGATCTGCATNCCNCCACGNANACGAAGAACCAAATGNANAGTNGATTCCTTTTGGATATTGTAGTCTGACAATGTGCGTCCGTCTTCGAGCTGTTTACCAGCAAAGATCAATCTTTGCTGATCTGGAGGAATTCCTTCCTTATCCTGAATTTTGGCCTTAACGTTCTCAATTGTGTCGGACGCCTCGACTTCCAATGTGATTGTTTTGCCGGTTAGAGTTTTGACAAAGATCTGCATGCCACCACGTAGACGAAGAACCAAATGTAAAGTAGATTCCTTTTGGATATTGTAGTCTGACAATGTGCGTCCGTCTTCGAGTTGTTTACCAGCAAAGATCAACCTCTGCTGATCTGGAGGAATTCCTTCTTTATCTTGGATTTTGGCCTTGACGTTTTCAATTGTGTCAGACGCCTCGACTTCCAATGTGATTGTTTTGCCGGTTAGAGTTTTGACAAAGATCTGCATGCCACCACGTAGACGAAGTACCAAATGTAGAGTTGATTCTTTCTGTATGTTGTAATCTGACAATGTGCGTCCGTCTTCGAGCTGTTTTCCAGCAAAGATCAACCTCTGCTGGTCTGGAGGAATTCCTTCTTTATCTTGGATTTTGGCCTTGACGTTTTCAATTGTGTCAGACGCCTCGACTTCCAGTGTGATTGTTTTGCCGGTGAGAGTTTTGACAAAGATCTGCATGCCACCACGTAGACGAAGTACCAAATGTAGAGTTGATTCTTTCTGGATATTGTAGTCTGACAATGTGCGTCCGTCTTCGAGCTGTTTTCCAGCAAAGATCAACCTCTGCTGGTCTGGAGGAATTCCTTCCTTATCCTGAATTTTGGCTTTGACGTTTTCAATGGTATCGGACGCTTCGACTTCCAAGGTAATGGTTTTGCCGGTTAGAGTTTTGACAAAGATTTGCATGCCACCACGTAGACGAAGAACCAAATGCAAAGTGGATTCCTTCTGGATGTTGTAATCTGACAATGTGCGTCCGTCTTCGAGCTGTTTTCCAGCAAAGATCAATCTCTGCTGGTCTGGTGGAATTCCTTCCTTATCTTGGATTTTAGCCTTGACGTTCTCAATCGTATCAGACGCCTCTACTTCCAAGGTAATGGTCTTGCCAGTAAGTGTCTTTACAAAAATCTGCATGGTGCTCTATAATAAAACAATTCAGAATATATAGTAGAATAAAACAAATATTTGAGTATTTTATCTTAATTAAATAACTTGGTAATTTCAAACACAAATATAATCTATTAAATCGAGTTATTAAATTTGAAACGAGGAAGATACGTATTATAATCATTGTGTGTTTGTAAGTCACATCGTGTGCAAATATTATTAAATTCTCTATTTTACAAAATCTCACAAAAATACATGTAAACTGTTTGAGCCACATTTGGAATTGTGAAAAAGCAATCAAATTTACTATTTTTACCTAGATATTTGTTAAATTTTAGCCGAATAGATATCGAATGAAAATTATTACGCGTGTGAAATAAAAAGTCCAGTTGCGCTAGCGTGACGAAGACGGGATAGCTGCCATTTTGTTTCAGGCAGCGTTCAACTGCGCAGTTTATATTCGACGAGTCATATCCGTAGAAAGCGGTCAACTTACGTATTTAGTAATAAATTACTTTTTCTTCTCAATTTAGTTTGATTACTTTTTCTTAAAATACTTTCAGCATGAGCCAATTTTTGTTTGTGTTGACTGTCGAGACACATCGATCGAAGTAACTTCACAATGGAGCGATATTGTCTCGCCTAGCAACAACCTCATGTAACGATTTCAACGTATAGATATATATATATATATTACATAGGCACATTTCTCATAACGAAAAAATCAATATAAAAAAGAACACGAATCAAACACACGCAATCTTTGCGACTAGTAAATTAAGCATATTGACGCCTATTACTGAACAATAAAAATATTAAATCCACACCTTCACGAATATTTCAGCTTGGATCATTTTATTTAAAATGGTCTAGAACCTGAATATTTAGCGCGTACATACCTTTTTATGTCGTAGCTTCTCGCTGAGATTATCTAACGCAAGACTCGTAGGACAACGAAGTTCACTTCTGAGATAGGTAACGTAGCGTATCACTGCTGAACGATCATAGAACTTGGACCGTTCCAAACCCCTCTTTTATACCCTCTTGTACGGTACTCAGCCTAACCTACGAGTCTGTGACGCACACTCGCACCCGATTGGTCGAGAAACGTCGAAAAAATATCAGAACTCCGCTGATTCGTTCTGATCGTCACAGGTGAACGTGACGTCAGCTGCTTCACTACATACGTAAATTGATGCTTCACGGTATCGATTTAGACTTCAGACAAAGGATTCTTCCAGAGCTTTCTGAATGTGCGTGTGTGTTCATGTAGCACATGCACTATACGCATGAGGAACGTTTTATATAAATTTAATATTTGAGATCTTCGTACCGCAAAAATAATCTTCTTACGTTCCATTTGCACCGAACGTAACGATAAATCGGATAACAAAAAGATATTTTTTGTGTGTCGTTGTAAAACTACGCTTTTAATTGTTTATCGCAATTTGTCGTAAGCTAAGACTTAGTCCTTTGGTTTAACGATTTAATGATCCTACGTACGTAAGACAGTTCCAAGAGTTTCTCATTTGATCGTTACGTATTAATCGGTGAATCATTTACAAAAAACAAAGGAACATTCACAGAAAGCAATAAAGTTTCGACATATAATAAAACTATGTGTAACAAGACAAAGATATTTTAATAAACACGAGCAATACTGTTGGCCGCTTCTCTTTATGTTGAAGAAGTATTTCTGGTGCTTTCTCATTTGTGCAACGTCACGTTTATCGTTATATTATTCGCGCATGAGATCGCAAAACGCGTTTGTATTCGCGAAATTGCAAAGTCACGAAAGCAACGTGTCGCGTCACGCACTCGAGCGTTAGTTAGAATTCTGATGCAATATTCGTCGTTTAATTTATTTAAAAATTATTACTTCAAAATTGATAATTTGATACGCGTAAATTTAAATCTATAGGGTACAACACGCTAGCAGAGCAGCAAAGCTCACGTATGTGTGTGACAATCTGACACAGAGAAACAAAAGATATCTAAAAATAGTTTACTCAGAAAAACAGACGCGTGTTCTCTTATATTGATTTTAGTTCTCTAATTACTCACAATCCGCAATACAATGAAGTTCTTCGACGTGGGTTATTTTAATTGTCGAATGTAACAAAATTTATGTAGGAACGTAAAGAAACACAAAGGAGTGACGTAAAGGAGAAATTTACGTGGTAATTAAATTTTAAAAATTTCTTCTGACTCACTTTAAGAGAATCACAAATTACGAAATTTCATAATTGTGTTTCATATACATACTCGTTTTATTCAATGATTTTTTTTGAAAATACAGAACAGAAAGTCTACAATAATATATGTATATATATATATATATATATATTAGAGTTTTCGTCAGAGAAATAATTATACATACTCTGCCATGCTTTTAAAAGCTGAATTGAAATTTTTGAGTATCGCTCAGTATATTTCGCGGATGAAACTTAAAACAGTGATTTCTGTATATATATATATATTAAAAAAAAAAAAAAAAAAAAAAAAAAAATGAAAAACGAAAATAATTCGTTAAGACGTACTCCTGTCACGTGTTTTAGATACTAAAGCATCCAAAATTCGTTGGCTTATAAATATCTCATCGGTATCTCTCACACGTGACTTGCATACGTGGAAAAGCTTGCATTTTACGTTGTAAATAGTCATTTTTGTGCAAGAGTGAGAGTGAAAGAGAGAGAGAGAGACAGAGAGAGAGAGAGAGAGAGAGAGAAGGAGAATATAATATTTTTTCTACAGGTTTTTTACTGACTAAACACTCATACACTCAGGTTTTTCTCTTTATATTCTATTGCTGATTTTCAACTTTGAACTTATATTAATGTGAATCATTTGTGTTTACACGTATTTGATAAAAGTTATATTCTTCGTAGCAATCGAAATAACTTTGACTCACCGAACGCGTCCCATTCTCGTTGGACGCATTTTATTTCATCAATATAAACCTAATATATTTTAGAGCTAATCGCACCAATTGCCTGTTAAGAAAGTTCATTAGTCACAACATCTAAACCTCATTATACTAGCTGTTCTCGCACTGCGGCGTATACATGATGTTTACCGTCAAATATAGTGAAAAAACAGTTATTGCTATAAAATAAATAAATCTCTGCAACAGTAACCCTAGGAACGAACAGAAAATTTTTACCATTGCAGCACTTTTAACACCTCAAGGACTGAAGATGCAGCAAATTTGTGTCCCTGCGTAACGCAACATCTGCGAAATATCGATTTATGTTCCAGCAAAACAAACAAATCATTAGTATAAATCATACATTGCATTTAATCGTAATATTTATAATCGAGCAAAAATCGCGAAGAAAACATTTCAGTCCTTAAAGCGTTGACTCGTTTCTCGTTTTTTCGCGAATTCCTAAGTCATATCTAAATCACAAATATAATCTTAACTATCCTCAAAATCTTCCGATTAAACATCATCGTTTCTAAACAAGCAACTGACACGGCGGAAAAACGGCGTTTTTTTCCTTATACTAAATAAGTTGTTATACAATTCATATATGGATTTCTTTTGGTAGCTCTACTTCGAGTCTGTCTCCATTTTCTCTTCCGCTTTCTTATCTTTCTTTGAAGCTTCACTGTCCGTGCCCTCTCCGTTGCTGTTGTCGCGTCTTCGTTTTCTGGCGAAACGTCCCTTGAATTTCGGTGGCGGAAGTTGTTCCATACCTAATACTTTGTGTATCTGCCGAAACGCGACTAATCGTAGCGCATGTTGCGCGGACGCGGTGATATCTTCTCTCTGTTGAGACGTCATGTTTCCTATCGCGTCTACTGGCTCCTTCTCGCATGGATCGGATAATCCTGAAAAGACAGACAAATTTCTCGCGTTCATCGACTGTTGCACAAATTAGCCAGTCGTTAGGTAACTAATATCGTTACAAATTTGGTCAGGTTGCCATATCATCAACGCTTTGTCACGGAATGTATGATTGCAAATACAAGAGAACAAAATACTCGTACTCGAGATTGGCAATCATTTTCGCAACAAGCTTAGTCTCGTCATCTTTTTTCATCATATAAAGAATTTTCAAGAACATTGAACTACACAAGTAGGAATTCTGTAGAAAAAAAACCAAAAATTACCTGGACTGCCTGGAAGCAGTATTCCTCCAGCTACGCATTCTAGTAGTCTTCTCAAAGCTTCTCCAGGACTAAGAGGACCACCCGCGGTGCTTATGACCTTCTCAGTCAACAACTCCAATGCCTGCACCGAACGAATTGTTATATGGTAAAGATCGATTAGAAGATGCGCGCAATAACAAGATAAGACACTTTTTGTATACTAACCCAAGGATTGAGCGGACCCCATGTTGGCACACGATTGCAAAGGTCGCGCATTATACGAATAACCATAACGCAGCTCTGCAGCGAAGTTGCTCTAGCCTGTTAAATAGGATTATAGCCGTTTTAAACGATTAGATAATCGCATCGAAAACAACGTTTTAGCTCTTTTGGATAAAAACGGCCTAAACTAATTTTTTCTTAAAATTTGCTTTGTGTGGGCTTTAGCTATCCTCCCAGCCTCGTGCCTAATGCCCCTAATAGTATTAGCCCATATCAACATTACCGGGTGTTTATCAATTTAACTTCTCCTAAACATGAATTTACCTGTTACACTGATAAAAAAAACTAGAGCTCTTTGTCTTTTGAAGAACTTCTTGTGCATGTATTTCAGTGACGGCATTTCTACGACTCGACTCTAATTTACAGAAACACCCGGTACACTTATGACGCACTACTGTGTGTTTGTGCTTGTCTGTCTTTGAATTGTCAAAAAAGCTGTGCAGATTAAACGCACATTACATCGTTACAAATATACAAATAGAACAAAATACATATAAATCCTCAGAAAAGCTTGTGTAAAACTATATTATCAATATTGTTTTTTTAAAAGTTAAGACAGACCTAGAACAGACGCAGCCTAGGCTACAACGCATTAAGGACAATCCAGAATAATGAAATTGTGCTTGTAATTATAAAGCAGTTAAAAAGCTAAATCTGTCTGCCTTCTAAAGAAAATAAAGAAAATCATATACATTCTAGAAACTTGAATTACAACATGTCGTTACACAAAAAACAGCTTTTGTATTATTCTGGATGTTTTGAGAATCTGAAGCGAAGCAGATGTAAATGCATCTAGCAGCGTTGCACGTGACTGTCGAGATAAACATTTACATGTTGCTTACTTGTAAGATTTCTTGCCTGATAATATCTGATCGCATGTTCGATGTGCAATTTACTTTTTTTGTCTTGGATTTAGCCAATTTATGGACAATGCCACTGTTACCCATCTATTTCAGACTATGTTTCTAAGCAATAATAAATACAAATTGTAATTGATCCGGACGCGCGTGACCATAAAGACAAAATGTAATAATAACTAACGGAGAACAGAAAAGAGAGACAGAGAGAGAGAGTGAGAAAAAGAATGAGAGAGAGAGAGAAAGAGACACAGTGGGCAAAGTCGACTGGCGTATAGTCAAAAGGTCAGCGGATATGAAACGGCGAACATCGAACGTGATCAAATAGGCTTATTCAGACAGAATCGTGCCGACGGTTCGGATAATGATAAAAATAAAACCGTCACAAGGCTGGAAGTTTCTAAGACTTGTTTTTTTTTCTTGTTTCTCTTTCTGTTTTGACTGAAAGATTTGTTTTGAGACAGAATGAACTTGCACGCATTTAGCGTTTTTATCAGGAGAAAATAAAAGAAAATTCTCATTATATAGTGCCAACAGACAAGAAACGTGGCACTTGACAATTCGAGATCTTGAACTGAGAGATGGATTCAAACCTGAAACCACTTCGCATGCCTGAGTGCAGCTAAAGCGTCCAAACACTTAGCCTTGGGAAGTACATCAGGTGGATCTGGTTTCGTCACAGTCGGGGCCGCGGGCGTTGTTTGCAGTTGCGCAGCTTCCTGCTGCTGCTGTCCAGCATTATCTGAGATTCCAACAAAGAAAGCACAACACGCTTAGACAACACTTAGAGTGTTTGATCATGCCCAGAGATTGTTTTTGTTTCCCTCTTATACATTCATTCATTTTCAACTTAAGTAAAATCGTTAAATTGTGAGCTATATGTCGTGATTTAAATGCCAACGTGAAAAAAAGAAATATAAGCCTGATCGAATGTAGTACGTTTGCAATGTACCAAAAGCTCACCCCCGTTTTTAAAACGTTCTTTTTCTCATCGGTGATCTGTCGCTTAAGAACGCTCGACGATTCCTATCAGCATCGGTAGTCGTCACCTCTATCCGCTTGAAAGGTAGGTTGAACCGATGCCGATAGAACCGTCAGTTAAAATTCAGAGGTACGTAATGCACATCGCATAATGTGCGTACAGCATTCGATAAGAGTCAGAGGGATTTTTTTTTTCTATTTTTTATATATATATATATTTTTTTTTATTTTTTTTATGCATGATCAAAAAGTCCATAGTTTCAAGATTGCCTCAGCGTTGTTTTCCTTCTATCACAAGCGTGTCCACGTTCAATGAAATCTCTCGTTAGGAATTGTGATTTTTGCCTTTTTTTTTTTTTTTTTTTTTTACCGACAGATTCTAGCTCATCACTAGTATAAAAAATATGAAAAGCCGCTACTACAACAAACGAAATAACACGATAAAAATACTTAGCGATCTAACCGGTCAAATTTGTTTCCTTTTTTTTTTTTTTTTTTACGCTCTGTTTGTCTGCCGTGAAATTTTATCTTTACTTGTATTATCAAGCATATGTTGTTTCGTGATACGCTCTTACAGTCAAACATGCACTCCGCAAAGAGGACTCTGTCGTGGACACACTAATCAGACACGCAGCTATATATCGGAAAAAAGAAATCAACTTTATGTTAGAGCGTATGTACACCGGCAACCGTCGAGAATCATCCTTGGCTGCCCCGTCGAATCATCCTGGTGCTTAAAAAAACTTACAGAAAATCGTCCGGGCCATGAAAAGAACAAACTAAATGTATGAATCGCGAAGTGGATTAAGAGAAACCGGCATGAAACTAAAAAAGAGGTGCATAATTTCCGTATAAAAACCCCGTTTTGTTCTCTCATAGTTATCCTTTTCTTGGCCACAGTAAAAATATAAAACAATAAAATTACCTGCTGCCACGGTCGACTTCGGTGTCTCGCGCATTAAAGGACTGGTGAGCGTCACGCTGACGGTCACAGTGCCTCCCGAGACTGTCAGAGCAGCCGATTCCGGATGCTTTCCAACATTGTAGGTCTCCTCGGGAGCGACATTTTTCAATTCGCCAGGCAAAATCTCGGCAACTTTGTGGAGTAAAGTTCTGTAAAAATAAAGTTTGTTTTGTATATAAGATTAACAATTAGTTAGCTTTTAGAGAAATGACACAGCTCTTCTCAAATTTTTATCGTACGTATCGTTATAAAATTACCTCGTTGGTTTTTCTGCACATAGGACAACTAAGCAAACGTGATTATCTCCGGACAACAATAATCCCTTAGCCAAGTTTCCAACGCGCATAACACCACGAAGTATCCGAGAATCTTCCTTCTCCTTTTGGAACGAAAAGAGATTACCATCGCTTCCATCTTCTTTTTGCGGGGCGGCTGCTTTTTTCTTGTCAGCTTCTTCTTTCTTCAAGGCGTCTGTGTTTGTCTGCGGTGTGCCGGCGGCCGCAGGTGTTGCGGCAGTTGCATTAGCGTTTGCGGGAACAGTCTTTTTACCTGTGAACAAATAACGTACATTTGTATGTGATTCATACGATTATTAAGTTTAAAGTCTTCTTATATAACACTATCTCAATATACTTACTGGTCTCAGCTAAATTGTCTGAAACGAATTTCAATGCTTTTTCGGTGTGAGAAACTATTTTCTGGACTGCCAACAGTTCTTGTTCCTTGGGATAAATAGTTGTGTGATGTGCCAAAACATGCTTGTCGTCCGATGAATCCGGTCGTCTCTGAGGACCCGGGAACATCATCATAGGCGGTGGTCCTGGGAACGGTCGCGCCATAGGAGGTGCGCCAGTATTACGCCCGTACCGTCGATACCACTCGTAATATTCAATTTCTTCCTCGTAACGACGCCTTTCTTCCCAGTACATTAGTTCCTCGTCCATCATGGGTCCCATCATGGGACTGATCTCTTCCCTGCGACGTATATATTCGTCGCGCATTTGTTGTCTGCGTAGCTTCTCCTCCAGCATCTTTCGCTGTTTGAGACTGGGTTTCATGTCAACCACCAAATCAGGATTGACTTTCTTTTTGTAAGCGAATCTATGACGACGGCCCTTCATATGCATGTCTTTGGCGTTGGGATCGTTGAAGCGACATTCGCAAAGTTTACAGTTGAAACTTATAATCTTTCCATCTTCGGATTTATTTTCCTCGATGTATTCTTGGCCAACTGGTTGAATGTCTTTCTCGTCTACTGTAACTTCTTCGACCGTTTCCTCAGCAGTTGATTCCTCTTGTTTAACTTCAGTCGTTTGATTCTGGTTTACCGTGCCCAAATTTCCAGCTGAAAATAACAACATATAAAATGAAAACATTTACACGTGAATAAAGATTTTGCATTCCGCATTTCCGATGCGGAAGTATTCAGAAATTTACTCACAGGCGACAAAGTTGATTTTGGGTGTTGCTGTTACTGCTGGTTTCTTAGTTGATGTGGTTTTTGCAGCCGTAGCCGGCTTTGGATTTAATACTGTAGGATCCGCACTTGGAATAGGTTTTCCAAGTTTTGTATGCAATTTAACCACTTTTTGATGTTTAGCACCTCTTATATGGGCAGCGTAAGCATCATTTCCAGTGCAAGTTACATCACAAAGCTCACAACGAAGACTGTTACCCGCTCCACGTGCCGGGGGCTGTTGAGGTCCTTTCAGAGAGGCTTCCTTCTTCTTGTGTTTTTGTCCTTCCAAGTGCTCCCGGTAAGTTTGAGGCCCGGCACAGCTGATCTTACACACATCGCAGTAGTGCAGTTGCTGAGGTTTTGGAGGCTGCTTGGGCCGCATTGCCTTCATTCCTCCCCCGCCAGCTCCGAATCCCTTTCGCGTGTATCCCTGCCAACCTCCAGTCTTCTGGTTAGTTGAATTGCTGTTTGCACTCTGTTGGGCTACATACATAGTCGCAGCGCTATATAGCGCTGCGTCGTAGCCGGAATACGTTGTACTCGCCGTTTCTAAGGGAAATGAAATTGAAACCTCAAACTTTGGAGGGGTCCGAACTTTCCGTTCTCGCGGAAGAAAATTTTTACTGTGTTACTCGTTTGATACATATATCAAACTATTTTGCGACGAGAAATACGGGAAATCGATAAATGTTCTAGTTTAAACTGGGAACGAATACAAAAATTTCACATGTCCACTAAATTCTCGAGACAAATCATTACGAGAATAATAGCAGAACTTTGCAAATTTTTGTTTTTTAAACATTTATATATTGCGAGAGGATCAATTTCATGTTATTAGTTCCTACATTACAGTTAACGGTCCAAAAAAAAAAAAAAAAACACCAAAACTTTTCGGGAAAGAGACATACAGAAAAGAAGATTATACAAAACTTACTATTTGTTGCAGTTGATGGTGTAGCGGCAGGTGTAGCTGGAGCTGTGTACCCTGAAGAGTAAGTTGCACTTTGCGTAGGATTTGATTGCTGATAAGCGGTACTAGATGCCTGGTAAGTCTTAGCCTGTCCAGTACTAGTAGCTTGTCTAGCAGTGCCAGTATAGGCACTGGTTGTACTATACGCAGGTTTTGCAGCCTGGTAGTGAGTCTCGGTAGTAGTGTAAGTTGCCGCAGCAGCTGCTGGTTGCTGATAGTAAGTTTTAGTTGCGTCGTACGTGGCAGCTGGTGCAGCACGTCCGTATCCGTAATCGTAAGTTTGAGCCACAGTACCAGGATTAGCGGCTAAAAAAAAAAAAAAAACACACAAAACCATACAATAACATACATTGTAACATTTTTCAAGTTATTATTCAATTGGTATATTTGTATATGTATTAAAATTTCATTGATGATCAATCGCTGGTGTTTGTTAAATACTTTTTATCGCATATACAATTTGATGACTCACACCCAGCTTAGAAAAATCATACCTGCGTATGTGGTCCCAGTTGCAGCCGCAGCCGCAGCTGCCTGGTAGGTTTCGTAACCTGTAGCAGCCGCAGCGGCAGGTCGTTGGGTATATGTAGCGGCAGTTGCCGCCGGAGTTACGGCATATCCCGCCTGGCCCGTTTGATAGGCAGCGGCGCTGGTTGCCCTGAGACCAAAAGAGAACAAAACTTATTTTACTCGACATTTGAAGCGCCCGTCGAGACCATCAGCACGAGAGAGAAATGACGCGCGACGTTACACAAACAAACATCTCGAAAAAAAATCAACATCTGATCTCGCCTCGACGAGGGACGCTCGACGGACGCTACCTCACGACAAGAGAAATGGCCGCCAAAGCCGGCTGAACCTTTCGGCGCGTGTCGACGATCAACGCGCGTTTTTATCACTATCGCAAATGCGCTCGCGGTCGCGAATCTACGATTAACTTAAAACTAGCTACTTAATGATAATTGTATGCTGACGATTTCGTACCCATATTGCGTTCCGCCGTGAGTAAAGCCGAAATAATTGTTCTGAGCCATCCTTCCTCGCAGAGAATCCCGGAAAGAAGGACAATGGCGGAAGTTGTAGCAAAGACGCAGGGCGTGCCACACGAGCAAACTCGATAAAACGACAACGTTGTTGTCGCGCGCGCTGATTGGCTATTCCGTCGGAGCGCGACGATCGCGCGCGAGAGTGGCGCGCTCTCGGCGGATGTTTCCGGCAAAAATTGTTCCGGCGGGCGAACTTTATTAGCGCGGGTAACCTTACTTCGACGCGCAAATACAACACACGCTTTGCATCGAAGAAGCCTCCGCGCGCTATCTGTCGTCGCCGCTGTGCGTGCCGAACGACGGAGTCGCGTACCACGTGAGAAAATTTCACAAACGAAACAGAAAGATTTATTTATATATAAAAAAAAAAAAAGTGATACGTATGTAACGCGCGTGGATGAAACCGACCGACTGGGGAATATATGACTGTTACGCGAATTTCGTGTTTTTTTCTTTTTGAATTTTTAAAAAAGACTTACTGCGTGTCTCTCGGCTATTCTTCGTGGTACGCCACGGGGGGTAGTGGATTTGTGCGTGGGTAGAAAACTCTCCCCCTTTATAAATTCTGCGTCTCGCGCGACACGACGTACGTACGTTCGGCGTGCACGTGGGAAAGAAACAAAATTTGTGCCGGGGAGCCGACGGATAAACAAATTCGTCTTTGTCGCGCGTGCAAGCGTTGTCCGGTGCGCAACACACAAATGAACAACAATTGCAAGTATCGCAACTCTATCTCACAGAAGAGTTGTGTCGCTGTGATACACTCTGTAGTAGTGTGCGTGTTAGTTAAACGATATATCTTTACAACCCCCTCTCCCGACGCCCTCTGCGGAACAGCACCGAGCGCCGAATCGTGTTCCTCTCAAAGTACCGCCGTGACGCCATCTAGCGGCGTTTCGCTTAACCGAGCGCGCAGATTTTGCGCGCAAAATTTTTGCGCTAGATTAATCTAGATATCGCATACCGTATGACCTCTACTTCCGGATTCCTGGAAACGTGTGTTCGAACCATAGACCATATATACTTATAGACACGGCCTGTAGATATGAATCCACGAGTCGAGGTGAAGCAAAGGGTGCGTTCAGACAACTCAACAGTTGCACAACGGTTGAGAGATAATCACTTCTGATTGGATCATACTTCTGGAACCGCGCCAGATTTTGAAGAATAGTCTTATCATAAGTGATGATCTCTCAACCGTTGAGTTGTCTGAACGCACCCAAAGATAATATCATCTACGTGACGTCACATGTGGGCATTTCAGCAATGGCTAAACGCGGCCTCGTAGATGATATTATCTTATCTTCAAGGCGGTTATCTGAAGCCGTCTATAAACGCGCCTTTGCTTTGCCCACATGTGACGTCATGTAGATGATATTATCTTTGCTTCAAGATAAGATTGTCTGAAGCCGTGTCTATAAGCAGAGAGAAACCTGAGAGCGGCCATCCTAATGTAATTTTTTACGACGGTTTCAGCCGCTGGTTTTAGCCGTATTTCCACAAAAGTGGAACTCAAAGGCCGTTCTACATTAAACGCAAGTAGCAGATCTCGTGNACGGTTTCAGCCGCTGGTTTTAGCCGTATTTCCACAAAAGTGGAACTCAAAGGCCGTTCTACATTAAACGCAAGTAGCAGATCTCGTGGAATTGACCAATTGCAGAGTCAAATCAGCCAATCGACCAACGTGATTGATCAGTTCCACGAGATCTGCGACTTACGTTTAATGTAGAACGGCCTTTGAGTTCCACTTTTGTGGAAATACGGCTAAAACCAGCGGCTGAAACCGTCGTAAAAAATTACAATAGGATGGCCGCTCTCAGGTTTCTCTCTGCTATAAGTATATATGGTCTAAGGTTCGAACCATAGACTTATATAATAGACGGAACATTCGTGTAAGAGGAGCTGAAGTCTTCGTTAAAAGAGACAGAAATAGTCGTGGAGTAGTTCTCTTCTTTTCTAGCAGTGAGTTGATTGGTGGCCGCGGCAGGCCGGGAGCAACGAAAGATAGAGTTCGAGAGTCACTTGAGAGAAAGTGATAATGGTCTAGTTTCCACCGAAGCATTAATTCACACCAAATGCGACGTAAGGTCTGTTCGTTTTGCCTGAACTGGTCGCTCTGGGTCGCTCTGGGTCAGAGTTTATCCTTCTTTTTCCAACGTAGAGTAAAGAGGATGGGCTCTGACCTGGAGCGACCTGGAGCGGCCAGTTCGGGTAAAACGAACAGACATGTAGAATCAAATTCAAGTCGATGGAAACCTGTCAAATTGTGCTGATTTCACTTCCGCTTCGATCTATAAGTACTCTACTTCCAATGGAAACGGAGCACTAAATTTGATCAGTACCGGAGTGAAACCGAATTGAGGGTTTTGGTGGAAACTAGACCAGTGAAAGGTGATAGCAAAGACTTGTGAAATGATTGGTCTCTCATCGTATTATTGTAAGAGAGAGAGAGATAACTACTCCAGCACTATCTCTGTCCTTTAATGTTGTTCTCAACTTCGTCATATAAGGCCCGAATTCATAGTCGCTTCTCAAATCTTAGATCTCGTTTCCAATCTCAAATTTCAGCCAGAGAGAAATCTGAGAACGGCCATCTTATTGTAATTTTTACGACGGTTTCAGCCGCTGGTTTTAGCCGTATTTCCACAAAAATGGACCTCAAAGGCCGTTCTACATTAAACGCAAGTAGCAGATCTGCGTGGAATTGACCAATTGCAGAGTCAAATCAGCCAATCGACCAACGTGATTGATCAGTTCCACGAGACCTGCTACTTTAGTTTCATGGAGAACGGCCTTTGAGTTCCACTTTTGTGGAAATACGGCTAATGCGTCGTCTACAATGAGAATTTAAGCCGTAAGACTCAAGCTTTAAGAAGGTATAAGACCCGTTTTTACCATCTCCGATTAACTTAATCGGTCGATTATTTTGTTGGAATCGCCAATCATATTGGTCGATTGTCTAAATTGACCAATCGCAATTGACTCGCAATCGATCGGTAAGTTAATCGTAGATAGTGGAAACGAGCCTTGTACCTTCTTAAAGCTTAAGTCTTAGGCTGTGTTCAGTTAAGCAAGATGGAACGAACTAATGCAGGAAATACAGGAATTGGAACTAATGAATTGAGCACAGCCCTGGGCTGTGTTCAGTTAAGCAAGATGGAACGAACTAATGGAGGAAATGCAGGAAATACAGGAATTGGAACTAATGAATTTTTGTATTTCCTGCATTTCCTACATTAGTTCGTTCCATCTTGCTTAACTGAACACAGCCCTAAGATTTGAGAAACGACTATGAATTTGGACCTCAAATCCGCTCGACCAAACAAACGAAACACAAATCGAGAGAATCAAAGAGTTTGGGAATTATTTTGTCGATCAAATTGATAAATTTTCGTAGAGATTGCAAATATTTTATTGCGTAAAAAAATTCATCATCATACGTTATATATAATGATATATATATACAGGGTGTTTTCAGAATTGCCGTACAATCTCTCGTAGGCAGGAATAAGGAGTGAAACTGAGTCGAAAAATCCTGAACCATTTTTTTTCTATTATTTATAATAAAGGAGTAATTATTGAGTAAATCAAGCCAATCAGCGTCGACCTTTAGCCAGGCGCACGTCAGTGAGCCGCGCGCCTGGTGTGTGTGAGCTCAATAATTACTCCTTTATTATAAATAATAGAAAAAAATGGTTCAGGATTTTTCGACTCAGTTTCACTCCTTATTCCTGCCTACGAGAGAGATTGTACGGCAATTCTGGGATACTCTGTATATACGTATATCTGGAATATCACGTAGCAAGTAGTGTCTGATATGCGTATGTGCGTATGTATACGTAATCTACATGCGCTATCTATTCCGTCGGTGAATGTTTATCTCGTATTTCGAGATGTTTTGTCATACGTGGGACGATTCGTCTCCGTTGTCGGCTGCCATAGCCTCGCGATTCTCGTACGCCCAAAATCCGTGGAATTCGATCAGGATACTGACCATAGTGTCGCCCTGTCCGCAAGACAGCAAGTCCTGCAACGTGATTTTGCACGGGTCCGCCGGTTTCACCATGTCGAATATCTCATCTTTGACATCCTGAAAACTCACGGGCTCTTGACCGTGCATTGTCATCTGTTCCTGTATCGCCTGCGAAACGCAAAAATGTCTCTTTCGATCATCAAAAAAAAAAAAAACTATGGTACTTGTCGGAAAAATTTCTAAAAAACTGAACTGAAATTCACACAACACGTACTCTGAAAAAATAAAACAAGCAAAACGTGTCCAGATATCCTCGATTGTTGATATCGAGGATTCGAAATAGGTAATGAAGACTCTGAGGTTCGTGCCGATTCTCTAACGCTAAAACAAAGTCCAAGTAGGTTTTGTAGTCCATTTCGCCCTCGTATGTGAGACATTCTTGAAACACTCTTTCAAGAAAAACGCCAGTCAGGGTACCAGTGCCGTATCTGTCAATTACAAACATTTTAAATAGACGTGTCACAGTATATAAAGTACTATATGTAATACATAGTTAGTTTATTTGTTTACCCTGCCAGTTCTTCTTTATTTAACATTCCATTGTGGTCCTTGTCCAAATTGAGATATTGTCCGTAAATTTTGAGGGCAGATGGAGCCGAGAACCAATTTGCCTCCTGCAAATCCTTGGGCAAGTCTTCGTCCCTCAGTTCCAAGAGATCATCCAGAAAGCTGCACGCCAAAATGTCCTGGATTCTAACTCGACCTGTACGAAGAGGATCGAGAAAGAACAAGAACTTTCTGACAGCGGTGCACACGTAGAACGAATGAAAGGATTTCTCAAGGCCTTCGAGTTGCGGCAACGTTGGTATCAATTCTAGAATGTAGTTCTCCAGGTCCTGCAAGATGGATAGATTAAAAGAAGCCAGATAAAAGAAGTGTGTATTTGTTTTTTTAGATACAACTGCTTTACGAAAAAATGTACCGATTCTCTCAGATATCCTTGACCTGTAACGTCGTACAGAGAAAGACCGATTCGCGTTTGATGCAACCAGACTTTTCTCATGACGTAATTGAACAAAGCCATGATACTGATCCGACCGTGTGGATCTCCTTGTTGCAGCTTGGCGAAGACAACCGCGGTGAAATAGGGAGCGCACTTTGGTCCCGCTAAGTTGCCAACTTTCTTGAAGTCCTCGTAATTGATCAATTCGTCGTCTCCTGACAAAGGCGGGCTGTGGTGCTTGTCCAATAGAACCCACAACGCTTTAAGCTCGTTGTTGTCTAACAATTGCCGGGATCGCCTTTGCAGGAACAGAGCTCGTGTTTCCTCGCGCAGTTTCTGCGGCAGAACCTCATCCTCTTTCGGTAGCTGTTGAAACGTTGACGTTGTAGATAATAATCGTGATGAGAAAAATGCAGAGCAGTTTTCTTCAATACTTCATCAAACGTTACAGTATATGAGGGATATACGTATATACAGGGTGTCCCAGAATTAGTGTGACATCAGCCTAGCTAAAGGTCGACGCTGATTGGCTTGATTTACTCAATAAATTACTCTTTTATTATAAATAATAGAAAAAAAATGGTTCAGGACTTTTCGACTCAGTTTTTACTCCTTCTACCTGCCTGCGAGAGATGCCACACCAATTCTGGGACACCCTGTGTATATATATATGCAAGAGACTATCGTACCTTGAAATAAAATTTTGGTATAACTTTATACGTTGCGTCATTGTCCTTAGCTTTCACACCCTTCCACTGTTCGTACATTTTCCGAAAGTAATCATCTTCTATACTTTCAATATCTTCGAGTTTCCGATCAGCTGCAACGGTATATATATATATAAAAATAAATCACGCATAAATTCTCTTCTATTTTTTTTTTTTTTTTTTTTTTTTACAAAAGCATAATTGCAAAATTGTTATTTTGTTATAAACAGAACGAAACGAATATTCTAAACGCATACATTTTTTTGCCGAGGCGCAATTCCGCAGCAGCGTTTTCAACTCCATTATCTCTTTGCAAACATTCGCTCTGTCTGTTGTTGTGTATATTCCGAGTTCACAGTGCACTTGCACCGCACCTCGAAGGGAGGATCGCTTTGGTTATGTTCTCTGGTCGGGAATCAGCTGATGACGCCGCCAGCTGTGACGTAAAGGAATTTCCAATCTCGATCGTTTCCAAAACGCGAAACCCGAGAGAAGCGTCGCATAAAAAACTGTTCTTCTCAAACGCTTATCGCTCGCTCGAAACGAAACGAGAGTCGGATAATGGCCGGGAAATTGGATTTGCATCGCGCGCGCGCGTGCTTTAATTCCACGTACGAGACGAACGGTACGCGATATAGGTTAGGTTGGGTTGCGTTCGCGCGAGGAGAGGAAGCGAGGAGGAGGAGCGCGCGATATGTTTACGCAGGATAACAAGATTGTTTTGAATACGTGGCCGATCCGCGACGTTTGCGGGCTTCGTCCTGAGAGAGAGAGAGAGAGTCGTAATTCGACGCGCGAAATCGACGGCATGCACGGCGATAACAGATAAAAAGTTTAGAGGCGGCTCGAAAAAAAAAAACGCACGACGTGTGACAACGCGTCGACGATGATTTTGTTCAGAGCGGGCTCGATTCTGGGCCTCTTCATTCTGGTCAGCGGTTTCCGGGAATACAGCAAGAAGGATCTGATCGCCCTGCGGGAGGAGGTGAGGTCCATGTTCGATTACGCTTATTCCGGTTACCTAACTCACGCCTATCCGTACGACGAGCTCCGCTCCCTGAGCTGCGACGGCTTCGACACCTGGGGCAGTTTCTCCCTGACCCTGATCGACGCTCTGGACACGCTCGCTGTCATGGGCAATTTCTCCGAATTCCGTCGCGTCGCCGAGATAATAAGCGTGCGAGCGAACTTCGAGTCCAACATCAACGTGTCCGTGTTCGAGACGAATATTCGCGTGATCGGCGGTTTGCTGAGCGCCCATCTGCTGTCTCGCAAAGCCGGGGTCAAGTTGGAACCCGGATGGCCCTGCAACGGTCCGTTACTGCGTCTCGCCGAGGACATGGCCAAGAGACTGCTCGCGGCGTTCGATACACCAACCGGAATGCCATATGGCACGGTCAATCTGAAGTACGGAGTGCCGGATGGCGAGACCAGCATCACCTGCACCGCCGGCATCGGCACGTTTCTGCTCGAATTTGGAACTCTTTCTAGATTGACCGGAGATCCGCTTTACGAGGAAGTCGCCATGAACGCCGTGAAGGCTCTGCATTATTACAAATCCAATATTGGCTTAGTTGGCAATCACATAGACGTTCTGACCGGTCATTGGACCGCCCAAGATTCCGGTATAGGCGCCGGAATAGATTCCTACTTCGAGTATTTGGCGAAGGGCACATTGTTGTTCCAAGATCCGTTGTTGGCCACAATATTTCAAGAGCACAGAAGAGGTATCGAGAAATACATTCGTCGAGAAGACTGGCACTTGTGGGTTTCCATGACCAAGGGCCAGGTGACCTTGCCGGTTTTCCAGTCTCTGGACGCGTATTGGCCCGGTGTGTTGAGTCTGTTCGGCGAGATCGAGGACGCGATGAAGTCCCTGCACAATTACCATCACGTGTGGAAACAATTCGGCTTCACTCCGGAATTCTACAATATACCGCAGGCCGAGGCGGGAACCAACAGAGAAGGTTACCCACTGAGACCCGAGCTCATTGAATCTGTTATGTATCTTTACAGAGCTACCAAGGATCCCTATCTGATACAAATGGGGGTGGACATTTTGAGAAGCGTTCAGCACAGTGCCAAAACCGCGTGCGGTTATGCGACCATTAACGACGTCCGGGATCACCGCAAAGCAGACAGAATGGAATCGTTTTTCCTTGCGGAGACTACGAAGTACCTGTACCTCCTCTTCGACACCGACAACTTTATTCACAACACCGGCACCGAAGGGGATATAATTGACACCCAGTGGGGTCAGTGCGTGGTTGACGCCGGTGGATACATCTTCAACACCGAGGCGCACCCGATTGATCCCGGAGCTCTGTACTGTTGTCGACCCGCACAGAAGATCTTTCCGGACAATAGAGCGAAGCTGAAGCGATTCCTACCGACGCAAGATACGCCGGAGGATATCTCCTTCCCGAACGATCTTCGCTACAGAAAGGACGCCACCGACAAGACTCCGGACGTGTTTCCGGTGACGATCGCAAAATTGTCCGAAATCAGATACTCCGTGAATAAGAAAGATGTTTCAAACGAGAACTCTTCGTCGCCGAATGTTTCCTCAGCGGATTCCATCGCGCCCGATAACGTCCAAGTCGCGAATGAATCTGAAATATCAAATCAGAGCGCGGTCGAAACGAGCGATCGGATGTTGCAGACGACGGCGCAGGTTCTCACGTCTTCTTCTTCGTCGACGATCTACAAAGCGGACGACAGTGAGGGTTCCGACAGTTTTGAGTCTACGAGCGATCAGCATTCCGCTGCTCCTTGCTCCGCGACGCAAACCGATGCTCAACGAAACGCGACGACGACGACGTTGAATCGCGCGAAGACCAGATTCGAGCCTCAAATAATGTTGGAGAACATCAGACGCGGAAATCTCTATCCGACCAACGTCACGGCCAGGCAGAACTATCAGATCCTATCCTGTCAGGCTCAACCATTCCTACAACGAATATCAATCATGGGAGAATTTTTTTGAGCAATCACAAGCAAAGCGCTCACACACAATTTTATAGCTATAGCGAATCCATTCGCAACGAGAGAGATTCGCAAAATATTTTTTTATTTTCGAGAGATTTTTTGTGTTTACAAGGCAGAGATGATGAAAAATAATATGCAGTTCCGTTTTACGCGCGAACATTGTAATTTATATTATATATTCCTGTGATAAAGGTTGTTGTATTTTTGTGTGTGTGTTTATATATAGTTTAATAAATATATATATATATATATATATATATATATATCTATATATAGGGTGTTAGAATAAAACAAATCTACTCTCTGTAAATTAAACTCAACTCTCTTTGTTACACACATATGTCGCTTACAAACCATGTTCTAAAACTAGAGTATACATGTGAGATACAAATACAAACATTTTTATATTTTGTACAACAACAACGGAGTTTTGTGGATAAACAAAGTAGTACGATCAATGTGTGCCACGGCAACTGTACCTTGCGCGTGCATGTTCCTCTCATCCTCAATTTGAATTCTAAAGACGGACTCGCGCCAATCCAACTCTCCGAATTAATTCAATCGGTTGATTAACTCCGCGGAATTGTACGACGATGCGCGATTGAAAATTGAATCGGAATTCCGACATCCTATCCAATGAGAACACGCGACGTTTAAGCCGACAGTAACATTGTCACTGTCTGAAAAGAAGAAGAGAACTACTCCACGAGGCTGTTTCTGTCTCTTTTAACGAAGCTTCAGCTCCTCTTAAGCCTATATCACACTACGGATTGGGATTGAGATTGGATTGAAATTTGACCAATCAGAAAAAAGAAACCCAATCCTAAGTTTAGTGATCTTTGCTCTGATTGGCCAAATTTCAATCCAATCTCAATCCTAATCCGTAGTGTGACATAGGCTTTACGCGAATGTTCCGTCTATTATTTATATATAAGTCTATGCGCACAAAGCGTCTCAAGCTTTGTTCCGTTTCCACGCATTTATCTATACTATACGTGACGTGTACTATATAAATAGACGCGCGCGTGTGCGCGAAACGGAACGCAGAGCCTCGAAATGTCAAAACTGACATGTCTGCCAGCGAACTCTACAGAGTTCGTTGGAAACTATTACAAAAATGGTCGCAGATTGTTTTTCTTCTGTTTTATATATATATATATGTAGTCAAAACTCGATGCGATGAAATTGCAACTTGCGGTGGTTGAAATTGAAGTACGAAAGTACAAATGGTATAAATAAATTGCAAACCGCGCAAGTTTCAAGTAGAGAAATAGTTTTAACGCGAATTCGCCATGGCTGATAAAAGACAAACCAGTTTGTCGGTGAGTATAAAATGTCTTTGTTTATGTTGTAAGTTTTAATTGTAGTTATATGAAACTCGCGTGAAAATTGCGCTGACAGATTGTATGTAAGATAAAAATATATTGTCTAATTTTTAATATATAAATTTTATTGCCCGCGCACACAAGTTACGTAATGTTCAAAATAAAAAAATTGTATAACCTATTTGTTCTGAGAAAAATGTGTCTGAGAGCTTCTACTTTTGCTTACAGAAAGAAGAAATAGCGAAGCAGTTTATGCTTCCAGAAAGGAAGAGCAAGATTGCAACGTTACTGAAACAGGACGGACAGGCCTATTGTATTTGTAGAAGTTCTGACAGTTCTCGTTTTATGATGTAAGCGATTGAAACTTTTATTCGACTAACTATATTCAGAAGAGAAATTTGTCTAATCTCATATAAATTTTATTTTTATTTCAGAGGATGTGACGCTTGTGAGGAGTGGTATCATGGTGATTGCATAAACATAACTGAGAAAGATGCGAAACATATAAAACAATTTTTCTGCGTTGTAAGCGCATTTTTTTTTTTTTATAAACTAACAATGAGAAAAGTTCAATCTTGATTGTAAAAAATAATGTATTGACGTGCACAGCGTTGTAGAGAGGAAGATCCAACTTTGGTAACAAGATACAAGCCACGCAGAACCGATCAAGAGGACAGAAAACACAAAAAGTACAAAGAGAAAGAGAGGAATCATCGATACGAGCATGACGCGTCTTGGGATCCTAGATTGGAGAAAAAATCTTCCAAACGGTGCGGAGAGTGCACGGGATGTTTGCGTACAGAAAACTGTGGGAAATGCGACGCTTGCAAGTAAAAATACAAAACTAACTTGAAAAAATTGATGTAGCAAAATTTGTGTGTTTCATAAGATCATAAATCTTTAATTTCTCGTGTGCAGACATTTGAAAAAATTTGGACCTTCCGTACGGTTGAAGCTTCGATGTATTCAGCGAACCTGTAGGCGATTGGGAGATCCGTTGAAATCTTCGAAGAGTCTCAACAAGGGAATAAAATTGATCAAGAAACGGAAGCGAGACTCGAGTAACGAGAGAAACGATTATCTGGAACCGCCGCGTCATTGCTACGGACCCGCTTGCACGAAGCAATCGCGACCCGGGAGCAAGTACTGTTCCGACGATTGCGGCTTGAAATTGGCGACCAACAGAATCTATCAAGTATTACCGCAGCGCATACAGGAATGGTCCTTAACCGCGTGCATTGCGGAACAGAACAACAGACGCGCCTTGGAATCCGTGAGGAAGCAGCAGCACGACGTTCGTAGGATACTGCACGAGTTGGACAAGAGACACGTCGAGTTGGATCACATCGTCGAACGCGCGAGACACGCAACCATCGACGCGCAAGCGGAAGTCGACGACAACGATGACACGGAAAGCAGCACGTACTGCATCACGTGCGGCCACGAGATCCACGCGAGAAGCGCCATCAAGCATATGGAAAAATGTTTCAACAAGGTATTATATAAAAACACAAAACCGTTAAGTTCTACCCCCATATTCTAAAAGTGAAATCTTATTTTTTGCTTGTGTTATTTCACACAGTACGAGTCGCAGGCGTCATTCGGCTCGAGTGTCAAGACGCGCATCGAAGGTCAGGTGATGTTTTGCGACTTTTACAATCCCATAAACCGAACGTACTGCAAGAGATTGCGCGTTCTCTGTCCGGAGCACTGCAAGGATCCGAAAGTCGGCGACACCGAGGTTTGCGGCTGTCCGTTGGTTACGAACGTGTTCGACGCCACGGGTGAATTCTGTCGCGCTCCGAAGAAGAGCTGCTTGAGACACTACATGTGGGAGAAACTGCGACGGGCGGAGATAGACATGGAGAGGGTCAGGCAGTGGCTTAAGATCGACGAGCTTGTGGAGCAGGAAAGGCAGATCCGTTCGAACATGGCGTCGCGAGCCGGTGTGCTGGCCCTGATGTTGCACTCCACTTATAATCACGAACTGATGGAACAGATGACGCAGGAACAGAACAGAGAACAGTTACAAGCTATGGAAGAGGAGTTGCAAAGAAGATACGGATTACAGCAGGACCAATGCATGGAGCAGTGATCGCACACACTTGTTTTGTTCACACGCTCATCATACGATTTAACAAATATCGTTTACATGTGGAGTTCATTACATTGTAAATCTTTCAGTTTTTTTTTTTTTTTTTTTTTTTAAATAAAACTCATAATTCTTACGTATGTGTTTTGTGGTTTTCTTCAACGCAAAACTATACATATTACTGCGTGGAAAGAAAAACATACATATATTGTTGGACATACAGACGTGGAGATACGCAACTGAAACTGAAAGAACAAATTGTTTTGAATAATGGAATATGTAACACACATGAGTCTTTCTTTTTGGTAATATTGTTATTATTTACAGTATGATATATCGAGACGCAGAGACGTCAGGATTTTTTTTTTCACACACTCCGACAATTAATCGTTTCAACAAAAACCATTTATTCACAGGTCGTAGCCTCTGCAGATGCAAAATAACACGCCACAAACTAGCGGTTCTATCGCTTAGCTTCGGAAAAAAGTAAAGTCGCGTAAAGCGCATACCATTGGACATTGATTCTCTCGAGGAGAACACCGCCTGTTTCGAATCGTCTCCCTTAAAAAAAAAAACGCGTCAAGGATGCAATATTTTTTTTTCTTTTTTTTTTTTAACTGAAATCTTTGCGTTAAAAATTGAAACAATTATTAGAAAATTACGTTATCGCTAATTACATTACAAAAACCAGTCACATTTTGGAAGTTGTTAACATTAAAAAGAGGCAATAATAATAATAATAATAAAAAAAAGATTATCGTCCTCTGTCTAAGCAAGAATTGAGATTTTACGATATCTCTCAGGGCTATTTAAATAACTCTAACGCTACTTGCATATATGATGTATATATACATAAAACAAACGTAATAATAAACTTACATTTATTAATTTGCAAATAATTTTTGTTTTCTTTCTCTCAACACCTTAGGAACGAATTGTGTCAATGCAATGGCAGTTCGGAAGCTAATGCGCAATTAATTGTATAATCGATACTTTTTTTTTTTTTTTATAGACTGTAGTAAAAATATAGACTGTAGAATAAGGTGGTTTTTTTTTCTTTAATATCATTAAGATCGAGATATATAACTCGCATAACAATATTGTTATGACAATGTTCGCATAACAGAATCGTGCGTGTGTGTTATCTCAGTTATTATCCGCAAATAAATGAAATTTTATAGGCCACGAGAAATAAATCGAATTCATATTTCAAAAAATTCGATCGTGCCGAAAAAATGGGCTGCGAGTTGTAACACATGCAACTTGTTGTTTTTTTTAATTATATGTATATTATATATATATAATTTTTTTTTCTTTTTTTTTTTTTTTAAGGCCGACCGATTGAAAACAGGCGACTTATCCGATACGTGTGTGTATGTGTGTGTGCAGGTCTGACATAAATTCACACACATGTATTATGCCACGCGTATTAAAAAAAAAAAGGAAAAAGAACGAAATAGAACGACTCATTTATCACAGTATTGCACGCAAAGCTTGTACGAAATCGCAAGTAAGATAGCATAAAGGCCAAATGGCAACAACTACACGCTCTCATCATCTCGGAATACACAATCTAAGGAGAGGGAATCGGAGAATTCTCTTCTGTAAGAGAGAGAGAAGTGTATGTCGAAATACGGTTTTTTTTTAATCTACTTCTCTCGTCCCTCCCTCTTTTCCTCTCACTCTGTTTTGTTTTTTTTATCTGTCACTCTCACTCATATACACGACATAATCTTTTTTTTTTTTTTGTTTTTTTTACACATTCCATGGCAACGACTCCGAACATGACCCTTCACATCCGTGGTCCATGATAGCTTCGACGTACGTCTGACAATATCGTTAGTAACAAAATAATAAGTCATTATGTATGCGTGTATGTGTGTGTGTGTGTGTGTGGGGGGGGGGGATGTGGGGTGTGTGGGTTGTGTGAATACATCACCTGAGAATAAATCGTGATATATCTTTTTCGTTTTTTTCTAACATTTTTTCTTGGTTTTTTTTCTCTTTTTTCCCCTCCCTTCGCATCTTTCAACATACAAATCATTTCTCTCGGTAGCGGTATCCTAAAGATACGATCTGCCATCGCAATCGGATATTACAATTTAAAAAAAACAAGTACGTAAGCAACATTCAACAAGTTCACTGTCTCGTCCGATTTTTTGACGCAAGCTGGGTGGTTTCGATACACATGTGTACTAATATATATATATATATTTTTTTTTACAAAATGAAAATATCTTTTGCAAAAGAAAACAAATCAATTTTCTAGAACCAATTTGATAAACACTTTTGCTTTAATTTAATATAAAAAATCGTTGTATTTCTTATAACGAGTAATCAATTTAATCTAAGTTCGTTTGTTTGTTTTTTTGAAAGAAACTGACCAAATATGTACGCATGTACATAGTGTATGTATAATATATAAATATATATACATATTATATATACATATTATATACGCATGCGTATACACGCACGTACATAATATATGTATAATTATAATACATAAATATATACACATATGTATGTAAAGTTGTTTCATATACGTATGTGTGAGAAAAATTTCTTCGCAAAAAAAAAAATAAATAAAATTTTTATAAGATCGAGTTCAATTCATACGTTTGCAATTAACTATTTCAATATTTCGAGAAATTCATCAAGAGAAGAGCGATTTTTTTGCGCAAATTTTTTTAATCGAGGCGTTTAAAGAAGAGAGAACAAAAAATGCTATCTCTAAAAAACGACGAAAAGCTATCACGGTTTTTTTGATTTATACCACCCCTGGCACAGCGCTTTACTGCGTCAATAATGATACGACCTGACCAAACAAACATTTTAAATATCACTGCTTATCGTACTCTCTAACACTCGCAAAAGAGAACTTTGGCAACAACACACTCGCATTATAAGGTTTTGCAGCTGGACAGCACAGCCTTTCACGCACACACATCAAACACGCGGGCACACACAAATTGTAGCTTTGATATACACAATCGCGGTAAGCTTTCTCTCTCTCGTTCTCGCTCTCTCTCTCTCTCTCTCTCTCTCTCTCTCTCTCTATTTATCATTTATCATCTCACTAATAATAGCGGTATTAATTAATAATTTTTAATTAGATAGTCGTTTTTTTAGCGTCGGTAATAATACAATAGTTATATTATACAATACCATATGTACAATACGAGAGAAGAATCGTTTCATATCGAATAACAAATTGTACAGCGATACAAGATTAACATCCAGGTTGTCGAGAGACAAGTTTTTTTTCTCCGATCGTCTTTTCCCTCGGTCTTTTCCTATTTCGTTCGTTTCGTTTTTTTTTTTTTCACATTACTATTATTTATTTATCTTCCAGATACTCGCGAGAATTGCCTTGTACTTGGGAAAGTTCATCAATTGAACGTAAAACCAAATCTAGATTTTTTTTTTTAACGCATATTCGTGTGAAATCATCGATCGCTCAACAAAGTTGAGCGAAAGGAAAACATCGAAGCGCACAAATATAATAAAAAGGGATCTCTCAATGCTAAATACATATAGAACTTTTGGATATTTTTGTTTCAATATAAAAATCGAACGTCTGTAAAATGAATTGTAGTATCCGATATGAAAGAAAATAAACATGTATTTTTATTTGTTCTCATAAACATTTATAAACAAAAACAGTAGAGGGGGAGGGACAAATTCGTTCTTGTATATTGATTACAGTTTTGCATTTTGTCATTTCTTCCGAGTCACAGTGTTGTTTTACTCCAATTTGCATGCAAATCAAGATGGTAGTTTCTAGTGCCGCGTATTTTTGTTGTTTCTCGCATATGTCTGTCAAATCGAAGCAATGAAACAATTTTATATGCTACACGTATAGATTAAGACGGGATTACCATAGCTGCCTCCCCCGCTATGTACACTGTTTGGAGAGGGTGGGTTCAGGTTTCGTCTTTCTTTTTATTCTGGTTTTTTTTTTTTTTTTTGGTTTTTTGGTTTTTTTTTCTTTTCGTCCGGCTTAATTCTTCCTCTTCACGAATATACATTTGCAGCTAGTTTTTCGCGAATTCCTATCACGTGGCCATTAGAGAAATCGGTTAATGGCACAGGCTGAGAGACTGCAGTTAGTTTTTTTTTTTTTTTTTTTTTTTTTTTTTGTTGTTTTTTCGTTAAAGCAAGTTGGAGCACCTTATTTCGTGAATTTGTTTTTTTTCTCTCGCACACATATCGGATTTTAAAGTAACTCAAAAAAAAGTATCTCAACATTGGATGCGAACATTTTCATAACAATTCCGTCAAAAAAGTAATATGATACAGCACAACCGTAATAACAAGTGTTATAGTCGAGTGTCCCACGTACGTAACACATGTAAAAGAAAAACAAAAATAAAATAAATCGTGGGCAGTCGGTATAATATATAATATATACCTCGATTTTTGTTGCAACACACGCACACACACTCATCAGGAGGAAAACCGAAGCGCGCAAAAACTATAAAAAAGAAAATCTCGGTCGAAGAAATAGAAAGATAAAGTTTTTGCGACTTTTAGAAAATAGAAAAGTTCCGGTGCGTTAATGTGTTATACATTGAAAGAAAAAAGTGACTAAAACAGCGACCGTAAATATTGGTCAACACAATATATCCAAACTTTTGCAAACTTACTCAAAGAAAAAAAAAAAAAAAAAAAAAAAAAAGAAAAGGAAATTACCTCAATATATTTTGTTGTGTTTGCAAAAGGTGCTAACAAATATGCGCTTAATTTTTTATACTTTTTTCGAGTTACATCTCCGATATGCATCGTATATATATATATATATGTAATGCGTCGTAATAATAATAATAATTAAATATCTCAATTTTTCACAATTATCTCGAAAGCTGTACTTCCAGCTGAACTATTTCCTATGTAGACAAAAAAGAAGAGAGTTTCAACGGAGCGTGGTACCTTTTTTTTTTTTTTGTCGTTTTTTACACAATTTTGATATCTTCGCAAAGAAAAAAAAACGATATATAACAAACTTTATCAATCCTAATTCATTAATAATAATTAACTCGTTTCGTAATATATATATTTATATATATATGTATATACTAAATAGACAGAGCGCACACACTCTTAACCAGGCTTTCATACGAAACTTTATCTGTGATAATTTATTTTTTTTTTCTTTTTATCGTTACCTATAAAGGCGATAAGTTTCAACCGATCATTCATTCGTTTCTCCACGTGTAGTATGAGATTGCTGCGCGAATAATATTTGTTTATTCGAGAAAGAACAAGTGTTTGCTCTTAAGTCTCTAAAATCTTGTTCTCACATTTTCTCGCTCCGGTAAGTGAGAGAGAAGCAGAAACACATCACCGAAACACAAAAAATTGAAAAATGCAACTAAAACTAGTATTTCGAAAACACAAAAACCAATCAGTATGTGTGTTTATTTTATTTTTTTTCTTTTTTTTTTTTTACTACTCAACTCGCTCGGTGTTTGCGGTAGAATATTACGCGCGAACCGTACGCTCTACGCCACAAGATTGACAAAATCCGTAGATTTATATTATTTAAAACTCGTATGCATTACAATTAGGGTTAAAAGCAGCGTTAACACTTCGTCTCTTAGGCTCGAGTTTTTAGGCAATTAGCGAATTTAAAAAGTATAGTAGGGGATTCGTATCTTTTCTCTTCTAACCGACGATTAATTTAAACGATATATTAGATTCGCCAGTGTATATTTATCTAACGTATATTCTCATAACACGTGACAATCGTATTCTTTCGCATATCCGTGAATAAACCAAATAAAAATTCGATTTCTCCGTTCTCTCAATGTGATAAAAAAAAAAAAAAAAAAAAAGAAAATGAGAAACAAACCTGAGGAAAAAAAAGAGACAACTAAAAGTGAACTTTTATAAGAGTTACATTCAATAAGAGCACGCATTAATATAATGCGTACGGATTATTATTTTTTTTTTTTTGTGCACATTCTTCACAGTGATCACAGTCGCAATAAAATTCAATTTTCTGTTATTTGTGTTTTTTTTTTTTTTGCTACGTACATATGTAATGTGCGACACGTTTCCGTTGTCGTGTGGTGGGTTCTTAGACGTAAAAAATAACATCTCGGAAACGTTTTATTTGTCTGCAATTACTATGTGGAAGTACGAAGGATCAATACGGCATTATATATAGATGATCATGTTAAGCGAGACGGTTGATATTGTCAATGTGACTCGTATAAGTGTGTGTGTGTGTGTATGTGTGTGTGTATATATATATATATGAAGTTTATTTTAAACAAATTCTTTTCCGTTAAATTCTAAACAAGCATCGTTCAAACATGAAGAAAAAACATGGTCTGTGCAAAGTTGCAGCACTATAAATGTGACAACATGAAATGCAATCAATTTGGAATAACTTTTAAAGCCTCTGTAAAAAGTTCGAAGATTTTTACGTACACGAAGTGTTCCATTATCAATTCTGATGCGCACGATGTGATTTTACCATTCGCAAAAATAATCGCAGAAAACAAAATCGCGCGGTTCTTATACGAGGCTCCGCGTTCGAGAAAATGCGAGCTTGAAAACAAAATTAATTAATTAATAATTCCTGGGTTAGGTTAACCTTGTATTATTATTACATAGGTATATAAAAAAAAAGTGCACCAGTCCATTTCATACAGCAATGTAAAATCACATATAATGTATGCAATAAAAAAAAATAAATAAAAAAAAAACAGATTTTAAAAGCATTACACAAATCAGATGTTGTACTTTATTTTTTACTTATGTAATAACCGCTGTCGAAATATCATCTGCCACAAGGTTAAAGTTAAGAAATTTTCGAAGTTTCTCGAAGACGAAGAGACTCGTGTAAAAAACGTTTCGTTCCTTTATTTTCGACATGCTTTATTTGTTTTCCACGATTTTGTTTCTCACGCTTCCTCGCCCGCAACGCGGCGGCACATTGTGTACGTAAAAACGCAACGCGCAGCAACGATCGAGCAGCAATCTCATTTCCATAATTCTACGATAGAAGAAAGTATACACGAATTTTACACGCGCGCATTCACACCATTCGTATTTTTTTTACTGAATCACAAGCATCTTGTTTATAATTATCATTATGGATAATTATCAGTTACTTCTTAAATAAGCAGGTCTGTGTAAAAATTTAGCTTTTTTTTTTTTTTTTTTTTTGCGACACATTCCGCGTCTTATCTTCTCACAGACATTTGACCAGATTTTGAGCGTACTTCGACATTTTCAAAACCCAGTTAGTGACTTTTTATTTTAACACTTAGAGTGCCTGGCTATATTTTTTTATCACTGAGAGGTGATAAGGTGTACTCTTTTGTTTTTGTCATCCCCCAACAATTGTCATATATGATGTTCTCGTCATCATTTACTGATCTCGTGAAATCGGGAGGAAAGCTGTTTTCCAAATATATTATATTATATTATATATATATGTATACATATGGATAAATAAATAATACACAAATATATATAAATAAAAAGAGAAAATATATATGAAAACTCTAAATGTGACTTCACGTAAACAAAAACTATGAGGTTTTAAATGTCTGAAAATTCTTCTTTTACTTTTAAAAGCTTTCTTTCACATACGCACAGGTTGAAAAGTCTCATATATATATTTATAAAAAAAAAAGAATCTATATTATGAATAAATGTATATGTTTGTGATGATATTTAGAACGTGTACTGCGTTTTGAAAAATATTATATTTAAAAAGTATTTTTTTGTTTAAAGAAACGCAACAATTGTAATTAAAATATAAGAAGCAATTTAACATGCGGATGACAAAAATCGAGTCCTTATCAACCATTCAGATCGACTAACATTCCCTGAGTCCAGACAAACCTCTGTCGTGCACTAGATTTGCATGGATGTGATCCCCAAGCATACACAGTCGATAAGAAACTACTAACTTGAAACTGTGTGTGCATTAAGTTTCATATACCAAGTGTGTATACACGTCAAGTGTGATACACACACACACACGGCACTCTTAGTGTTAAGTTTATCGATCTCTCGCTCCAGAATCGACAAAAACTCACCGGACCAGTGATCTTCCATGTCGATCGAAATCGTCCCAGCTCGCAGGAGCTAACCAAAACTAATTATAAATGTTTTTTTACGAGGATACATTAATCCTTGAGAGAGTCCACCTTCTCCTTTCCGATCAGGCATCACTAATAGTCAATACTGTAGTTTTACGACACTGTCATTATCATGAGAAATTTAAGCACAATGTACATTGCTGGAATATACACTTTTTTTTTTTTAAATCCTTCTCTTCCGTCTTGTTTCCCTCCCGTTTTTTTGGTGATTGATTCTTATGTACATTGCTATTAACTATCTCTTGAGGCACACTTCGCACCACTCGGCTCCACTAATCTCACACTGGTTCGAAAACGTTTTGAATTCAAAGAAGACAGATGATTCTCCGAGCGAATGTTGATGTTTTCATTTTTTTTTTCTCTCTCTCTCTCTCTCTTTACATGCTCGAGAGCAGCAACTGCGCACGTAAACACGCCCAAAACCGACCTCGTGCGTTAATGAGAGAGAGACTCAACGAACTAGCTATTTGTAATGGAAGTATAGTTTTACCAATACAAAAAGTTATTGTTATTGCCCATTTACTACAGCCCCACGACAACTTTCACTTCATTGTCCACTGTAGAATTGTATGCGACCGGTTGTGGTCACAGGCATTTCTCTCATGACTGCGTCCCACGCTATTGACAAACAAAAATCAAATTGAATACGAGAAGAAACAAGCGAGATGAAGAGCAATGTAATGAAGTAGTGAGAAGTTTTGTGTGTGTGATGAAGTTTTAAATATGATTGGTTACATACTACATGTTATTGCCTTACCTAAGCCAACGAACGAGACGATCTTATCGTGATTGTACGACTGCATGTTCAGCTCTTCTTCGGGCGCTACGTAAAGCATAGAAAAGTCTTCCTTCGGCGGATGGAACTTTTCCACGATTCCAGGCGGAGGTGGTGGCGGCGGTGGTAGATACGTGGGCGGTGGAAACCTGGTTGCATAACTCATGTACGGCAGTGGTTGTATCATCACCGGATGCATCGGTGTCACGTGAGCATTAGTTGGCGTCACATGAGCATTCGGCGGTTGCATATGAAAATTGGAGAACTTGTCGTACCTCACTGGTTTCTCGGTGAATAATGGCGGGTTCCTCTCGTAATTGTTGGCGGGCGGTGGTTTGTTGTCGACAAGCGGCGGCGGAGGCGGCGCAGCTGATGGAAAACCAGAGTCCGTCACAACCACCGGTGTCTCCTCGTTGCCATTGTCTTCCGAGAGCAACAGCTGCTCGTTTATCTCGAAACCGAAAGTTAGCTCCGTCGGCAGATTGTTATTCTTGCTGACGTCGGAGGAAGTTTCATCCAGCAAGATCACCGCGGGTCTTGAGTTCTTGGCCTGCTGCATCTCCACAGACGGCCTCTGCGACTGGTCCTTATCGGATTGCGCACTCTGCGACTTCGGTTTCTTGCTTTCAGTTTCCTCGCGTTGCTGACTTTCTTGCTTCGAGTTAGCTTGCGGCTGACACATCGTCAGTTTCACCGCGTCGTTCTTCACAGGAACGTTTTGATAATCCTTCACAACTCTCCCTGTCCTGGGATTGCAATTAACGGTCGTCTTGTTGTTGTTACTCGACTCAGATTCGACGATCTGCGACTCCTGTTGCACAGATTTCGCGGTCTTCAACTTTTGCGCGTCCGTATTGTCATGCGGCGCGGTCGGTAGATTGGCTTTGCCGTCGGACTGTAAGGTATCGTTGTGCGATTTCTTAGGCATTTCGTCCTGATGAGAAGACACTGTCCTTTTGGGGTGTTGCTCATCGTGCAATCCTTGTTGAGGTTGCACATTCGGATTGCTATGTACGTAATTTCTGCGAGAACGGGGATTGTTGGATCTTGAATGTATAACGGAATCCTTATTATTAACGGCACAGCTGAGATTATTGTCAGCATCGACCGCACTATAATTCGTCGTTGTACTATTACTTCTCAGTTTCGGCGTCACGTTTGTCGCGACACTTTCATTGGACGTATTGGAATTCGCACTGTAACTATTGGAAGTCGTGTGTTTCTGGGTTTCTTGCTGTGTCAGATTCTCATGCATCTTTTCAATGTCCTGAACATATTTGAACACTTGAATATTCTTATTGATAGCTTCTTCCTGAGCCTCAGCTTTTTTCCTATCCGAGTTCTTCATCTTCAAAGTCGGCGATAGCGGCTTATCCAAATTCAAGTTCACCGCGGCCTGATTAGACTGAACAGCCGTGTTCTGTTGTTGCCTCACTTTTCTTTCCGAGTGCTGTATCTCGTCCAGGCTCGGATAATAATCTTGAGGCACTTTATCTGGTTCCGAGGACGTCTTCGACGGTACGCTCGGCCACGAGGCTGTGTTCAGCATGCTGGGTACGATTGCAGCCATATTCAAATTGTGCGGCATGTTAATGGTGGCCATGCGCGCTATGTCCGCGTAACTAGCCTGCGGAATACCGCTCGATGACGTCGCGACTTTAGACAGACTGTGCTTCGATGTAACCGGCAGCGATTGAACCGAATCCAAGTCGCTGCTATCCGACTTATCACTGTAAAGAGAATAAAATTCATACATTTAAATTAAAAAATTTTCAATATTATTTTTTTTTTTTTTTACATTTTTTCGAGTGTCTGATTGTTATTAACTCACCTCGGAGGCATGCTACTCGCCGATTTTCTTCGCAACTCGGGAGAGAGCGGCGTTCTGTACTCGTTAGAGAATCCTCTGGAATTCTGAAGATACGATCCTGACGTTGTCAGATTTTGCGCCCTGCTGCCGCTGGAACTTCTTCGTTGTTTCTTGCTCTTCTTTTTCTTTGTAACCACTAGAAATTCCGTTTCCTGTTCGGGCTCCGGATTGATCTTCTTGTTGGAATTGGGGCGGCTGGCGTAATCCTCTCCAGTGTCGTTGCAATATATTGATTGACCTTCCTCTGTCCCCCAGGAACGCCTGTCGCCTCGACTATCGACCGTCGTATCGCCGGTGCTTCTTTGCTTCGAACGACGCAATGCCACATTCACACCTGTGATTATAAAACAATGATAAACGATTACAAAATACCGGAAGATAAAACTCAAGTTTAAAAAGAAAAAAAAATATATATATGTATAAATATTGAGAAAAGAGAGATATAATATTACATATAAAATATTTTATTACCTTGTTGGCTGGATACACTGCTGGCGCCACTCGAACTGCCACTTTTCTCCATCGTGAGATCTTCCAATTTCGTCTTCGATATTTCCTCAAGAGAATTCGACTTCTGCAACTTCGACGGCAATTGCTCTCTCTTCGTATCCTTTTCCCTGGTTCTCGGTTTTGTGCCAGAACTGGTCTTCACTCTGACTGGATTACCGGTCTTGCCTTTTTTGCTTTTCGATTCTTTATTTTCAATGAAATTGATCAGACTGTCGATATCCTCGTTACGATGACCCTCGACGTTCTCGGCATTGTAAACCTTAACGTTGTGTTCCTGGGTGTGTTTCCTTCTGGGTTTCTTGCGTTCACCGTTGTAAGTCTGCACGGCGTTCCCATTCTCGTCCAACGACTTCTTCTCCCCAGATACAGACGGGTCTTTCATCGTAATATGCTGCGCATATCTTGTTCCTTCTGTCGCAATCAATTCGAGAGAATCGATAAAAAAAAAAAAAAAAAAAAAACACGCGTATCGCAAAATTTTGATTACAGGACGAATTTTTTTGATAGTTACATTAAACAACAAGTGTGTTAATTACTTACCCATAGTTAAGTTCTGTGCTTGCCAAGTCGCTTGCATCACGGAACATATACCTGGTATAGATTTACTCTGGGGAATATTGGGATTGGTTGCGGTTCCGCTTATGCTACACTTTATACTGTTGTGAGGTTGAAACGACAACGCTCCTGTCATATCCGCACCATTGACGGATATTTTTGATTTTTCTTGTTTGTGGTCGCGAATGGGAAATTCTATGGTGGTGTCCACGGGAGTCTGCGTTATATCAAGAGTCGCCCGTGTAACATAATGAATTGGCTTACGAGGTTCAATTATTTTCATTTCAGTTCCCTCGTCATTTTCGGCGTCCAACGATCGAGGTCTTTGAACTCCACTAGCCGTAGATCCTAAAAGTCTCTCCTCATGTTCTCTCTTAATAGCGTCTATCTGCAATATCAAAAAGAAAACAAATGTTTTTTTTTTTTTTCGTCCACAGAAATTTCTTCAATATTCGAGAACACTTGGAACGAAAAAGAATGTCAATATGTACCACATCAGTTATATCAGAAGTGAGTACTTTACCTCAGCTTCGGTTATATCAATCACCATGTAATCCGATTTATACTCCGGGGGTGGATTATCGGATTCGAGCATCTCATTTGTTCCGTATTTTCCTTTGCTGACCTTCTTCTCTCGCGTTTCGGATTCTGTCTCACCCGGGCCGACGACGTCCCTCTTCGAATCCTTTTTCTCCTTCTCCTTCTCCTCCTTCTTTGTACTAGTGTAGGTGGGTTTGTCTAAGGACTTGGATTTTTCTTTATTGGTCCAATCGTATGCCGATCGCTCCTCGCAAAAACTCTTCTTCAAAAAATCACGCAAGAGAAAGAAGATTACTTGCACGTTATTTAAAAAGATTCGCACTATGAGGAATATTTTTTAAATTTCATCGTATATATATATATATATACCTTTTTGTCGAACAATAGGTCTAGATTAGCCAAAGAAGCAAGGCTGTGTGTTGCATTCACATTTGACGGTAACGATCCACCCTCTCTCTGTCGAGCGGAAACACTAGGCCCTGTGTGTTTCTTGTTCTTTCTTCTACTACTCCCGTAAGTGTGACACGAACTAGACGTCAGATAAGCGAAACTGTCGAATTCTGAGGCAATGGGTTGGGCTAAATTTTGAAGCGATCCGCCATGTGTCAGACGCTCGGATACGGATTCTCGTTTGTGCCTTCTGCGATTTGAGCCTGGTAGACGTGAATTAGATATTAATCTACGTCCTTCCTCGGTCTCATCCGCTTCTGCTTCTTGCAACAGTTCCTAAAAGGCACGTATACATTTATATTTCGTTCTTACGGCGCGATAATAAATTATTTTATACATGTTAAAAGTTTTAATAGATACCTTGAACAGATTAGATTTACCCTCTCGATCTTTCGGACGCTTGTACGTTATAGCTTCATCCAGCAAAGCGCGTAATTCACCTTCGTTCAGTGCAGACAGGGTTGCTGGTTCTTCCTAAAAATAAAAATAACTGAAAAAAATTACGTTATTTATGCCAAGGTTGCAGAGAAACTGCACCACATTGAATAATTCTTCTTCATCTTTGCCAAAGTAGATGTACTGTAAGCAACTAAACCCAACTTTCTCTCTCCCTATCTCTCTCTCTCTCTCTCTTTTTTTTTAATCATTAAAAAAAGCCATCAATTCTGTTTAAACTCTTTCCTTTATCTTATTTCAAATAAATGTTAGCAAACAACATAATCCTAATTATTGTGGGACAAAATACAGTAGACACAAATTTTGCGTTACATTAATTTCACAAAAACAAATCTATATTACATTAAAAATCCGTTCACAAGTTGGAGATGGAAAGAGATATAATGATAAAACCCTAGAGTGAGTTTAAGGTTTCTCTTATTGGATCTGTTTGTGAGGCTTAGGAGGCAACCACACACAGAGCGAGAACTCTGCGAATGTGTAATGAACTATAACTCAACTGTGACTAAAATTATTCAAAATAAACATATGTTTGTTCTGAATAGTTTACACTTTTTGTTGATGATGATGACATTCGATCATCAGTTAATTGGTCGTAAATAAACAAGTAAACAGATTTTGTCTCGTCGTTCTTCTATCGAAAATACATCTTCAACTTCATTGAAACGGGGAGTTGAATCGGTCCGAGATATATTTGAAAGGGTTCAGAAACATTGATTGTAAAAAATATCAGGGAAACATGAGCGAACGAGAAGAAACAAGTGTGTCTCATACGAGAATTAGCGTGGAAAAAGCGAAGGGAAGTGTTTTTTTTTTTTTTTTTCGGGAGATGTTCACAGCTGACCCCCGTGACGAAGTTCGAACGTTTGTTCGGTGACACACACGAGACGATCGTCGTCGCACATACGGAGTCCGAATTTCTTGTGGAGTCATGCGCAAAACACAGAACGGGGGAACAAAGAGGTCGGACGAGAGGGACGTAAAACGATTCGGCACGTAAGTAAAGTACGTCGGAAGACGTACGTACGTGTAACATAGACACACGACAAGAGCGTGCTGATGCGGCGTCCGATCCCGGTGGCCATCCGTGAAAAGATCGATAGCGCTCTAGCGATTAGCTTAATTAAGACGCGAGCGAACGACAAAGAGAGAGAGACAGACACAAGGAGAGACGGACACATGATGATATCAGGGGGAACTTACGACGAGTGTGACGGTGGAAAAAAAAAAAAAAAAAAAATCCGTACTAGGCAATGCCGGCACGGAATTCGTATTTTTAGAGGACACACACACAGTCCGGGTGTCGGTCGCTCTCTCTCTTTCTTTTCCTCTCACACACCAAGTCTCACGCACTCGCCGAACTATCTCGTTCTTCTCTTCCCTCTCGCACTCGCGTGCCGCGCCGCTACACGCAACTCGTCGTCGCCGTCGCCGTCGCTGTCGTCGTCGTCGTCGTCGTCGTCGTCCGTCGTCGTCGTCGTCGTCGTCGTCGTCGTTGTCCTCGCGTGTGTACGTGCGTTTGCCAGCTCCGCCGCACCGAAAAGCGCTGATCAACACGCGCGCAAACGAACGTCGTGCATCACCCGACACGTGTCGAATATCTCGACGCGGATATATTATCAACGACGGCACGTTGTCGTCGACGTACGTCGGCGGAAACGTGTCGACGGTACGCGTTCGAAGGAACGTGTCCCGGTTTTTGAAACCTACTGCGACGAGCGGGCGCGGCGCGCTCTTCCCAGCATGGCCGCCGCCATTACACTGAAAAGTGTACGGCCAGTCCAGGGCCGTACGAAGGTGTGCGCGACGCCACGCGGGGGATAGCTTTTCTCGAGATAGGTTTTTGTTTCGGGCTTTTTTTTTCTTCTCTCTCTCTCTCTCTCTCTTTTTTCACGCGACGTTCGATACATCTCGAGATCGAACAAAACAGAAACGGAAAATTATGAAAAGCAGTCGACGAGAGAGAGAGCATCGACACACGACCGAGCGCTCTTATCGCTCGGTAAAGTGTCGATCTTAAAATTGAAGTAATTTTTGGAAAACGTGTTCGATGATTGAGGGAATCGAACGATCGACTCGGCGGGGCTCACTGGTGAAGTTTAAATTGCAATATTTTCGCTGAATTCGCTCTTTGACACATCGCTGAGTCTCGTTTCGTCGTGTACACGACGAGGTCGTTTTCGAGCATGCCGATTGGCTCTCTTGGAAGAGAGAGAATCTTCGAGACTTCCAGAAATTCGCTCGTATGTATGTGCGCAAAAAAAAAAACTTGGTCGTGTGTCGCAAATATAAATGATCGTAACTAGATATACGGAAAAAACGAAGCTCTCTCGATCATCACGCTTCGTATTGTCACGGAGCACACAGTTGGTTGCTTTTCGCGCACACAACAGACTCCAATTTATTAACAGAAGCGAGTGTCTCTCATACCGTCAATTGCTCCGTAACACACACACACACGTACACGTATAGGTCACATATTTGCATTTTGTGAACGTGAAAAAAAAAACTAATATAATCGAAATTCGATAGAAAAACGCATTTGCATCGCGTGACGCAGATTGTTGCACAACAAAACAATCGGTGTTTCTGTGTGCGTCAGAATTCAATTTGTTAAAAAAAAAAAAAAAAACTGGACAGTACACGTTGAACACGGTCATTCACAGATCGCGTTCGATACTATACACACGTATATATGTATGTTGAAAAATTATTTATCCGGCGGTGAGAGACAATCGGCAATTGCGCGATTCGGCCCTAAACGCGCGACACGCTCCTCCTCTTCTTACGTTGAGATCTCGCCTTTGTTGAACTCGTCGACAATGCGAAAGACATTTATTAGAATACAAGCAGCTTCCTCGGTCGGTTTTATTTTTTTTTTTTTTTCTAACGACCGTATTCACGCGATACCGTGTCCGTATTATCGTATCTGCAATGCTAACCGCTACATTTTTAACATATGCACAGCAATAGACATACGTAACGGGTGTTTCATTAAATACTCATTATTAGTCTGAGCGTCATTGAAGAGCGTCGCAGTTTTTAGACGCGCGCGCGCGCGCGTGTATTTTGTTTCCGAAAAAAAAAAAAAAAAACAAAAGTTTTGCGAAAAAAATCATCTCGATACGTATATCACCTTCGGTGCAAAAACAAAAGAGCTTCCTCGAGGATCCGAGAAATCTTTTGACAGAGCTGAGAAATTTGTCTGAATTTTCTGTACTACGTGTGAAAAACAAATGTGTCTCTCTCTCTCTCTCTCTCGGCTCCGAAAATCCATGTCTCGCGTCAAACCGCCGCCGCGTTTATGCTCGGACAGAGAGATCCGAGACGACGACCGACGATGTTGTGTCACGCCGTATATGGAGTACCCTCGTCGGCTCTCTCGATCGTCACGTCTCGGGAGCGTGTGTGTTCGCGGCTTCGATATTAGGCTTTGCCTCGTTTCTTCGCGCGCGCGAGCTGTTAAAGACGACGTTCGTCAAACGCGCATTCTTCTCTTCCTCTCGCACGTGTCCCTGAATCTCCCGGGAGCCTAACGACGCGTTTATATCAGAGAGAGAGAGAGAGAGAGACCGAGCAGCGGGGAATGCAAGTCAATAAAATCCCGCATCTCCGACGGCGATAGTGGAAATTGCTTTACGAAATTACATATCGCGTCGCGTCGCGTCGCATCGCGTTGCGCGCGCGTGCGATAACAGACTATTGCGTAATAAGATTTTTCGAATTTACGGGGATTAAATTGCGAAAAGAAAACCCGACGCGATAATCTAAAGGCGGCGAGTTGACGCATTTTCTCAATCGGACGTACGTGCGTGCACGAGCGGCCTTTGATTTACCGTGCGCGCGCGCGCGTGTGTGTGTCGCGCGCGTACAAACGAGCAGCTGGTCACGACGCTTATCGGTCTTTTAATAAAAAATAAAGCTGAGAGAGAGATAAGCGAGAAAGAGAATGGAAATAACAAAGCGGCAAACAAGAAAATCAGAAAAATCGGATATAGGCTATTACGTGGCGCGCGCGCGCAATAAAAACCGATGATCAATCCGATCGGGGAAAGGGTATGAGTAATCATCTTATACGGGATAAGAAGAACGCGAGGGAGAGAGAGATCGTGTTTTCTCTGGTCAAGTACAGAGATCTGGCGCAAATAGACTCACAGCCGATATACTCGCGTTATACCCGCGATAAACAAAAATTTGTTTCCAATCGTGTCAATTGTGCGCGTCAACGCACAACGCCTGTTGTCGATTTCGATTCGCAATTCGCGTGCCCCCGTTTTGTCCCCGTTTTAATTCCGGAAGCAATGAAGACAAGAGAGTACGCGTTTCGCGATTGATCGCGATCGTTAACCGAGCGCTTGATTTCGCGCTATATCGCGAATTTAACCCCGTTTCGAAACACTGCGGTTGTTGTTGTTTGTTTTTCACCGAAGGGCGTTATATCGTTTCACAACGCGACCGCTATGAAAAGTTTTGTGAGCCCGATTTATTGCCCCCCCCCCCGACGCTATTGATTTCGCGTAAATTTGGCACAACACACAGCCCTCGGGATGGAGGAGAATCCCGGATTCTTTTCTTCTTACGCAATAATCCCGGAATCAAGAACCGCCGCTGGAACGAACCGGGGGGGAGAGGAGATCCGGCTCGCGAGAAATCGGAGGACGCGCGCGAACCGATCGAACGAACCGAAAAGGGATATCGGGAACGTATTTGCGCCTCGAGTGAGGATGCGTCCTCGCGCTCTCGTCGAGGATCCGCACAGCCATTTCAGGAACGTAACTTGTCAAGTGTGTGTCGTCCTCAAATCGACGATAAAGATTCTCTCATGTGACATGCGCCTTTCTCTAATTGAAAAGAATGACTTCATCTCGCGATGTTCGAGACAGAGAGAGAGATCGCGCGATTGAAAACCGCATTTTTTTCGAATCGCGCTTTTGTGTGACCGCGAAAGAGTTCCAAATATGGAACTCATATTCCCTGACGCATCATCTCTCGTTGTATTTCGTAATGTAAAATAAAATATCCCGTTCGAGTGTGTAACGAGTATGTAATTGAAACGAATACGCGATTGTGAAAAAAAGTGTGTATATTTCAATCCTCAAAATGTGTCCGGGAGAGATTAATGGACACGGCTAATTGAAAACCAACCGACGAGATGACGCAGACGACACACGTCGTCGGTGGGATAATAATTGCTGTCAGTGGGAAGATCGTAATGCGATACCGCGCGAGAGATGCGATAAGGTGTCTCGAGAAAAGCCTTGCCCGTGAGAGAGAGAGATTTCAAAAGACTCTCCCGACACACTTCTCGCACACAGATACTCCGATCTCATTTCGCCAATTAATTTTCGTGAGGAAAAACAAAAAAAAACAAAAAAAAAAAAAAACAAAAAAATTCTTGTCGATGAGAATTTTTCGGCGTCTCTTCGTTTCCTCGACCGTTCGGCGACTGCTCACCTGTTTGCTGTCGGCGCCGCTGTTCGGCGGCGAGCCCTGGCTGACCGGATCGGCGGCGCCAGGAGCAAAATTAACCGGAGCGATCTCGACGTTCGCACTTTGCTCAGCGACGACGGTGACAGTGGCGACAGATTCGTTATTGTTACTGTTATTGTTATTGTTACTGTTGCCGTTGTTATTACTGTTGCCGCTCGAGGTGGTGGTGGTCGTCAATGTGGTGTTGCTATCCGAGTTGTCCGCATCGACTGCGGCATCGGCAGCGGCACGTTCTTCGCTCTCGGTTATCTTGTCAGGGGCCACCGGTTCCTGACGGTGTTCCGGCCCTGGGGCCATCTTGACCGAAATTGACAGCGCGGTGTCCGCCGTGCTCATAGCTCCCTCCTCGTCATCTCTTTGTCTTTTTGCCTTCCCGCCCTTGTCTTCTTCTTGTTCCTCAAGGGCCGTTCAGCCGCGGAAGGATCATTCGCGCGAGCTCGTTGACGATCCGCGCTGCATCGAAAGACGACGACGACGACGCCGCACACACACACACGCACACCTACCCACCGTCTTTTTTAGTTCGACAAACGCTTGTACGACGACATGCTCGGAACACAACGAACCGGTCGCAACAACCAAACGCGCTTTATGCAGATTTTTCGACTCCGCCAATTAACTCTCCTCTCTCCCCCTTGTCCTTGTTTTTCTTCGTGCGTTAAGTACAGGTGCGATATTTAAGCCGAGACAGAACGAACGGCTTGTTTCGCTAATCCGAGACTCCGACAAACACCGCGGAGTCCTCGAAGCGAGCACGTCGTCCGCGTTTAATGCGACCTTGTTAACTTTATAAAGGCGCCGCGTGTCTCGGGCTCTAAACGTGTGCACGGAGCACTTAACCTAGAAAAATACACAGCGGAGCTCTAGAAAATCCCGGCAACGTGTTCTTTCTCGAGACGGGGGGGGTTCCGGAGAGATGAGAACGTTGCGCGAGCAATTCCCCCGAAGAACTGTTCGTTTGTTATTTCACGTATCGTCAATATGTACACGCATATATACGTTCCTCGACGCGGCGCGCAATCGAACGTGGTTTCTTCGCAACCGAGTTTTTTTCTTCTTCTTCTTCTTCTCGCACAAGGCCGACAAAAATGGCCCTCCCTCGATTCGCGCCGTTTGACAGTCGGTTGATCGAGAGTTTTCTTTTTTTCTTCTCCGCACCGTCACACAATGCTCGCGAATTTCCCGGATTTTCAGTTCTTGTTCCCAAGAGATCGCGAGAAAACGACGCACCTCGATCGCACCGTCACTCGTCGGTCGTATGTGTTCGACGATGATCAAATATGTGTGTGCGTGTGTGTTTCGGAACTCGCGAGGGCCGAGAGAGTTTGGAGGTTAAGTCGCACACACAGCTTTTTCGAGAGAGTGGGCTCTGTCAATCGACGCGCACACACACACACACATAATACGCACACACAAAAGATCGTGTCTCTCTCTCTCTCTGTTTTTTACGGAGTCATCGATTTTCGCGAACAAACCGACGAAGACACCAATATAATTTCCTCGGTTTTCCTCCGCCGGACAAAAACCGTGAGATCCGATGACGCGCGATTGACGATGTTTCTCCTCTCGCGAGTTGAGTTTGCGGAGCACTTTGCGCGCACCAAAGCGCGAGCGTTCGCGTTTCGAGAGTCCAATCCAACTTACGTAAAAACTTTTATGAGTGACAATCACATGTCAAATTCGAAAACGACCGACGTGTCGCTAGCGGGCGGAACAAAATCTCTCGCGTGTGTGTACACACGTATACGCGCGTGTGTATGTTTACGCACGTTGAATGTCAAAAAATAAAAAAAAAAAAAAAAAAGTCCCGAGAACTCTTCCGAGCGCGAATTTGAATTTTCCGTTTTTCCCGACGAGAGAACGAGAATCGGACGTGTGCGTGCGTCGCCGTGTTCGCCACGCAAAAACTTACTTGGCGTTTTTATTTCGAAAGTCCGGTAGTCGAGCGCTAAGGCAAACACGCACCTCACTTCTCCCGAGATTTCGAACGCGCGTCGCACGCGTGTGACACGCGAAAACACAGGACGATCGTTTTCTCGCTAACGTCGGAAAGCCCCGGAGAGAGAGAGAGAAGGAAAATCGAGAAGAGAAAACGGCGACGCGAGCAAAACGCGAGATGCGCGATTTTCGGCGTTAGTGCGCGGCGATGTTGATAATCGCAGCCGCGCCGCCGCGGCGAGCAGCACTCATCGATTCAAAATGGCCGCCGCCGTCGTCGTCGCCGTCGCCGTCGCGCAGGGACAAACGAGGTGCGACACGCGTCCGTCGTCCCTCCGTGCGCCGTCCAAACGCACGGAACACGAGGAAAAGTCCATCCGCATGAACTCCGCGAATAAACGAAGCACGCGCGCGCGCGTTATCTTCTCTTCTTAACGCACACGCACCAAGTAACGCGCACACGACGTAACGCACAAACACGACGCACAACAAACACGCGCGCACAAAACATGTATAGAGACAACGCGAGGGCGCACGCGCGCGCGCGTGCGCGCGCGTGGATTATATTTCGCGTCGCCTATTTCCTTCGGCCGCGCGCACAAAAAAGCTTGACAAACGAGCTTATCATCGTCGTAACCAAGCGCGGACGGATTCTCAGCGCGAGTACAACGCGACGACGAAACACGTACTTGCGGATGCTGTCGGCATGACGGGGCACACACGTAGTTGAGGTTTTTTTTTTCTTTTTTTTTAGCGCGACACACAAATGTCGCGCGACGGAAGAACACGGGCGAAAATCAAAATCTCTTTTCCCTCCCTCTCTCTCGCTCTCTCTCTTTCACTCTCTCGCTCGCTCTCACAGGCAAGGAGAGCTTTGTGCTCGTCGATTGGTTGTCGTTCGAGCGTTCCGAGATCGGGCGCCGGGTTATCGATCGCGTAACATCGCCTTTTCCTGAGGGGGGGGGCGGCTGGGGCTCCTTGGCGAATTTTACGAAACAGGACGCGCGAATCCGCGGTCGCGCGAACCCGCACACGCGAGGAAAACTGTGCGCGCGAGAGCGACCCACCCCCCAAGCGCGAAAACGAAGAAGCGCCGAGAAAATTTTCGCCCGACCCGAGAGAGAAAGCGCCGAGACGGCGGCACAGCGACGATTTTTTTTTTTTTTTTTTAACCCCCTCCCCCTCTCCTTCTGGATGCGAAACCCGCCCAAAACGATTCGATTTCGCGGTTGTCCACAAGACAAGGGGATGCGTAAAACGCCGGAAGCGCGGAGTCGTCCTCTCGCACGCGACGGACGCACTCGGATGAGGAGATCCTTCACACCCGTCGTCCGAGGGCGCGCGTACGAAGTATTACTCCTCCGGGGAAGCCGAGACGGACGCCGCTCTACGCGGACACTTTCCCGTCGCGACACAATAAAGAAGCGAAATCCACGCTTTTGCGCAGAGGAACGGCGGCAGACCAGCCGTTCGGCTTCCAACCGAAAATGTCGTCTGGTTTACGCAGACGCGTGCACGCTCGACCGAGCGCCCCGCGAGTGCACCAAGGCGCTCGCTCTCCGTTGTGTACCTTTCGGTTTTTTCGGCGAAAATGTTTTTTTTTTTTTTTTGAGAAAAATTTGAGAACGATTAAATACATCGCGTCGATGAGAAAACTTCGCACAAGTTGACCCTTTTTCGAGATTGATCAATATGACGGTCGTGATCCGAGCGCCGACAGACGTCGAGTTTATAAAATTTCCGCGAATTTTCAATTTGAAATCAAATCAAATCGCGAAAATCTGCACGTCGAAAACTTACTGCCTGTTCTTGTTATCGCTTCTGCAAAAAAAAACAAAAAAACTCGCGGTTTTCCGCGGCTCGGGGGGAGGGGGGCCGCGATGAATCGCGGTACGGCCGTGGTCTGTCAACCGAGAAGGGGGAGAAGAGCGCGCGCGTCACGAGGGTCGATACATCTCGAAGTGTTGTCGCGATATTGCCGATTCGATATCGAATTCTCACTGCCATTGCACACTGGCAGCCGGGATCGGGAGGACGCACGAGGCGCGCGCAAAAAAAAAAAAAAAAACAGGCAGAATCGTGCGTGTGTGTGTGCGTGTGTGTATCTTTCGTTCGCGAAGACACGGTCCGTGACAGGGACCCGTGCGTCACGAGTCGTCGCATCGAGATAATCCTTGACACGGTCGCGTCGCGTCCAGATAAGGGCCCATTATTTTGAAGAAGACAAATATAGATATATATATATATACATATATATACACACACACGTATTCTCCCGCGGAGCGATTCGCACGCATCAAAATGACGGAGACGGAGAACATTTTCTTGTTCGTGCCCAATCTGATCGGTAAATACAACAATCTCATGTCCTAAGTTGGTTCTTTTTTTTTATTTTTCATTTTACGACACTAGTTCACCTGTGGGAACCGTAGCTACGTTCCGATATTCACAGTGCTGAATAGTCTATAGTTCAAACGTGGAACGTGAACTATAGACCCTCAAGCACCGCGGCGATACGAATATATCGGAACACAGCTGAGGGTTCACAGTGGTTCGTTACGTCGACGCCCGCCAAGATTCGATGGAACGAAGATGTTCGGGAACATGCAAAAGTCTCGAATCTTCTTTTGCCACTTGCTCGCAATTCGATGACGGATTGTCGCGCACGAATCGATGCGGCCGCAATACCGCACTTTTAAGGTTGCCTCAACGTTGATTGAATCAATGCGTTATATTACTTTATATAACATTTATGTGTGTTGTTGGTCGTGTTGTAAAATTCCACGATACAAGTTTTCCACAATTGTCACAACCCCCCTCTATGTCTTAAGTTTCTGGACTTCTGAATGACGTAGGAAGAAAGTTAATTATCTGTGTGCAATAATCCATGTGCTCTTGAATCCTTCAACAGGTTTTGCCAGAGTGATTTTGGCGTTGATTTCCTTTTACTTTATGCCCACCAATTACGTCGTCGCATCATGGTGTTACGTGATCAGTTCCGGCCTAGACGCGATAGACGGCCACGCGGCCAGGTATTACGATCAGAGCACGAAATTCGGTGCCATTCTGGACCAGCTGACGGACAGAGTGGGCACGATGTGTCTCACGGTCACGTTGTGCCTCTTCTATCCCGCCTACACTTTCTGGTTTCAACTTAGCATGGCTATTGACATCGCCTGCCACTGGATATATTTGCACACGTAAGAAAAACGCTCATGCAACGAGTAAAACAAAAAAGAACTGAATAAAACATGATTGATGAAACATCATCACCTCATTAAAATGTTAACAGAACTCTCTTGCAAGGCAAGACCAGTCACAAATTCATTGACATGTCGGAAAACCCAATCATGAGACTTTATTACACGAATCGCACGGTCTTGTTCCTCATGTGCGCGGGTAACGAAGCGTTCTACGCCTGTCTGTACTTCCTACATTTTACCGAAGGACCCATTTGTGAGTATTTTGTTGCAACTTACTCTTTTTGTTTGCTACACAAGCGCGTTTTTACGTAATGTAATGGTTTATTTTACTTCTCTATTTTTTTTTTTTTTCTTTTTCAGTGGCCGGTATTGGTCTGTTCAGACTGGTGATGTATCTGAGCGCTCCGATTGCTTTCGTCAAAACTGGCATTTCTCTGTTGCACGGATACGTATCCTGCATCAATCTCAGCATCATCGATGTAAAGGAACGTCAGGAGCGACGTTCTGTCAAAGCGAATTAAAAAAAATCTGTCTTCATACAAAGCATTCAACTAGTCAGGTCAAATGTGATTTCCAAAGATCTTCCTGTATTCCATGAACTCTGACACACACGCGTTGTGTGTTTATATATTTCCGTACACACACACTAACACACACACATATATATATATATTTCTATAAAAAGCAGAAAGAAAATATCCTCCTAAAGACACATGGTCGAAATATCTCTCATATATGACTCAAGAAAAGAGATGAAATGTATGAAACAAATGATATATATATATATGTTTCCTGATGTCTCAGAAGAGATGTGCAAAGGCCAAGGTCTTTATTTTTATTAGAACATAAGTTGAATCATGTATATCTCTCTCACAAGAAAAAGCAGTTATTCTTTGAAACAATTAATATTTACAAGATGCCTATAAATAGTTTATCTGCTGCTTCTTAGCTACTATATGTTGGACCAGTTAAGTTAATATTCTCTATTTTTGAGATACCTTGATATTTATCTGTTATAGCGCCAAATCATGGATTTTTATATATATTAACGCTCTCTCTTATGTTTTATACTATTTTGGTAATATTATATGATTTCAGATATCTTGTACACACGATATTAACGTGTATGATAAGATTGCATATTGTTAGGCAATATTATATTGTGGCAAAAATTATGTTGAATAAAAATAAAGTGGAAAAATTCCATTTCTTCTCAAATTCATTTGTATCGTGCAAAAAAACTTGGTCAAATTATTTTTGCAACATAATTAATACTATCTGATGGTCTTTTTTTTTTACATAATTTAATTTTATATAACATATTGCAATTGGCAAAATCTGGAAATTTAAGAATATTGTTAAAATATATTATTAAACCATCGAAATAAGAAAAATTATTTGTGCGAAAGTGAGAAGTAACGTTGTATCCTCTATTAAAAAAGAAACAAAGAAAGAGAGAGAGAGGAAAAAAGCATGTTAAAAAAACAAGGATATATCGTAAGAAATTTAGCCGAGACTTTTGTGACGTCGTATTTGAACTCTAAAGCAAAAGATTTGACAACGGACTGGACTTGAGAAAGGTGACATGCATAAATACATGGTAATTAAAGTACACGTACTTGCGCGTACACACAAATACAAAAACAACGTATTAATTATAAAACGTGACAGGTAGATTTTTACGCGTGCAACAAAATGTGCGACATATTGTTCTGAGAGAATCTTTGGGATTGTGCGTAACGCGTGCCACAAAATAATCCCTGTGGGGAAGGAAAAATCTGATATCCCGGGCGATACGTGTACGAGAAAAATAACAAACTAACCTCAAAAAAGGGTCCGTTCCCCCATCATGACCAGTCATGATTTCGGCGCCATGTTATCACTTCAAACACTCGCGCATGTTGAGAAAGTTCTTGGAAAATTCGTCGGACTTTGTTTCTCGTCCTTAGGACACTTTGGCTGATGAATTTCCTGATGTATCGTTACGAGGACACGGCCGAGGGTGTCGATCGACGAACACCGACCGTTTCGGATACCCAAGGTTCGCGCGGCGACGAGTACAATATTTATAAAAACAGATGAGAAAATCCAGCACCGGCACGCACCAAAGTGATGATTCGCAACAAAACAAGAGCGCCACCGTCTCTCTCTCCCTCGCTACCCAAAGCCCGTACCGGCCAATGGCGGTCTCCCGATGCCCGTGTTCAAAACCTTTGCGGATAACCACCACATCCGCCTGCGACAATCGAAAAAACTCGCGTCTCTAATCAGCAATTGCGATAAAATGGAAACCGAAAATAATACCGCTCTTATCGTTTTGATTACTTCAACCAAAGAGCTCTCATAGACGATTCTCTATCGCGAATGTTTTTTTTTTTTTTTTTTTTTTTTACAAAACGGCCATTTACAAGCGATTAATTGAAAAGAGCGTCGGTTTTAGTATTTTTTTTATTATTTTTTTCAGTGTGTAGAAGCGTTACAGACGTATACTGGTTCGAAGACATCCGCGTCTTTCTCGTGATACTCTCTTCAAGTTTTTTTTTAATACAAAAATAAACTTATATGATCAAAATACACAATATTATATTAGGGTATATCGTATCACATAACATTTGTACAACGACTTACATATATAAATGTAAAAATTAAAGCAACTTATAGAAAAGTCGTGTGATCTTATAAAAAAAAAAATACAAAAAAAAAAAACAAAAACAAAAAAAAAGACAAGAAATCAAAATGGAGAAAAAAATTGTGTAAACAAGATTGTATCGTTCGTTATTCCCGCAAGACGCTAACGGAGAAATTCTCCAGCTTCAAGTCCGCTCTCGAGGGATACAAAAGTTTCAGATTTCCTTCGGTATCGACTACTTTGACTTGTTCAACAAACAAATTGCATTTGTGCGCGTCCTTCTCGTCTGACGAGTCGGCAAGTCCTGATATCGCCAACTCTTTTAGAAATTCGTCCATTACGCTCCTGGAAGTGCAATAAAAACACGATTTTATATGAAATAGATTTGAAGAATATGTATAAAAAAAACAAAAACTTATATCGAACGTCCAATTTTACCTGCAAACTGTGTACGACGTAGCACTTGTCACTTCCACGAACATCGTTGTGGTGGACGGGGACATCTTCGTTACGTCACTGTTGGTGATGGGTGGAAACGATATGACTTGCTCAGAATGATCCAACAGGCACGGATACACCGATTTGCCTTCCAGCAGATACAAATACTTGTGTACTCCGGAATACACATTTCGTTTCTTCTCTTTGCGCAGATTTTCGGCTTCCGTCTGCAATTGCTTGAACAAAGTCGCGCCCGTGTACATCTTGCTGCGCATCAACGGTTTAATTTTCAACTCCGTAGGCAGTTTTGCCGTGTACGTCAAGTTTCCTGAATAATGAAAAAATGTCAGTATATATATAAAAAAAAAAAAATACATCGAATAAAATAATTTTTCTCGAATATCTTCGGGGTTTACCAGGTGCGATGAGTTTAAAATCGTGAGTTGCTATTGTGGCTGCGTTTCTCTTCTCACATATTCCGTCGTGTAACTTCGTCTGCAGTTGAATGAACTTTTTGAAACTTTCGTCCGTAAACTTCATATTTTTCACAATACAAGCGGCTATGTAAGGTCTGACTTTCTTCACGTGTTCAGTGGTTTCTATTACCGGCGTGTCATCCGTCATTCTCAAGACTTTCACTCTGTACGCCAAACCGTCCATTGTGATTTCGCTTTCCGAAGACTTTGAAGTCTTCCTTCCTTTCTTCGACTTGTTGGCTTCGGTGTTGGACAATTCGCTCCTCGGGCAATGCTGTCTCACGTAATCGAGCACTTGCTTCGAGTGACATTGGTTGACTAGTTTCAACAGTCTCTTATCTGCCAGTTTGTTGCCCTTCAGATTCACCTCCTTCAGTTTGCCACAATCCGCCAATTCACCTGGTACAACTGTGTGTAATAATACAAAATTATTAAATGTGCGTCAATGTAATAATTCAAACAAAGATCAAAGTGCGAAATCCAAAATTTAGCATTACCAGAAATCGCATTGTCCGCGACATTGAAGACTTTCAACGCTTGAAGATAGCACACGGTGCTCGGTATTGTTTTTATCTGATTCTTGTTGACGTGAATCTCGGACAAGTGTACGAGCTCCGTGTAGCAGACGTCGGGGAAGATCTCGAAGCGATTGTCGGACAGATTTAAGATGCTCAATTTGACATTCGCAATCTGGGACGGTACGGACTGCAGAGAGTTCGAGGCGAGATTCAACGTGGTCAACTGAGGAAGATTGTTCAGCGCCTGTGGAAGAGACTTGAGATTGTTCCTCGAGCAGTCGAGCACCTTCAGTTTGGCCAGTTCGCCGATCTTGTCGGTTATCGTGACTATGTCGTTCGAGTGCAGCACCAGGGTTGTAAGATTCGTCAGCTTCGCAATCCCGTCCGGCACCTCGCGCAGACACGTCTGCGTTATGCTCAGATAATTCAGATTGTGAAGATTGAACAAATTACCGTCCAAACCTGATTTTTCGATCAATTTCGACACCGATTCGCCCGTTAGCAGCAGTTCGTGTTTGTTCTCGTCGGCCGCCTGTTTGACAACCGCCCACGAGTCTTCGAACGTCATCGTTCAAAAATGATTGATCGTCAAAAAAAAAACACGATTCGGAAAAGATTTTATTCGAAAAAACGCTTTTGCAGGTTATGTTATGATTCCGTACGGTTTACTACACCCCGCCCTGCTCCGTCAAGAAGCATGTTGCGTATGTCAGATTCTGCGCGTTTCGTAGTACCGTAGATGGCCAATAGCGCGCCAAACACGCGGGGGGACTGGCAACACGCGCGCGAACGCCATGTTTGCAAACAAATTTGAAAAATTCGGCGAGCGACGAGTGTCTCGTTGCGTTACTTTTTTTTTTCTCGCGACATTTTCCGGAAACGTAATCTCCGGAAACGACGACCTACTATGCGACCGAGAGATTTGATTTGTTCGTTTCGGTCGAAAATTATCGCGCCGCTCGCTTCAATAAAAAAAAAAACAAAAAAAAAGGGGGAATTATGCAAATAAGCACGCCTGACATTTAGTCGCAGTGTGTCCCTGCTAGATACGAGGCCTCAAACAGGTTTCCCCTATAGATAAAACGTGAAACAGAATTTTTCCAGCGTTTTAACGCAATTCCTTTTCCTATCTCGGTGCGCAGTTAAACACCGCGAGATATTCGCGGACTGAGGGTCCCGCGCTGTGATAAGAAGGTAAATAAAAAAACACCATCTGTTATCGCGTTTCTGTAATCTGTTGAAAAATGTGAAATTTTTTACATCGTCCATCGTTTAACAGAAATTTTTTTTTCCAACGTCCAGACGCAGCTTATTCGTTGCGTTGTGACAATTGATTTTTTTTTTTGTAATACCTCGAGCTTCAATGTTTTTTTTTTTTAAGTCAACGTGAAAACCAATGAGCCTAAGATCCTGGGTGAAGGTGGACATACCACCTGGTGGTCTACATTAAAATGATCGAAACGTCGACTTAATTGCATTGGCTGTTATTTAATTTCACGTCCACCTTCACCCAGGATCTTAGGCTTATTGGTTAATTTTCCTTCGAGCCGTGTTTATTAATTTTTTTTTTTTTTTTTATTTGCCGTCGCGACTTCAACTTTCGCGCGAAATAAATCGACGATAATGTTTACGCGTCCTCGCGTTATCTCGCATTAAAAATCTTTATCCGTCGCGATATTGCAAAATGACATAGAACGGAATATATAGTCCTTGACTGTTCCATTAAAAACTGTACTTCCGAAGAAAGCACCCGAGGCTCTTCGATGACGAATGTTTGTTTGACGGCCGATTTGCATATGAATGATATTGAGAGAGGATAATAATTTCGACGTTACGGAGCTGCTAATAGCGTCATTCTATAGATTCGCGTAAAGGTAAACTCGAGACCTTCGCCAAGTAACAACGTCGACCGTTTCGAGACAGATCTGCGTGCTTTCCTTCGGGAAGAAAATACACAGCGTTCGCGTTGTGTCGCACAATTTTATTTGATTTCTACAATTAAACAAATTCGTCCCCAAAATTTATATTTTCGCGTCATCGCGCGAAAGCGTCTTTTTCGCTGCATTTGGTATTTAATTGCTACTTCTGTTTTAACATTTTTTATGTGTTGTAAAACGTTGTGTTGTCTTCTAAAATTTTATATCCTCTAATTTATCGTGTTTTAAAATGATAAAAAAAAAAAAAAAAAAAAACCAAAGGAAGATATTACCTCGCGTTTCGCGACGGCGATCAATCGTCGACGTGCGTCGTCGCCGAAGAAGATTCAGGAAAATAAGTGACGACCTCTTAAGAATAATCGTGTTTCGTGTCAAACACGATTAATGACTCAATGTGACAATACGGCGGTGTCCTCGAAGGTTTGAGTGTATTACTTTCGACGCCGTATCGGAGGAAGAAGGAGGCAAGAGAGACGGGCGCGAATCTGAACGTCGTCACCCAAAGTCCACGGTTATCAACGAGTGACCCCGATCACTTCCGGAAGAGCGAGCTTCCTACGGAAGCGACCGGACTCATCCGCGCGAAGGTGGGGCGGTTTCTTCGACGTATAAAACCAGAAAATCCCAAAGTGACCGAATCATTGGATTCACGTCCGTCGTCGAAACTCTGATAGGATTTCGATTCGAATTGTATAATAACGAACGATCATGTCAAGTCGATCGTCGGTCGTCCTTTTCCTGACGGCGTTCCTGACGGCGGCGTCGGCGTTGCCGTCGTATCGTCGTCAGGTTTTGAACGACGACACCATCGACGATCTGATCGCTCATCTGCGACTAAAATTCGGCCAGGAGCTCTACAAAATTCCGGACAACGACACCGGATTCAAAGTAGCAAATTGGCACAGCGGTATGAACGTGAACCCCGAGGAATTGGGCAACTACGCGGAGGGCGACATCCTGTTCGCGCCTGATCTTCTAGCCAGACCTAGTTTCAGAAACGGTCTCAAACGGGAATCCGCTCGGTGGCCCAACGGCGTCGTTCCCTTTGTGATCAGTCCTTACTTCAGTGAGTTTACATTCTCGAGTTGTTTGACGCATTGTTCCACGTTCTAAGTTCACTTTGATTTTCTCTTTCTTTTTCTTTCGCACACAATTTTTATCGCAGACGATCAGCAGCGACAAGTCATACAGGACGCAATGGACGACTATCACAGACACACGTGCATCAGATTCAAACCTTACACGGGCGAGGAGCAGGACTACATCAGGATCACGGCCGGCAACACCGGATGTTGGAGCAGCGTGGGCAGAATCGGCGGCCGACAGGACGTGAATCTTCAGGTGCCCGGTTGCCTGACGCAGAAGGGCACCGTGATGCACGAGCTCATGCACGCCGTCGGCTTTTTGCACGAGCAGAGCAGATACGAACGGGACGACTACGTCTACATTCAGTGGCAAAATATTATGACAGGTACGCGTCTTCGTGTTTTTTTTTTTTTCAAACGCGCGAAAAAAAGAAGATGACTGTCACATACAACGTGTTTGCTCTTGAATTTTTACTTTACGCGACGTGGTTTCTGCAAAATTGTCTCTCTCCCGAACATTTCTCTCTCAGAGATTTTCAATCGCTCGGAAATTGCGACGCTCGGAAAACACCGAACGCGACACACGTGCATAGCGAAAAATTTCAACGTTCGACGGTGCAATAAGACTGTCCAGATTATCTTACGTGTGTGCTTGTATATTTTGTATATTGTATACGTGTGTATCTACGTATATCTAGGTCGCGACAACAATTTCGAAAAGGCTTCGAAACAAACCACCGATGCCTTCGGTGTCGGCTACGATTACGGCAGCGTGATGCACTATTCGGCGAACGCGTTCTCCAAGAACGGTCAGCCCACCATAGTACCCAGAGTAAGTAATTTTCGACGATCGATTTCATAGAAAAGAATATTTCGCGCGCGAAAATTCGGGATCAGATTTAATATTGACGTCTGTGCACACGTGTCGTAGCACCAACAGCCGTCCGGTGGCATCTTGGAAATTATTGGCGGAATCTTCGACGTTAATAACAACGCGATCCAACAACTCGGTCAAAGAAAGGGTTTCAGCAAAAAGGACATTCTGAAGATCAGAAGGATGTACAAGTGCAACGGTCAGCACACCAGTCGCGACCGGTCTGATTACGATTCGGCGATTAATTTTGGCTTCTTCTAACGAATTTCGCGTTGAAAACGCGGATCGGAGTCTTATCTTCGATTGAGAAAAAAATGTTATATATACATAAGCAAAGCAACGTCTAGTCTCATCGACATGTCGACGACACACGCGAGTGTGATTTTAATATTATCTGTAGGGTAAACCCGGGTAAGATGGCCACAGTTTTCTTTAAATGCAAAAAACCAGACCTTTATTTTTGTTATTTTTTAATATGTTGTTTTTTTATTTTCACTTCACTGAAGCTTAAAGTAATAATAACTATTGAAATTAAAGAGAAAACACTTAACAGAAATTTAATATTATATAAAATATTAAAATGTATGCATTGGCCATCTTATCCAATTTTTGAGAGAAAGATGGCCATACATGTTTTTTTTGCAAAAGATATAAGTAAAAAAAACTTATAATTATGTAATTTAATTATATATTTAGTAATTATATGTTAAATACAATATATTTATTGTACGTAAAAAATTATTATTATATTGTTGTTAATGTTTTCATGCGCAGTATTTTTTTAATTATGAAACGCAACTTTTTGTGTGAACTATAAAAACAATTAGCAAAAAAAAACATTTTTATTTCGATGATTAAATATATTGTAGATTATACTAGTCATAAAAAAAATATATATATACAATTATATGTAACTTTTTTAAAAAAAAAATGGGCCATCTTTCCTACCTAAGTGTGAGGAAAAGATAACATAGTATTTATAAATAAATACTGAAAATAAAAATACAAATTATTGGGGTTACGTTATAATTTATGTGCCTTTCATCATGTATGTAATATTAATTACGGCAGTTTAACTGTAATTTATTCGACGTTACAGCAGCTTTTAGTGGACATACGTAAAACTTTGCAGGCAATTGAAAGTAAAAACGTTATATAATTTTCACAATATTAGGATGTTGAGGTGTCACCTCGGGCTCTCCTTGGTAAATCCAATGTATTATTTGGATGGAAATGGCTGTATGGAGCCATTCGCGGGATGTGACGCAGTAATAATTAGTTTAAAACAATATTTGTCAAAACGTTTCGACTTTATTTGAAGTCCTTATCAATTGATCTTTATATAAAAAAATTGAACAGATTAAAAATTAAAAATTAAAAAGCATCTCGTTACGTTTGAGGTCAAGTCAATCAAACCACACACAATAACATTTTAAAAATTTCACGATTTAGCATAGCATAAAAAAACGTTCATATTTGCATGAAAGCGGGAACGGAACTGTTCCGTTTCCACTTTAGTAATACATTGGATTTCACAATATTGTTATTTTAAATAGTGTACACGCACATAAACTACTGCAAATACTGGATTATCTTTAAGAATAGTTTCAAAAAAATGCACTATTAAACAATTATTGGTGAAATTACAGTCTATGGCTATCTTTTCCGTATATGGCCATAATACCCCCATTTACCCTACATTTATTATACGCGCGAATATACGATATTTTAAGAATTAATTTTAATTGTTGTTCACGTGTAATAGAAAATGTGTTGCGATTACGTATGTATCTATACGTATGTGTTAAATTACGCACAAAGATATATGTGAGTGCATTAGTCGGTGTTTCGCGTTTTATTAATAAAAAAAAAAAAAGTTTTCCACCTCTATGGTCGCGTCATTTTCCAATAATCGAAGTTCGGGAAGAACATCGGGGAAGAATGACGCGGACCGAAAATGTTCGTTCAATATAAGACGATACACGCCTCAAGCTGACGCCGGAGAGAGGATACGATACAGACACTTCGCGATAAAATAGTTTTATTTGTACATCATCTTACAGAGAGGTGACTCGTAAAAGGAGGAATATACTGCAACGTACTATTTACAGCAATGAGACTTCTTATTCTATTTACCGTATTTTCGGCGGAAAGAAGAATCGGATGATGTCGAGAATTTATTTACGTCGCGATTAAAGCAGATCTAAGTACTTTGGTGGAACGTGTGTAGATAACGTTTGTATCACATTCATAAACTTAACGCGAAAAACGAGCTCAAAACTCACACCTCAAGCGAGCGTTGAATGAAAAACCTCAAACTTATTGAATGAAGAAAAACTCTTCGATACGATTGTAATTTTTTTTTTTTTTTTTTCTATCATCAAAATTACATTTCACTAAAAAAATCATTTCGAGCGATGTATTGCGCACGGACTGCACGTAACTTACTGCATAATACTTAATACTTCGATGTCCTAAGCGTCTAATATCGATTGATCGTTGGAATTTTCGCAAGATCGATAAAAAATCTTTGTTCGCGCGAAACTGTGAATTTTTTTTTTTTTTACTTACGTCGTTCAGAACAAAGATTCAAAAATAAAAGAGCGAAGCGCGAACGAGGATCGCGTCCGAACGAAGCCCCGAAACGTTCTCCTCATAACTTCTCTTTGAATTTATTTTCATTATTGCCAGAGAAGCGCGACGGCGTCTTTCGCGAAATGATAAATGAATGTGAAACGACCGCTGTCGGATTCTCGATTCGATTTTTTAAACGAGTCAACCGATCCAGGTCTTCTTGATGAAATCCGCCGCTCTTTCGCCTGTAACGTGCGAAAACGTCGATAAAAGATACCGACAAAGGAGAAAGAGAAAGAGACGGATGGAGAAAAAATTAACGAATTTTGCTTACCTATCATGATCGCCGGCGCGTTCGTGTTACCAGACGTCACCTTCGGCATGATGCTCGTGTCGGCCACCCTCACGCCTCTCACTCCCCTGACTCGCAGCTGATTATCGACCACGGCCAGAGGATCGTCCGGCGGTCCCATCTTGCACGATCCCGCCTGATGATTTTCGGGAGCTGTGTCGTGACGTATCGCGCACTCCCAGTAAGCGTCGCATCCGAACTTGAGGTGCTCGCAGTTCTTCACGGGTGTTCGATCGAGCTCGAAACCGTATCTAAGAAAAAAAGAAAGAAAAAACAACATATTACCGCGCGGTGTGAAAATTACGAAAAAAAAATTTCGAAACAAGATTCGATAAAGCGAAACAAAAAAAAATTGAAAACTCGCACTTCTTGAGCGCTTGAGTCTCCGACAATTTGACGCTGAACTTGACGGCCTCGACGAGAGCGGCCACGTCGTCGGGATGAGTCAAATACTTCGGATAGATCAGCGGCTTCGAGAGCGGATCGTTGTTACGCAATCGCAGATAACCGCGGCTCTTTGGATGCAGAATCGTCGGTATGATGTAGATGCTGCGATTCGCGCCTTTCTTCTCGCCCACCATGCCGGTCTCCGCGCAATCGGCCAGATAACCGCCGAAGATCAGCTGCACGTCGGGATGATCATCCCTCGGATCCGCGTACTTGGTGTTCACCATCGCGGTCACCTCGGATATTCCTGAATCAAGCGCGCGAAGTATCGCGCAATATATATTTTGTTTTATTTCGAAATTTTTATTTTGGAGGAACAACATTAGAGAATAAAACCATTACCGAGAAAACTTCCAACACATCTACAACCGAATCAATTGAACAACAAAGTCGGATGATACACATAATAAATAATTAATAAATTATTTTTTATTCACAATTTTCAGATTTCCGAGTCGTTTGAAATTCAAACGAATCGAACGAATAATAAAATGCGATTATTGAACACAAATATTAAAGAGACGCAGTTATAATTAAATCGCGCCTTCGAGCGGATCACCTTCGAACCGGCGCGTTTCAGCAACACGCAATCCAGCAGACATTCGTCTCTCGTGAGATCGCGTCCCGTTTTATCCTCATGGGATTTAATAAAGTTCTCCCGCGGAATCGCATAGCTGAATCGCGTATCCGCGTGACCGACGTAAGCAATTCCGCGCTCAGCAGACAGAACTATGCTATTACATTATTTCGCCGTCGGCGTTTCGTGCGAAGAGACCAGATATTTTGGTCTGTGTATGTGTGTGTGTGTACAAAAGGAGGGAGTTTCTCGAGCCCCTCGAAGGTGACGCTCGTTAAGAACCAGCTCGGCTCCGGGCTATCGATCGGCGCCTTAAAAAGCGCCTCCGGGTCGTATAAACGAGAGGCGAGTCTCTCTCTCTCGTGAAAGGAATACGTTACGGATACGGTGAAATATCTGCATAAATTTCCGGACAATTCACTTCACGGGTAAATTATCCGGGCGCGCGTATCGTTTCCAATGGATAAGATTACACGGCGACCGAAGGTTCACGCGGAATGTAAAATTAATGTTCCCGCGTCGATGCCGCCTAATTGAACACATCGGTTAGTCGATCGTCGCGGACGATGAAATTCGAGACGGTTTTGTCGATTCGAAAACTTTCTCGCGCGTTTTGCGTTCGCGCGTGCGAAATCAATCGCGGCGCAACACAATCGTCCGTCGCGCATTTGACGCGTGAGATGCAAAAATTAATTCTCTCTTGCTAATATGTGCGACATAATGAAATTTACACAATGGGAACGTGCGGATAATAAGATGTATAGAAAAAAGACAATCTCAAACAATTAATTATTAAGTAATGGAAATAGTGTAAAAATTTTTCATCTTTTGTTTTCTTCTCTCTTGCGAATTGGCATCACAATGTTTAACGACCTGTGAAAGACTAACTAATTTTCGATCGGGGCATTTTATTTATTTATTTATTTTTTTTTTTTTATAGTTTGAATCGGCGCATCTCGTTGTTGCGAAACAACAACGGCGGAATAAATTTTTGACAGAGATCGCAACTGAGATTCGATCGTGACGAGCGCGGGCGCGGAAACGATGATCGGTTTTAAATCGGTCAATTCTGTTGACGGTAAAATAGACTTATCGGTCCCGAAGAAGAATAAGTCACGTAATTTGCGGGACACGAACCCGTGACCATTGTGAAATATACACTTTCACTGCTCTCGCGCACGAAAGTTCGTGAATTATAATCCGTGCTCCGAGAGACAGAGAGATGCAACATCTCTCTGGACACACAACAGGAAGAAAACGGGGCTTTGTAACTTTAACACGACTATAAGCCGCTCGATCAATGAAATTGCAAACGTCCGTCGATGGAATCCCGACCCGAATCTCGAGTGTTCTCGGCGAACAACACAACGAAACAGAAATAATTTCATTAATCGATCGTCAAACGTAGCGACGAAAGAACAATTCTGTCAATTTAATGTTGCACAAGATGCGAACGATCACGTGTATTTTACGAACTCGCATTTTCCTGATAAGAAAAAAACAAACAAACGAACTTTCGAGCTATCTTGTTTTTTTTTTTTTTTTTTTTTTTTTATTGTTTTGATGTTTTATTATTTTTTTACGAGGAAGATTTAGTGTCTCTCGTAAAAAAACATAAACCGGTCTCACCTGTGCCGGACATCAGGCCGTCCCTGAACAGCAGATACTCCATGGCTGTCGCCCAGTTGAGGGGAGTGGTGTCGGTGTCGTTGATGGTGAAGACCATTGCGTAGGCGACGTGGTTGTGAAGATTCTTGCCTACTCCAGGAAGATCGCGCACAACCGGCACGCCCACCGATGCGAGTTCCTCTCGAGGTCCGATGCCGCTGTTCAGGAGAATCTGCGGCGAGTTAACGGCACCTGAAACGAGAGATTTAATCAAAGACTTAAATTAAATCGTAATCGGCTTTGCCGCGCACGAGACTTCGAAAGTTTATGCACAGAGACTCTCGTCGCCTCGTTATAACGAAGTTATTGTACTGATTGAGATACGTCACCTCCGCTCACGACAACCTCCTTCGCCACCGACACGCGTTTCGTCATCCCGTCGTGAACGAACTCGACCCCAATCGCTCTGTTGCTCTCGTCGAAGATAATCCTCGTGGCCGTCGAGTTCAACATTATGTGAAGATTCGGACGATTTCTCGCGGGACGCAGAAAGGCGCGCGCGGTGGACAACCGCGACCCGTTTCGCGACGTGGTCTGAGCTATGGCGAATCCGGTGTGCGTCCGTCCGTTCAGATCGACCGTGTTGTATCCTGGTGTACAGGTAAAAAAAACAAATTGCAAATTGGATTTCTGTTTGTAAAAGCTGACAAGAGCTTTTCGTATCGGATCCTCTGTGTGAGCGCACCTAGTTCTTTTCCGGCCTCGAGAAGGGAGAAACTCAACGGGGGATGATAAGGGAACTGAGTGACCGTGAGCGGGCCGCCGACTCCGTGATAACCGTAATCCATGTTGTTCACCTGTTGATTGTCCTCGCTTCTGATAAAGAACGGAAGGACGTCGCGGTAAGACCAGCCAACGTTGCCGAGCCTGGCCCAGTCGTCGTAATCCTTGCGCGAGCCTCTCATGTACGTCATCCCGTTCATGACGCTCGTGCCGCCGAGGACCTGCGCTTATTTCGTTTACATTTAGACAAAAAAAAAAAAAAACGCGACGAATAAATAATTTATCGCCGATGATTGTCCTCGAAAATTACCTTTCCTCTGGGCCAGTAACATTTTCGATCGTCCTTGTTCAAACAAGCGTCGTCCTCGCTCTCCGTGTTGTACTGCCAGTCGATGTCGCTGCCGATGAAATTGAAGAAGAACGAGGGTATCTGAGTGCCGGTCGGCTCGTCCAGTCCGGCCTCCAGCAACAAAACCGAGAATCTCGGCTCCTCCGACAATCTGGCCGCGACGGTCGCACCCGCGCTCCCGCCGCCAATTACCACGAAGTCGTACCTGAACCAGAAGAAAAGATCGTTAGTGTTAATTAAAGTTAATTTCGCTTCGCGTGCGCGCGCGAGTTGGTTCGTATATATATATATATATATATATATGTGTGTGTAATGAAAAAATAAATATACACCTTTGCGCGCTCGCACAACTCGCGCGCAACTTATTTGCCAACCGGAATTTCGGACCCTCTTCAACTCTCCTCTCGTTGTTGCAGTCTTGAAAACAACAACGCGCTTTCGAAAGCGCAAGATTGTCGTGCGGAAGGTTTGCTGCGGGGTTTCCGACGATTTACGCCGTTTGCGAAAGACAGTTAATTAGCGGAGAGTCGGCGTTATTAGACGATCTTTTTACCTTACGAAGTAGAAAACGGGTTAGTGCCAGTTTTGTGGCGTAATTACCGAGAGAGAACTTTATTAAGCGCGAACCCTTTTCTCTTATATCCCCGTTACTTATCCTCGCCTCCCCGTTTTAACGAAACGGAAGAAATTTTCGTTGCTTTGTGAGACATTGTTTAAAAAAAAATAAATAAAAAAGTCAAATCGCGCTCGACGAAGATCCGCGAATTGCTTCGAATGTTTCGATCGAAACGATTAAACGTCGCAGAGTGATCGTTCGAAAAAACGCTCGAACGAGAGATGGATTTTCGACGAGAAGTCAAAATCCGCGATTTCACAGTCGGAGTCTGTGAATTTTGATTTTTCGACTCGCCTAACAACGAGCAACCCGTTGCGTCGTCTCGGCCGCGGATTTGATTGATCTCGCATTCCACCGGGTCGGTCACGATACACCCATTTCATTCTTCTACTAGGAGCTACAAGGAGCTCTGTCGACTTCTCCGGGCGAAAGGTGGGTTTCTCAGGAGACTCTCTGTGTGTGTGTATGTGTGTGTGTGTGTGCGTGCTCTCGGAACCGCAAGTGTTGCCTTTAGTGTTGTTACACGCTGAATGCCACGGCGCGCACGTACGTCCAACGTCTATGTACACACTTTTGCGGGACAATGACACACTTTTACGCGCGCGGGAACTCTATAAATTCTATGAGCCGTATGGTATATATATAGTTTTTCTCTTCAAGGTGTTGTATTTGATTAGCGCAACAGATCCCAGATCTCGAGAGAATCGACGGCCTTTTTTTTTGAACGACGAAAAGAAGGAGGAACGTTTTTTTTTGAACGGCGAAATCAAAGGTCACGTGCGGCGTGATTGAGACTCGATTTTTATTATCGTCCTCTAGAGCTATAGATAGGTTGTGCGAAACTTTGAGATTCTTTGGGCGGAATCCTTTGTGGCTGGAGAAAAGAAAGGTTGTGTTGCGCGGCGGGTTGTTTTGCGCGCGTTACGGAATCTCTCTCTCGCGTAGGAGGAGATTCCTTCGCTGTGTGCTCGGGGAAGAAAAAAAACACAGATAATCACGAAACGCGAGAAGAGTTCTCTCTCGTTATGCTCTTCGATCTGAAACGATTGCGACATCCGTGGATTGTATACGCGTGTTATCGTTAGGTCTGTATCGGCAGATATCCCGTCTCGAGAGAGGAAGATATCATCGCGCTCGTTAGAAATTTGATACCTCGACGAGGAGCGGTCGGAAAATGTCAACGAGCTTCGCTTGGAAAAAAAAAAAAAAAAGATGACAATTTTCAATCGAGCCGAATATTTTTATGCAAATTTTATACGAATTGTGTCTTACTTGATTCTGACGCGCGGATCCACACACAGATCTTAACTCTGTCTCTTGATTCGATTAATTTATTTAACGTGGGGAAAAAAAAAAAAAACTACTATCTCTCGGTAATATGCAAATTTATAATAAGATATACGCATATCTTCGCGCGAGCGAAACATGACGCAAGTGAAATATCCTTTTGCATCAGTACGTTTTAATGTCATTATGTGTTGTTGCACTCTTAAAGCTAGAGTTTTCAAAAAAAAATTTCTTCATCGAGAGAAAGAAAGAGAGAAAAAGACATTCGAAGAAGAGAGATTCGCAACGCCGAACACGTACGGGACGAGCTTCGCTCGCTTATTCTCGCGTGTGCGCGAAAATTTATTCAAAATGCCACGTCGCGAGTGAGACTCTCAGGTCTCTCCGTCTAACTGCCAACAATAACTGTACGCAAAAAAACAGGTCTTGTGCGCATAAAGCACGTAAAAAAAAAAAAAAAAAACTCGCGAGCGAAATAAAACCTGTTTTCATCTTCGCTGCTGGCGAACGGGTTGTACACGACACACGGTTTTCTTTTTTTGTTTAGCGGAGATTGTGTCTTAGATCGGTATTCGCACACACACACACACAGTCCGATCTAACGTTTAACCCTTTGCGAAAAAATTTCAAAAATGACTCACGAGTCAGACTGGGTCTGGGAGACCCGTGTGTGTGTTCGCGAAGGATTAAGATCGTCTCAAGATTCGGCCGTGTCTCTCTACGTTGTGATAACGCAACAAAAGATACATATCAAAAAGCGATAAAACGATAAAAAAGATTTCTCTCTCGCGAGCAAGTGATTCGGCACGGCAATTGTTTCCGTGAAGCTTCCCTATGTATGAGGAATTGCATCTCCTTTCGCGTGTCGTCGCGCACACAGGTACGCGTCGATGCGGCGACGACGACGACGTCGACGACGACGACGACGACTCCGGAGATGTTATGACGCAACGCGAGAGATGCATCGGAAGACAATGGCCCGGAGTATTACGTACGTTGCGTACACGCCGCGCGGGTAGGTACACGTACATATACATACATATACGTACGTACATATAGAACGGTTTCGCGAAACCGAGGCGTGCAATGGATGCTCATTTCCGAGAGAGAAGCGTGCAGGTTGTTCCTACGGTATTACGTGAATACCGGGGACGTGTGTGTTGTGTGTTGCCGCCTGCGACACAATCGCGCGCTTCCCCCCCCCTCCCCATCCCCTTACCCCGTTTTCCCCGTCTGTATATTTTAGGATTCCGTCGTAGGAACTTTCCGCGAGAGCGACGACGCTCTCTTTGAGAGAGCGCGGAAGAAATCTCTCCCGTCGATAAGTGTCAGAGAGAATCCCAGAAGAAGTTAACGCGACGTCGTTCATTATCTTCTCATTGTATGCCGCGAGAGACGCGACGATAGAGATAAGGGCGACGCTTCGCGTCATCTCTATCCTTCCTGTGTGTTTTTTTTTTTTTTTCCTGCGTATCTCCCCGACCTCGAGTTTGAATTAATTAAATATCACGCGAATGGAAATAGCGAGAGTTTCCAAGTGTGTATTTTCTTATCCGACACAATCGGTACGTACGGATAACAAACGTAAGAGCGAAAATTGATACGCGGCGAGCGGCTTGAACGAGCGCGCGGTTGAAGTTTCTTTCCGTTAATTCACAGATGATAAGTTGTGATTTCGAGCGAGTCGGTTTTTTTTTTTTATCTTCGTACCAAGTCGTTTGCATCATTAGAAATGCGCGTCTCTCGTGCGGTGTTGCGACACACACATCGCGCGATCTGATATTACACTCGAGCGGAACACGTTCGCGCGCGGCGGAGTCTCTGTTATAGCCGCCGGGGTTCTCTCCGCGCGCGATCAAATCCGTGAAAGAAATCGTCATCTCGCGAAGGCCGTGTATATTCAATTCTTTTTTCTGACAATCGACCTTTTGTCATCATCCGCGTCACCTTTCAAAATTTACCTCGTATTGACATTGGTGGGCGGCGCCGGTCTGTTGCACGGATCCTCGAGATCGCACTGGCTGCGTAGAAAGACCTCGAGCAAACCCATGAAGAGCATGAAGGACGGACCGCCGCACGTCGAGGCGAGAGTTGGTCCCGTGGACGTTGTCAACGGGCAGTTGCAGCTCATCTGGAAAAAAAAAAAACCAAAAACGCGCTCCGGTGTCGCTGCGGTGAAAATTGCACAAACAAGCAAATAAATGAAATAAATAAATAAATAAAAGACACAGACGGCGGCGGGGAAGAAGCAGCGTGGAGAAACAAAAGAAGAAAAGCAGAAAACTCTCCCGGAAGACGGGGAAAAACGAAAGAAATGTGACGTGAAAGATAAATAAATAAAAAGACGAAGCGCGCGACTTTTTGGTTTTTTAATCATTCGACTCGGAAACGAACGCGCGGACGTCAAAATAATATTTTCATTGAACGAGGCAAGAACGTCTCTCTCTCTCTCTCTCGGCGTCTGAAAACAATATTCCTTTAACCGGTTACGGGCCGGTGCATCCGCTGCGCCGAGAGCGCATTTATCTTCGATCCGGCGGACCGTGAAGCTCTCCCGAGCTCTCCGGAAAACAAAAGCGCCGACGAGAGTGAGAGTGCACATACCCGGCCGGCGGTTCGTCGTCGTCGTCGTCGTCGTCGTGTAACGAACGTGTAATGGTCCCGTAATAGAGTGTGTCCAAAGCCGTAAACTCATTCAGCTCTATCGCACCGCGCGATTGAACGCGCGCGACGACGACTCGTCGAGAGAGGCGCGTCTTTTTACGACGCGCACTCACGTGCTTTCTACACAATGCAACGAAATGCGCACGTATGATGCGGTGAAACTTTTTTTTTTTTTTTTTTTACACACCGTGTGTTTCCTCTTCCGACATTTCTCACACTCGGATACATAACCGCATGAGGCGTAACACGCGCGCGCGACTCCGCGCGAGTGAAGCGTAACGCGCCGAATTCGCGATCACGAAGAGCGAAACTCTCCGACGAAAAAAAGACAGCCGTCGTCAAATCATACCGTCGCGAATTGTATTTTCGATAAAAATGAGGTTTAAGTGCCAAGGTTGGCGGATATATGTTCGCGCAAATGTGCGTTACGTGCGTTACAGAGTTCTGATTACAGAATCTCTTGACCTTTGAAGAGGATGCAAGAGGTTTGCGCGACGCAAAGAGCAACGCGATTTTGATATTTCAACGCGCGGACTCGAATATAAGATCTTTTTTGAAATCTCAGAGAGAAACTTGTGCATTTTTGACGAAAATTAACATCTTTTTCGTTTCCATACGGAGGACACCAATGTGACGAGGAGGTGGAGGAAACTACAAAAAAAAAAAAAAAAAAAGAAGCTGTTGAACAGCGTGACTTTCGTAATCGACGGCGAGACACTTGCGCGGTTCTCGGTCAGTGAACGTAACGGTGTTAGAAGCTGAAGGAGCGTACACACTCGTGGCAGAAGCCGGAGGTGGCCGCCGGCGAATTCACTCTCCAAGCGATTACGCTAAAGTATCGTAATGCGGCTGCCGTGCGGTAGCTGGATGTAATAAACAAACTTCGCCGATCAAACACCGAGAGAGAGAGAGAGAAGAAGCTCGTTTCGGTTATTACCGTTTCAAGAAAATCGACGTATTAGGGAAAGATCTGGTGTGCTGCGCGCGCGCGCGCGCGCGGTTTTAAGCGCAGTCGTCCTCGCGCGAAAGGTCTAAGTAGATAGTTTTAATTTATACTATTTGTTTATGCGCGCGAAAGAGAAGTTGAACAAAATTTATACGTCGGAGGAAGTAGTAAAATTTATTCTTCTCTCGATTATTTTATTTATATTGAAAATTTCGAGAGAGATAGACGGAGAGAGACACACGTGTGCGTGTATACAAGCGACGGGGGGAATAAGAAGATATGTTAATTTTAATGACAGTTATTTACGCTCACGCCACTCTTCAAAGTGAGTGATACATCCGTTTCGTTATACAATTGGACTCTTTTTTTTTTTATTTCTCGCTCGTACATGACGCAAATGTTGTGCCGTTAAAATAAAAATCTCGCGATTAATTCGCGCGCCGTTCTAGTTTCGCGCGCGCGCGCCGATACCTCTCGATAAAATAAACTCAGATAAAAATCAGATCGAGATGAGAGGAGGCAATTTCCGATCGCGTTTGAGAAGAGAGAAATGGAAAATGCGCGATCTTTTTGCGCAATCTCTTTTGCCATTTACGGTACCGTGCGTGCGATTTGATCATTGAGAAATTTACTTTTAACGCTCGCCGTTTTATACCGCACGCTATTCCACAACTTTGTTTCGCATTTTACGCATATTATCGCAACGCTCAAACGCGTAATGGAGAAAAACGAGTTCCCTTCCTCTTCTCTCGCAGACTCTCTCGGGATCTTCTTCGTCCACGGTTCTTCGTCCGTTTGTGCGGTTTTTGTAGAATTTTTAAGAAAATTTCTCGTTGAATTAACAATCGAACAATTTTTTTTTTTCTCAAAATTTTTGTCCTCAGCGTGTCGAAAAACAAGATTACAATTAATTCGACTCGGCTCTGTAATTACGTGGAGAAAATCGTAATACGATTTTTTTTTGCCACACGCGCGTCAAAGTTACGTGCGCGCCCGCGTCTAATTGTCATTCGCGCGCCGACATGTGCGTTACAATCGCAACGTGAGTGTGTCACGTGCGATCGATCGCGCGCGCGCGATCCTTGTAACAGTTTACATTTTTGCAATTATTGTTTGCACATCAACATCAACGACGCGCACATATATTTACGAAGATGATACGGTCGGAATTTATATAACGACTATAAAAAAAAAAAAAAAACCTCAAGACGACGTTAACAACGCAATCATCTCGCGAAGTATCGTTTTCCGCAAATTACTCCGGCACGCTTCTCGAACGCGAAAACGTGGATATTACACGGCGAGTTGCTTGTGCTTTTCCGACAGTTTAATTTTTCCGCGTGTCAGAGTTCTTTTTTTCTCCCCATCTCGTTACCACGTTTGTTGCTCTCACGTGATATGTATATATTTTGATTTGAATCCCGATGTGTGTATATTCCTTTTCAACACGATTACGCAAAACGTTACATTACGTTCATGATGACAAACTCGATAAATATCCGGTTTGCAACACAGTTGTATATATATATATATATATATATGTGTATATATATATATATATATATACAACTGTTATATATATATATATATATATATATATATATATATATATAGTCTTTTATATAATTAAAGAACGTATGTCCGACGAATTTCATTTTGATGTGATATTAATGAGACGACTTCCTTTCAATAGCATCGCTTTAATATGCGAATATATATCGAAGACATCGCTTATTAATGTAATTAATGAGAAATGTAATTACGAAACCATGAAAACCGTTGAATCATTTGCATATCAAACAAAGATAATATTTTATGTTCTTCGTAGTTTTCATCAACTTCGAGCTTTATAGATCGCTTCGTTAAAATAAATCATCGCGTTTTTAATCCACATTTACACGTCGCGATTATTAAACGAGTGATACGACACGCGATTTCTTTGTGTCGTCAGTGAATCTCGATTTCAATAATTTAATGTTACATTAAAGAGGGTTTGTTTGTTTGTTTGTTTTTTTTTTTTTTATTAGAAATTTGCACGATCCGATATTGTGGTCGAAATAAATTTCCTTCGCAAGTGAAATATCGTTCTCGTGTTCGAACATCAGTGAACTATCGACTTCCATTGACCTTCACTTATATAATTAAGTATCAATTATGTATTAATTTTATAATTAAAGAGATTCCTCGTGCCGACGAGATTTGTCACATGTGAGTTTTTTTTCGATACGATCTTTTAATTCGTGTCGTTTGACAAATGATTCGAACAAAAACGTATTTTGCGTCGAAAACGAACGAAAAGAAAACGGAGTTACGCACATTCGACAAAAGAAAGACATTGCACGTGTAACGAGACGAGAGACGTAAGAAAGATCGATCGATATACCGCACACGTTCGCGTAACACACGCGGAAAGCGCACGTATATATACATGTATATATATATTTACGACGAACTAAACCGATCCGCAACCACTTCGCTTATTCAAAGTGGAGGATTCAATATAATTAGCAATTACGTCTCTATTACGGGCGAGAGACACAGAGTTTCCGCGCGGTGGCAGAAACGTCACGTACGTACGCGCGTTAAACAACGGACGCGCCACACATTTATACGCCTTTCACTCATTTTCTCGTCATTAAATAAATACACGCGGACGCTTTTGCGGAGATGTGTGTGTGACAACGTCGGGTTTTTCGTCGACAATAATAACCGTCGACGAGGACTTAATCCGGATTTAAAGAGAAAACTCTTCGCTCTTTGTACGTGTTTTGCGCAACGCGTGATTTAATCCAACACAACACACTTCTACCAAAAATCCTTCGCTTTGTTATTGCAAACAAAAAGAGAAAGAGAGAAAAAAGAGAGAGAGAGAAAAAAAGATTAAGTAATTTTCTCCGTTTCTCTCTAACAACACGAATACGTGTTTGTTTTTGCATCAAAAAATTCTTATTTTTCTTTTTAAATTGTCGGGGCGCGGAGATACTTAGGTACGACTTTCAATATAATCGAACACGAGGATCATCATCCGCGATCATTATCGGAATCCCCGAAACTGTTTTATGACCGGTTTTTGAGACGCGCGCGATTGATATGGAGACGGTAAGGGAAAAAACTCACCTTTCAAGGATAGCCACCCTGTATCCTTCGGCGGAAAATAAATTGTCTCCGACTAAAAGTGAGAGACCCCGGTGGCTCACGGTACTGTAGCACACAGAGCGCGGGAATGGGAACCCAAGAGAGAGAGAAACCGTGGCTCGCGGTACCGCGATCAACGGCCGACTAGACCGGTACCATTCCCCATCGCCGTAGTAATATTCGACAACCTCCACCACTTTGACACTGCCTTCTCTCTTCTTGCAGTCTCCTCTCTCGTGTGTGTGTTCGCGTGGTTTTGGGGACACTTACGTGCAATGGGTGTGCGCGCGAACACGCCGACGACGAATTGTCACCCGCGACACGTCACGGAGAGATTGTCATCCTCATCGCGATAACGAGAATTCGGATAGCGCCAAAAAAATCGAAAATCGCTCAGCGACGAGGAAATTCCGCACCACTGGCGCTGTTGGACGAAAAATTGAATTTTTCTTTTCAAGCTTCATTGAATCGTTCGTCAAAGATCATTTGCTGAATTATATTTGCACATTTTTATTTTGCGATAAATGTTATTCTTTTTTTTTTTTTTTTTTTATCCACTTGTAACTACATTATTCAGCTGTGCAATTTAAATACAATAGTTTCCAAAGCTAAAATACAAAGAAACTACGCTTAATTAATTCGCTGAGCCGAAGGCAAAGAGAAACGAATGTTTCGCGCGATTTTACCATTAATCTCGCAGAAATTGATTTCTCAAAGCGCACGGAATATCGCAGTTGTTTTTTTTTTTTTTTTTTTGCCGCTCTCGCTCGTTGTACCCTCGAGCTGACAATGGCGGAAACGTTTCTGTCTTCGCAAAAACGAGCGATTCGCTCGCGTCTCGAAATCTATCGCGAAAAAAGCAAAGAGGAAAATCTCAACGATAAAAGAGGAAAATTAAAAAAAAAGAAAAAAATCATAAACGATTTTCATCGTGCGATTTCGTTACTCGGATGTCGTCGCCGAAATGTCGTAGTTCTCGTGATAATCGTCGTACACGCCGTCGCTGTTCCTCTCGATGCTACCGGCTCGATAAAACGCCGAGTCATAATATACGGGCGACGTTATCTCCAGTTCCTCGAAATAAGGAATCGCATCTCTCTGAAAAAAAAAATTCGAAACCGGTTTACAAATTTTGCATCTCGCGCTAATATTGTTGGAAGAAAGAACAAAGAAAACGCATTTACGTTCAACGATTCGTCCGAAGAAAAAGAAGAAGCTTCCTCGCGTCTGGATTGATCAACGTGAACGGAAATGGCCTCGTGAGGATAATTCGCGAAGTCGTAACGCTCCTCGTCTGAAAAAATTATAACATTTCTATCTGGTTTGTGAAATAAACGAGCTGAAATCTGTCGCGTTCAGAATGACATTCGGTCATTTTGTTTTTTTGTAATTTAACGTCCTACAAAAATACACGGCACATAGTCAATGTATTATTTATGTTTACAAATACATTCACGTGACGTTAAATCAAGAAATCCTCGAAACCAGGCTCTATAAAGTAAATCGCTTTTTTCCGTATTTCAAGAATTCGTGAGAATATTATACTAATATAATATTAACAATATTATACTAATTTGTTGGAACTTGTACGTTTTTCGAGCTACTCTTCGTTTTCGATATCTCAATCCGCGATAATCGCAACGGGTCGCGCGACAAACAAGTCTTCGTTGATGATTGATATTTGCTGAGTAATTGTAAAAGACCCAATTACTGTCACCTGAATAATAAACTCTGGCGTTAGCGAATTGTTTTTACTATTTATTTATCAAAAAACATGTGTTTTTCTTCTTATCTGGTATTATTCAATATCTCTAATATAAGAAACAAAATAATACCGCGCCTCTCAAAATCTCTATTTTTATTTATAAATTTAACAATTAAAAAAGAACAATGCGAGAGCTATTGCTGTCACCCCCTAAAATGAAAGAAATGAGAAAAGAATGTTGAATGCTGAATTTTTTGTTATATTAATTGCACTTAAAATTCTATGTTAGATTTTTTTCATGCATAACTTTTTAGGATTTATTTAATATTTTAAATAAAATAGCTTAGGGTGACAGTAATTGGACAGGTGACGGTAAGTCTTTTATCCTACGTCCGAAATGTTCTTTTTTCAAAAATTGAGGTTCAATGTAGACGCTAAAACTTTCGACTCGGGATAGTACAATAATTTAAGAATTATACATTGATGATTTATTAAGCCTTGGTAAAAAGAGGATATTGTCTCGTGGTTTAAATTTTTAATTTGTTGTGGTTTGTGTGTGTGTGTGCGTGACTCGCAAAAAATTCTTCAAAAATACTTCGAACACAATTGAAACGCGAAATCACACTCAGCTTTCGTCTGATTTAAGACATTTGTGTGTGCAACGTAATAACGTAATATTATATTTCTCCTCACATAAATTATTTGTTGCGGACTCGACGGTGTTCGATTTAAATTCGCGAAGGACCAACGTCGTCGATTCGTTCCGCTCCGTGTAGTCGTGAATCACATACGGCGGTTGCCCCTCGTCGTTCTGCAAGGCTCAAAAAAAAACACAATAAACCACACAAATAATTACAATTTTATAATTTTCTATTTACGGAGAAACGCGCGAATGATATACGCGGCAACGTACTCACGTCGTAGAAATAATTGTTCATTTCTTTGTCGCGAATATCGAGCGGACGAGAGCTAATCGTCGCGTAATCGTTGCCGGGTTGCAAGTAATCGTCGTGACTTGTCTCGGAGTTTTCCTTCTCGATAGTCGTGAAAAAACTGACATAATTATCGTCGTACATAGTTGTCAAGAAATCACTCGTCACCGAGCTTCCCGCGTCTGAAATAATTGAAAAACATTTCTCTTTTCGCTCAAAGAAAAAAACCAATTTTTTTTTTAGCTTAAGATAAGCAAGCTGTTAATTAAAAACTATATCTGTGTGTCATTAGTCAAACTAAATAATAATTTAATATAAATACCCTCCGTTATTTTTGGCATCGGTACGACCGATAGCGCTTCGTCAAAATAATAATCGAACGTGTACGGGAGAAACGGGAAAAACTGACCCCGTCTCGTCACGTCCTCGACAAGGATAACCGGCTCGTAAGGTGGCAATAAAATCCTGTACGGTTTCTGTACCGCGTACTTCCAATTGTCGTCATTCTCGTCTTTCACGTCAAACCGATAAGGCTCGTTCCAAATCGGATAACTCTGGTCAACGAAGTTGATCTTTTTCAGCACCACGGAGAGCGGCAAAGCGTCGTCGTCGGTCGCGATGTAAATCTTCTTTAACACCTCTAATCGCTTCTTGTTACGCAACGTGCTCGACTCGACGTCACTGTCGGCGAGAAAAGGAGCCGGCGGAGAAGTCGAGGAGAACTCGAAAATCGTCTGAAGCGGTGAACAGAGAAACGGGTTTTTACTAATTCACACGCAATCATTCCGATTCGAACAAAGCGTGCGGTTTACGTTTTCCATAAATAAACCTTGAAAAAAATTTTTTTTTTTTACATACGTTATCGGTCGGCGATGATTCGTTGCAATTTAATGACCAGGATCGTGGAGTAGGTAGCGACGACGTCGTCGTCTCGGTTGTCATCGCTCTTCTGCCCATTTCTTCGTTATTTCGCTCGTTTGCAATTCGCATCGGGGTCTTCGGGGTCGAGGGTCGCTCGTCGACCTACATTCATTTTTTCTGTTAATGATCGCTCGGACTATTTTTAAATTTGGCAATCGATTTTCCGACAACGCGAAATGTTGCCGTCGAAAATCACGAACAGAAATTATTGTCACAACGTATTTTTTATAATACTTTCTTTCTCTTCCCGCGAGTCGAAATTTAGCGTCTACATTGAACCTCAATTTCTCTTTTTTAATGTAGGAGTAAGAGAGAAAGTAGATTCTACTTTGACGCTGCTGTACGTCCGAAATTTCCTTTTTTTCCCGCCAAAGTTTTAAAGTAGGGTTCAATTCTCAGATCAGGCTGCGCGTTGCAGGCTCTGATAGGCTCAAAATAGTCTCTGATAGGCTCAAAGTAGGAGTAAGAAAAAAAACTAGGTGCTACTTTGACGCTGCTATACGTCCGAAATTTCCTTTTTTCCCGCCAAAGTTTTAAAGTAGGGTTCAATTCTCAGATCAGGCTGCGCGTTGCAGGCTCTGATAGGCTCAAAATAGTCTCTGATAGGCTCAAAGTAGGAGTAAGAAAAAAACTAGGTGCTACTTTGACGCTGCTATACGTCCGAAATTTCATTTTTTCAAAAATTGAGGTTCAATGTAGAGACGCTAAAAATTTCGACTCGGTTGTTGTTTCTCGCTCGCGAATGTGTCAAACTACTGAGAATCGTGTGAGCTACCTCGTTGTTGTTCGCGCTCGTGCTGCGTCCGACAGTTGGGGACGACGCGCGACACGATCTTTCGATCGCGCAGTTGAAACCTTTGCACGTGTCGACGATTCGAACCGCGCATCTTTGTCCACGCGGACAGATCCAACCGCGACAATGTTTGCTGATCAACTCGTTCTCTGCTTAGAGAAGAATCAAAGAAACGTAATTACCGCAAACGAAACCGGGGAATGTGCGATATATTTCGGTACTTTGTTTTGCGAACAAACCGGTGGTAACCGCGCAAGCGGGCGTATGAATGCACCAAGGATCGGAACAATTGTTTTCCGGTGCTCGCAAGAAACATTCGTGTCGCGAGACGCATTTCAAACTTCTGCATTCGTCGAGCCAGTTCTCTACATCTGTAAACAAATTGGCGTTGTTACGCGCAAACTACTTCGCGTAAGTTTGTTGCGTAAATTTGGATTAATTATATCGTCTCTCTTTCTCTGTTTCTTTCTGTTTCCTTCTCTAAACTGTGTCTTTTAATTTATATATATTAACTAAATTAATTTTCTGAGAATAAAAAAAAAGATTGTAAAGATACAGGAGAGGACGTTGCGAGAATACGTTGAATTTTTGTTTTTTTTTTTTTTTTTTCATTCGCGAGAAACCTTTTGCATCTGCGCAAGTTCTATCAAGTTTGCAAGGCGGATTGAAGCAAGATGTTTCCTTCAGTATGCAGCGTTCTCTCGAAGGGCATTTGAATCCGTGGCACGAAGTTGCGCCTTCGTGATATTCCTTTTCCGGTATGCAGCGCGCTATTTGGTGTTTGCATTCTGAAAAAAGTTTTAGCACTCATCGGTAACACATAATATTTTTATGAATATATTTTAATGAATATATATATATATTCGAGCCTGTGCGAAAGATATTTTCAATTAATTTTGAGTGGATAATTTATACGTTTGATATTTTTCAAAATTTTGCTGAATAAATTGTTGCATCAAATCTGCAATATCGATTGTTTTGTACTATTTATTACGGTAAAATTTTTATGAAAACTAGTTTTTATATCACACTTGCGATAAATGTTTAAGGACACGCAGGTCTTGTCCAATTTTTTAACGAAGAAACTTTACTCAATTGTGCAATCTTATTCCCAAACAAGTAAAAAACATCACTTTCTATACGTATTAAATGATCCGCAACTAGTGTCTGATTCGCCGATCTAGTGAATCTAACACTTTGGAATAAAAATTGACATTACTCACTTCCGTCCCAATCGCATCCTCGGACTCTGATAACGCACAGATGTCCCTTGCTGCAGCGTACAGTGTCGCACGTTAGAGGTCCCTTCAACATTTCTTAACAGCAAAACAATTACATCAAAAATACGCGATACAAACTTGAAAAACACTTTTTAAAAGTGTTTTTTTTTTTTTTACCTTTTCTAGACGCGTAACAGTACAACATGCCGGGACAAAAAGGAGTTTTGCACCAGAATCTTCGCTTGATGCATCGAGTGCCGTTCGCGCACCGCAGACGAGCGCATCCCCTCGAATATTCGTCCTCGAATTCTTCGGCTGCGATAACGGACTTTTGTTAAAATTGATACGCGCGAATCGCGCGCGAATAAGAGAAGCGAAACTCACCGTTCGGACGAAAAGTCAATGATTGTAGAAAAAAAAGGAAGCAAATCAAGTGCTCGAAAGAAGTGCGTCCGCATCTCATGACGATCGTGCGTACAATGCTTTCAGTCTTGCGCTTCGCAGGCACCTGAGTGTCGACAACCAACTACATATAATAAGCGTACGTTAAGTGTAAGCTCGAGTGTAACAAGAGAACTCTTGTTACACTCTTGTATAAGTAAACATTGTTGATCGAATTTTTCGATATTCGATAATTCTTCGAATGTGCGATAGAATACTTGTTACTACCGATGTGTTCCGTCACGAGCTAACGAGGAAAATAGGAATCTTTTTCAGTGTATGAGAATGTAATTTATGAAGCATAATTCTCGGATGTGTCATGTTCAATACAGGTAAAAGAAACATGAAGAGAAATAAATTAGAAATTATTATTTAAATTGTACATATGTTAATTTATATGTATATATGTCAGAATATTATTTTATCTTAATTATACATATGTTATAATGTCATATACATATATCTATAAATGAGAATTGAACATTAAACCGCTCAAATCGTTATTGTACTTACATTAGTTTAAAAAAAACATTACACACTCCGTGTTATTAAAACAACGTAAGATGCGAATATGTCAGACTCTTTATTTCGTAGTATTATATTTGCTAACACGATATTTAAATAAATTCAATAGAACAATAATCAACTAGATTAAATAGATGTAAATATATAAAAATAAATATCACAAGATGTCTTACAAGTACATTTTTGTGAAAAAATATAAAGAAGGGAATATTTCGAGAGAAAGTTGAAAGGAAATAAACTGGATAAACATGTGTCTTAATAAAATCACTGTGACAACCGCTACCCGACGAAATCTTTGATACAATAAAACCAGTGAACTTCTCTTAAGTCTAAATACAGATTAGTGATTATTCGCGATTGATCGACAATTTACGCTTTTACAGAAATCGGAGTCGAGTTTGATTCGGGAGACGCTGGGCCGACTTGCGCGGCTCGATTCTGATCATAAATCCGTTGTCCTTTTTCAGGATAATGTCAGCTCGCAGCTTGAAATCTTTGTAATGTTCGTCAGAAATGATGCGATAATTTCTGAATATTGTTGACAGTAAAACCTTCAGCTTCAGCATGGCGTATTTACGTCCCACGCACGACCTTTGAAATTATAATATCAGTCAAACAGAATTCATATGTTGCAGTAAATATTCTTGCGCGATCCGTAATTGTATATAGTTTAGTAATAGAATTATATATAATTTGAAACGCGTTCTTTGACTTTGTATTAAATACCGTGGTCCGGCGCTGAAAGGAATATAAGAGTAATACGGTCTTTTCTGCATCCTTTCCGGTAAGAAGTTATCCGGATTGAAGTTCTCGGGATTCGGGTAGAACTCCTCCAAACGATGCGTCGCCACTTGCGCAATCACTATCGTGACGTCNTTCGGAATCACGTAATTGTTCGTAACTAAAACACATAAATAAATTTAAATAAATCCTGTGATTGCTTATCAANTTTTTGGTTTNTTGCAATAAAATGTGTTGCGTTTGAATTACCGTACCTAACTNAACATCTTCGTTAAGACGCCTGGCAATTATAGGTACNGGCGGGAAAAGTCTCAAAGTCTCCAGAATTACTCTTTCGAGATATTTCATTTCCATCGTGTCCGAGAAGGTGCACTGTCTGTCGCAGTCGCCAAAAATCGCGTCCAGTTCTTGGTGCACGCGAGCCTGCGTGGGAAAAAGTATCAAGTAAAAAAACAGCGATTTCTCTGGTTCAGAGAGAATGTTCTTTTTTTTATTTTTTTCTAGCGAATTGTTAGCATGTACGCACCTGTATATCAGGCAAACATCCCAACACGCACAGTACGAAACTAGAACCAGCCGCTGTGGTGTCGTGTCCCTGTAATATGACAATTAACGCATTGTATTAACAACTACTGATCCTATTAACGTAATGCGCATTAGTTTTTAATAAAAGAAAAAAAGTGAAATTGGGAAGATGAATTATAAGAAGATTAATTGAGAAATATTCATATGTGCCCAAAAACTGTGACACCTCAAACATGATGGTGTTCACTTCTTCCCAGATTTCTTCGTCAGTCATCTGTCCACCTTGCTGTTTCATGGTAATTAACGTTTCCAGAAAGGCAAGTCGCTTTTTGTCGCCCACATCGTTTTCGTCGATGTCATCAAGATCGTCCTTAACGTAGTGCAACTTTGTGTAATTGAAGGTATCGCTTTTCGCATTTTCGGTCGGCTTCTCGTTTTGCTGGTTTTCCTTCTGCTCCGTCGCAAGTTTCTCTTTGACATCTTCCGATTTCACTTTGATCACGGTATTTGTTACAGCGTGAACGATTTTAAGAAGTTTCTTTTGAAGACGGTAATACTTGGTTAACTTGAATGCCATCAAACACCACATGTCATAATGTCTTCGATGTATAATATCGGACAATCTGTACAATCAAACAATTTTTACGTAAGAAATGTATTTTTTATGGTTGTTTTATATATATGTAATAAAGACAAAGATACTGATACAAGACAGGAATATTTGTTTGCTACAATTTTGAAGAAACAAACTATAACTCACTTCATTACAGCCATGGCATAATTATATCCGGATTTTGGCCGTTTTTCTCGTTTAACTCCCATTACCGTTTCGGTTAAAATATCAACTGTTACTGCCGACAAATAATCATGACAATCAAAGTCTTTTCCGATTTTATCGCGAAGCCGTCTTACGAATTCTATGCTGTTTTCGTAAAACAAAGGCACGAAGGACTTCAGGACACTTATGTGAAACGTAGGTGCTATCACCTTTCTGTGCCTGTACCACTTTTTTCCACTTGTAATCAGCAAACCGTCGCCAAGCCATGGTTGAAAAAATCTGCAGTGGAAAGTTTAAGCGGATTCTCGGTATGACGCAAGAGAATATCAACAACAAGATTAAATATGAAAATATCAATGTAGTAATTGTGTGACGGCTCTAAATGTTAAATACTTTTGAAAATAAAAGATAAACCGATTAAATCCAAACACAATTGTTGGTGTGTCCAGTTGAATTGAGAATTTATTATTATTAATAACAAGCGTACTAATAATTTACATTTAACACTTCAACGTGCGGTTGACCACCACAAGTTTTAGCTTACTTTGACATCGTTTATATTTACTGATTTTTGACTTATTCATTGAGAAAAACCGAAACCACAATCAGAACGTTTGTAATTAGCTAATAATATTAATTCTCAATTCAACTAGACTTCAATAACCGTCCAATCGTGTTTGGATTCCAATCAGCATATGTGTCACTTTCAGAAGAAATTCAAGAAATTATGAAATATGGAGCTTTATATATAAAACTAGCACGTGGAGTAGTAGTTTTTAATTGTATCTAAATCATTCTTTTATTACCGATATTCTACAGATTTGTCGAGATGCACGGAACTGCCCAAAATCAATTCGATATCTTGCGGGTGTGTTAAAAATACCAGCACTTTTGTTCCAAAATACACTCTTCCTACCGATCTGTATTGTTTGTGAAATTTCATAGCAAGATCGTACATTGAATGAGGATCTTGTCCTATACCCAAATATGCGTTACCTATTAAAGGTAGACTTACCGGACCTGACAGTAACGAAAAAAATGTAAACGACGTATAAATAAAATTTCATCAGAAAAGAAGAAAAACTAGCAGTCGTATTGTGCGCACATACCTGGTAACTTGTTTGCAATACGAACTTGTCGAGAATTCTCGATGTAAAGATGCATTGCAATCAGCGACGTAACGACGAAGACAGCTAGCAGAGAATAAGTATTAGATAAATGCTGCACCGTTTCAAAAATCGTATCCATTGCTGTTGTACAAATTAGTGCACTATCTTGTAACAACAAAACATTTTAGTCTTCGGTCTTACTATATAATTTATATTGAATAAAAGTTATAAAAGTATACAACATTTACCTACGTATAATAGTATGTTTGTTAGATTAGAAGTTATATTCGTTACACGCGAAAAATGTTCTGTTACGTCGCAACGAGTCCTTTTCGACTACCAAACAGTGAATGCAGTACAATATTCTTCAAAATCAATGTTATATACTTGAATAACAGGAAACGATTGTGTTTGTATGTAAATTTGCATGTTTATTTATACGATAATGTTTAAGTACAATTGCTGATTAGTGCACCGTGTTAAATTAAAAAAAACGCTCTTTTACGTAAGAAATCGTAAAAACTGTAGAACAATTGTAAGCGATTTACGATAAAACGCACTTAATTTTGACGGTATATATTCTTTTCAATAAAAAAGTAAAATAAAATAATTACTTATTATATATTTTTATATTGCCTTTAATTTTCATGGTCCTTTTTTTAATTTTACGGTCCGCTAATATAATCACCGATGATATCTGGCTCATTATCATTGTCGGTTTTTTGTGGATGACACAACACAATATTATTCAGTAGTATTTGAAAAGAACTTTTCCACATTGAAAAGAGACGTAAATATACCGCATGTATAATCTATATTAAACATTTCGTCTTTTTGTACTTTGCACGAATATGCGTATACTTTTGAATACATACCGCATTTCCGTATACATATGTTATGTCATGTAGTAATTGTGAAGAACATTCTGGGTACATAATTGTTAAATCGTCGCGATTGAAAAAAATGCCAGATTTTGAAAAAAACTCATTAATGAAAAATACTTTTCTTCCGTTAAATTTCGATTTAATGTGACTGTAATGTATATTAAATATATAACATTAAATAATATACAATATATGATATAAATAATATATTAAATAATATATATTATACATATAATTTAGTATATATTTATAATGTTATACTTTATATTATATATTATATATATTATATACATACTACCGTAAGGTCACTGACCTCGGTCGCGTGATTGCGGCGAGGTCAATGACCTCGGCCGCGCGGCCTTGGCGTGGTCATTGACCTCGGCCGCGCGGCCTTGGCGGGGTCAATGACCTCGGTCGCGCGACTGCGGTGGAGTCACTGACCTCGGTCGCGCGACTACGGCGGTGGTACTAACTTCGGTCACGTGAGTACGGTATATATTGTGACCATCGCATAGTTTAGTTTAGTTGCTAAGTGGTTTCGGGAAAACCTCCTAATTTATCTTAGGTCAGCAATTAGCGATAGGACCATGATGCACCTTCGATAGGACCACGACGCAAGCGATAGGACCATGATGCACCTTCGATAGGTCCACGACGCAAGCGATAGGACCANGACGCACCGTCGACCCTTCGACATACCTTACCATATAAGGAAATCTCTCACTCTTATTCTAACACGTAATCGAGTCTAGAACATTCCAGGTTGTTTTCGAACACTCAAAAGATGTTATCGAATAAGGAAAATTCCAGAACCTTCGATAACCAACCCCAGGCCCTATAAAACGCGCCCTCGAACCGAGACCGCAGTCAGTCAGAATCGAGCAGTCAGATACATACAACCCACGTATTTCAAGCCGTACTCGCCATCTCGGTCGCGCCTTTTCTCACATAAGTAATACTTAGTGAATGATAAGTGAAATATTGTAAGAAAAGACATTGTAATTGTGAAAGTAAAAATAAAATTGTTTTTATTTTTAATTAACTGAATTCGCAAATCTTACAATATATATACATATATGCGTATGTGTGTGTATTATATATAGATATAGAATATATTACATATAATATATATAATATTCTCTTTTTTACCCTTTTCCCTTTGTTACATTGACTTTAGTCACGTGTTGTTTTTCCACTTCTCTCTCTCACTATTTTTTGAGTTTGATATTCATGCGTTATTTCTGACATTTCTCATATGTGTATTATATAGTTTATAAGACGTATATACTCTCTGTCATCGCGGTGACAGGTTGTGTTCACTGACAACACATTAAATAAAAATTACAATAGCGTGCGCGTAGCGCGCGCCTGTGTTGTGCTAGTGTAGAAAAAAAAAGAAGGCAAATCAAGTGCCCGTATAGAAGTGCGTTTGCATCTCATGACGATCGTGCGTACAATGCTTCAGTCTTGCGCTTCGCAGGCACCTGAGTGTCGACAACCAACTACATATAATAAGCGTACGTTAAGTGTAAGCTCGAGTGTAACAAGAGAACTCTTGTTACACTCTTGTATAAGTAAACATTGTTGATCGAATTTTTCGATATTCGATAATTCTTCGAATGTGCGATAGAATACTTGTTACTACCGATGTGTTCCGTCACGAGCTAACGAGGAAAATAGGAATCTTTTTCAGTGTATGAGAATGTAATTTATGAAGCATAATTCTCGGATGTGTCATGTTCAATACAGGTAAAAGAAACATGAAGAGAAATAAATTAGAAATTATTATTTAAATTGTACATATGTTAATTTATATGTATATATGTCAGAATATTATTTTATCTTAATTATACATATGTTATAATGTCATATACATATATCTATAAATGAGAATTGAACATTAAACCGCTCAAATCGTTATTGTACTTACATTAGTTTAAAAAAAACATTACACACTCCGTGTTATTAAAACAACGTAAGATGCGAATATGTCATACTCTTTATTTCGTAGTATTTTATTTGGTGACACGATATTTATAAATAAATTTAATAGAACAATAATCAACTAGATTAAATAGATGTAAATATAAAAATAAATATCACAAGATGTCTTACAAGTACATTCTTGTGAAAAAAAATAAAGAAGCGAATCTTTCGAGAGAAAGTTGAAAGGAAATAAACTGGATAAACATATGTCTTAATAAAATCAATGTGACAACCGCTACCTGACGAAACCTTTGATACAATAACACCAGTGAACTTTTCTTAAGCCTAAATACAGATTAGTGATCAATCGCGATTGATCGACAATTTACGCTTTTACAGAAATCGGAGTCGAGTTTGATTCGGGAGACGCTGCCGACTTGCGCGGCTCGATTCTGATCATAAATCCGTTGTCCTTTTTCAGGATAATGTCAGCTCGCAGCTTGAAATCTTTGTAATGTTCGTCGGAAATGATGCGATAATTTCTCAATATTGTCGACAGTAGAACCTTTAGCTTCAGCATGGCGTATTTACGTCCCACGCACGACCTTTGAAATTATAATATCATAGTCAAACAGAATTCATATGTTGCAGTAAATATTCTTGCGCGATCCGTAATTCTATATAGTTTAGTAATATAATTATGTATAATTTGAAACGCGTTCTTTGATTTTGTATTAAATACCTTGGTCCGGCGCTGAAAGGAATATAAGAGTAATACGGTCTTTTCTGCATCCTTTCCGGTAAGAAGTTATCCGGATTGAAGTTCTCGGGATTCGGGTAGAACTCCTCCAAACGATGCGTCGCCACTTGCGCAATCACTATCGTGACGTCCTTCGGAATCACGTAATTGTTCGTAACTAAAACACATAAATAAATTTAAATAAATCCTGTGATTGCTTATCAAGTTTTTGGTTTCTTGCAATAAAATGTGTTGCGTTTGAATTACCGTACCTAACTTAACATCTTCGTTAAGACGCCTGGCAATTATAGGTACCGGCGGGAAAAGTCTCAAAGTCTCCAGAATTACTCTTTCGAGATATTTCATTTCCATCGTGTCCGAGAAGGTGCACTGTCTGTCGCTGTCGCCAAAAATCGCGTCCAGTTCTTGGTGCACGCGAGCCTGCGTGGGAAAAAGTATCAAGTAAAAAAACAGCGATTTCTCTGGTTCAGAGAGAATGTTCTTTTTTTTATTTTTTTCTAGCGAATTGTTAGCATGTACGCACCTGTATATCAGGCAAACATCCCAACACGCACAGTACGAAACTAGAACCAGCCGCTGTGGTGTCGTGTCCCTGTAATATGACAATTAACGCATTGTATTAACAACTACTGATCCTATTAACGTAATGCGCATTAGTTTTTAATAAAAGAAAAAAAGTGAAATTGGGAAGATGAATTATAAGAAGATTAATTGAGAAATATTCATATGTGCCCAAAAACTGTGACACCTCAAACATGATGGTGTTCACTTCTTCCCAGATTTCTTCGTCAGTCATCTGTCCACCTTGCTGTTTCATGGTAATTAACGTTTCCAGAAAGGCAAGTCGCTTTTTGTCGCCCACATCGTTTTCGTCGATGTCATCAAGATCGTCTTTAACGTAGTGCAACTTTGTGTAATTGGAGGTATCGCTTTTCACATTTTTCGTCGGCTTTTCGTTTTGCTGGTTTTCCTTCTGTCCAGTCTCAAGTTTCTTTTCGACATCTTCCGATTTCACTTTGATCACGGTATTTGTTACCGCGTGAACAATTTTAAGGAGTTTCTTTTGAAGACGGTAATACTTGGTTAACTTGAATGCCACCAAACACCACATGTCATAATGTCTTCGATGTATAATATCGGACAATCTGTACAATCAAACAATTTTTACGCAAGAAATGTATTTTTTATGGTAGTTTTATATATATTTAATAAATACAAAGATACTGATACAAGACAGAAATATTTGGTTACTATAATTTTGAAGAAACAAACTATAACTCACTTCATTACAGCCATGGCATAATCATATCCGGATTTTGGCCGTTTCTCTCGTTTAACTCCCATTACTGTTTCGGTTAAAATATCAACTGTTACTGCCGACAAATAATCATGACAATCAAAGTCTTTTCCAATTTTATCGCGAAGCCGTCTTACGAGTTCTATGCTGTTTTCGTAAAACAGAGGTACGAAAGACTTCAGGACACTTATGTGAAACGTAGGTGCTATCACTTTTCTGTGCCTGTACCACTTTTTTCCACTTGTAATCAGCAAACCGTCGCCAAGCCATGGTTGAAAAAATCTGCAGTAGAAGGTTTAAGCAGATTCTCGGTATGACACAAGAGAATATTAACAACAAGATTAAATATGAAAATATCAATGTTGTAATTGGGTAACGGTTCCAAGTGTTAAATATTTCTGAAAATAAAAGATAGACCGATTGGATCCAAACACGGTTTTTGGTGTCTACAGTTGAATTCAGAATTTATTATTATTACCTAATTACAAACGTACTAATACTTTACAACTGACACTTCAACGTGCGGTTGACCATCACAAGTTTTAGCTTTCTTTGACATCGGTTTTCTTTACTGATTTCTGATTTATTCATTAAGAAAAACCGAAACTACAATTGAAACGTTTGTAATTAGCTAATAAAAAATATTCATTCTCAATTCAACTACACTCCAATATTTGTCCAATCGTGTTTGGATTCCAATCGGCTTAATTTTTACTTTCAGGAGTATTAAATATATATATATATATATATATATATGAAACTTTATATATAAAACTAATGTGTAAAGTAGTATTTTATAATTGTATCTGAACCATTCTTTTATTACCGATATTCTACTGATTTGTCGAGATGCACGGAACTGCCCAAAATCAATTCGATATCTTGCGGGTGTGTTAAAAATATCAGCACTTTCGTTCCACCATACGCTCTTGTTACCGATCCGTATTGTTTGTGAAATTTCATAGCAAGATCGTACATAAAATGAGGATCTTGTCCTATACCCAAATATGCGTTACCTATTAAAGGTAGACTTACCGGACCTGACAGTAACGAAAAAAATGTAAACGACGTAGAAATAAAATTTTATCAGAAAAAAAGAAAAACTAGTAGTCGTGTATTGGGCGCAAATACCTGGTAACTTGTTTGCAATACGAACTTGTCGAGAATTCTCGATGTAAAGATGCATTGCAATCAGCGACGTAACGACGAAGACAGCTAGCAGAGAATAAGTATTAGATAAATGCTGCACCGTTTCAAAAATCGTATCCATTGCTGTTGTACAAATTAGTGCACTATCTTGTAACAACAAAACTTTTTAGTCTTCGGTCTTACTATATAATTTATATTGAATAAAAGTTATAAAAGTATACAAAATTTACGTACGGTAATGGTATGTTTGTTATTAGAAGTTATATTCGTTACACACGAAAAATGTTCTGTTACGTCGCGACGAGTCTTTTTCGTCTGGTAAACAGAGAATGCAGAACAATATTTCTCTTCATATTCACTTTTATATGCTTGAATAAAAGAAAATGATTGTGCGTTTTTATGTAAATTTGCATAGTAGTTTAAACGTTAATGTTTATATACAATCGTTGATTAGTGTAACGTAGTGACTTCAGAAACATGCATTTACGTCAAAATTGCAAATAATTTAAAATTAAAATAACGTGAAACACAGAAAACATAGAAACTGTAGAAAAACTAAAACTCGTTCGCAAGCGATTTACGATAAAATACACAGAATTTTAACGTTGTCGTATTTTTTTTCAATAAAAGAATAAAATAAAATAATTACTTATTATATATTTTTATATCGTCGCTTGTCTTTAAATTTCATTGTTACGTTTCGATAATATAATCACTGACATATCTGGCCGATTATCATCGTCGGTTTTTTATGGATGACGCAACACAATAGTATTCAATATTATTAAAAAAATCGATTTTTCCACGTTGGAAAAAAACATAATTATACCGCATTTATAATTTATTTACCATTTCATTTTTTCATACTGCGCACGAATATGCGCATACATTTGAATACATACCGCAGTTTTGTACACATATTTTATTAAGTGTGAAGAACGTTCTAGTTACTTGATTGTTAAATCGTCGCGAGTGGACATAGTGTCAGATCTTGAAAAAAATACTCATTAACGAAAAATACTTTTTTTCCGATAAACTTCGATTTGATGTAACTATTTTTTGTGTGTGTCGACTCATCAAAGAAAACACGTGCAATCATAAATACACGAAAGACTTTGAGCCAATGTTATATCAGTTCAGGTTTGGAAGTTTTAAGAGATGGAGTGTGATAAGATTATGCTTCCTTCAGGCTTTCGAACATTACAGTTTGATAACATGTGTACACAATATTACACATGTAAAAATCATGTGGTTTTCTAAGATACAGATTACGTACTAATTATACCCAGTAATCACATTATCAGGAAGAAGACTATAAAGACTATTGTTTTGTAACAAATGTTTTAAACGTGCAACACGCGCTTCGCACTCGCATGACACACTGACTTATACGAAGAGAAAAAAAGAAAGTTGCCTTTGAAATTTTTGTGCTCAAAAAAATGTAACTGTCACGTGTATTAAAATTTTCGATACAACAATAAAAAGAAAGTGCAGAAAAAGAAACATAATTAATTGTTTGCAACAGATTGTAAGCAACGGCACAGAGAAGATATTCGTCGCGATTTTAATTTGCAAGGCGCGCGGGTGAAAACGAAAACAAGCTGGTGGATCTTGCGAAGGTTCGCTTTGTGAAACTGTCGCGTAAAATCGCTGACAAGGTGCAGGGAGCTAGTGTTTGGTTGGTCCATTGAGTGTTTTTTTCGGCATTGCGCCGACATTGGCTTTCGATGTCTCGACGGATAGACGAGCTATCTTGACTAACGCCGCTTTCCAAGCGGATTTCTCTGTAAAATTAAGTAATCCCCAAAACGTTTGTAATTATAGTTGTAAATATAGTAATAAATTCTTTTAATTATTCACACAACTACACACTAACAACCGTGTTTGGATCCTCCAATCGGCTTATCTTTTATTTTCGGAATTAGATAAAACTTGGTTTTCCACATAAGCATTCACGTATTTTTTATATATAATTATTTTTAAACAATGAAAGATATTATTTTCTACAAAACCATACGCCTCGTGCAAAAATCTACATATGATTACAATAACAAATGATTTTATTGTTTGTGCATAATGCACACAAACAGCTATCAGTCTTGTTGTAAAAAAAATACTCTTTTCTTTCACTGGAGGAAAATAAAAAAAAAATAAAATAAAATCATTTCCTTGACTTCTTCTTTCTGTTCTCTAGCTGCAGCAGTCCAGCAAGTACGCCCGTAAACCCTGCGTTGTTTTCTATCTTAACATTTGTATGACATATGTATCGAGACTCGTCAGCCCTGATATTTCGATAATCTGTTAAATCGTCTTCGACGTTCGGTCCGGAAACCAGAGCGCCATAAAGAGTCTGCGGATTTATCACATTTTGTTGAATCATTTCCTGTTCACAAGGAACCGGTTTACTTGGGCACGAAGACGCTAAGTGACGTGGCTGTTTTGGCGAAGTCGCATCGTATCCGACCACGTAACTTCTTCCTAAACAATTAATTCGAAGATGTGGGTCGTTAACGCGGTCGTAGTAATTAGACATTCAGAACAAAATTCAAAGTTGAGAAATCGCAAACCTCGTTTGGATCGTGCCAATAATTAAGTAATCAATCGTCAAAAATGTAAAGATACTAATTTCACTGAGTTTTTTCGATTATTATTATTATTTTTTTTTTCGATAACTTACCTGATCCCATTCCCAGCATATAATTAATTTGTTGCTTGGCGAAGATATAATATCTTTTGTTCAAGTCGTCAGTGGCAGAAGTGGCCGCCACCAAGCAGAGAAAAGCCACGTTGGCGGCGAGAGGAAGAGCGTCTTCCTCGGAAAGATATACGAGACCTCTTCTCGTGCGCCGACGATAGTTCGTCATGGTATCGCAAAATCTGTAACTCGGAGCGGCTAATTGTTTGATCATCTGAGCCACCACTATCTGCAAGAATTTAGTATAATTATTAGAGAAATTATAATTGTGTAATTTTTTTAAGAGAAAATTGCAGAGAGATTTGTTTTACAATATATTGCTTCCGAAACGGAAAGGATTAAAAAAACTAATGTGTTTTTGAAGTCACACACAACATATCATTGTCACACTGTTGTTGTTTGCAACACAAATTAGATACATCTGCAAATATATATAACGTAGTATCAGAATTAATTTGTATATAATCGAGAGATCTCTCGGGATATTTATACCTGTATGCCGGGTAATTTGTTTTTATAAGAGAATGTCGAGTTTAAAACCGACAAATCTAATTTCACGTAATAGTTCATAGCTTTTCCGAAATACATGATGTCCTTTGACGCCTTGTACAGCCAGATCGTAGCCCACGCCATATCGTTGTCGTAAGTAAGATTTTCGAAACGATCGGACATCCAAGCGAAGTGAGAGCCGTTATACTTGTTCGCAAATTTGTACAAGTTTTTTGCGTGGTTTAGACACTTTTTGCTATACGAGATTTCGGAAAAGATATCTTTGAAGACGATGCTCGCGGAAGCTAATGCGGCGACCGTTTCGGCGAGAACGTCGGACGCTGCAACCGCAAGTAAGACAAAAGTAAATAATTGCGTTGTGAAAGTTTGCTGAAGTTTTTTTTTAAGTTTATAAATAAATTTTGAGCGTGATTGAAGTATTTTATACCGCACACACTCACCGGGATGTTGAGAATCGGCTTTGTACGCTTGTCTTGTGTGGTTCATGTCTTCCGGTCTTCCCCAATAATTGTTTTCAATTGTCTCGGAACCCACTTTTATGTAAAACTCGTACTTTTTTTTGTGACATTTTAGAAAGTAATCGGTAGCCCACTTGATAGCTTTGTAAGCCTCGTCCAATTGACCCGCTTCCTTGTAACCCTCCGGCCAGGTGAGCACACTCCACGCTAACATTGTCGTGGTAAAAGCCGTTGGAAGAGTATATTTAATATAATTTCTTCCAACTAGAAAAAAAAAAAGCAAATTGTGACAAAATTTTGTGAAAAGTCCGTGAAAACAATTTAGTTAATTTTTGTAGACTCTGTTTTTCTTTTTTTTTTTTTTCAGAAAATTATAGTGCGACATTGAATGTATCACAATATTACAATACAACGTTTGTCTGTACAATCTGAAAACGATAACGAAAAATTTTTCTCTTATCTATTCACGTTATCGTTGTCGGACCCGTAACCTGGAAAGTTTTCACTACGGTAGTTGTTCGATTCATTCAACATCCAAACTAGTTTTAATTTTTGTCTGTAATCGCGATGGCGTTATCTTTAGATCGTTACAATTGTAATATCCTCCGGTTAGATCTTCCCCGTCATGGCCGCGATCATTCATCGCGGAATCGCCTCGCCACGGAATTCTGTTGTCCTTCGGTAGCTTGCCGGAACGCTGAGCTTCGAAGAACAAGAACGAAAGTTCCAAAGCTCTCGCGTATTTCTTCTTGTTCCTCGCAGCAATGGCTATCTCCGCATAATCTTCTTTGATCGACGTGTCATCCATCTCATCCTCATAGTCCTCGATTGTGCTATCGGATTCCGGACCGGGGTTTGCTTCGCTCATCGACGTAGCGAACGTTAGAATCTGTCATTGATATACGCATATACGATTGTTTACAACGATTTTTTTTTTATCGTAAAGCAAGTTTCATATCTACGAGATAGTCGGATCTTTTCAGAGTAGCGGTCATTACGTAACGAGATGATTACAACGTGTAATTCTACACGGAAAAAAAAAGTTTTGCTATACGGTTAGCAAAAAAAATGATTGACTCTACGAAATTTTTTGTTTCATCAACAATATGTTTTGTTGGCGAAACAAAAATTTTGATAAACTTAACAAATGTTTTTTTGCTGGCCATATAGTAACTAATTTCTTGCTATTCTAGCAAATCTTTTTTTTTCGTGTACGTGTGTATATATTCTGTCTTTTTATTCTATTTCTAACGTTGATTTTATCGAACGTTTTTTGTTGTATCTATCGAAATTCAAGAAATGAAAAACGTTTAATTGTACGTCGATACGTATTGTCGAGTCTTTGAACTATCATTTATCAAAGAGTTCGCGCGGTTCAAAATTGTCTAGTTGTCGAGTTGTTGCGTTGACACGCGTTTCCATTCGCAGCACGTTTGTAGCAAGCGCGAGTCTAAAACCCGTTTTACAATACAATTCGTATGTATAAAGCTATTTATCTAGCTCGGTTCGAAAATCTGCCACGTATCAGTGAATTGTCACAGAAATATATATTGTATGTGCGTATGAAACGCGGATTTCGATGAGGATTTTTTTTTCATTTAGAAATACAATGAAGAAAACTCACCGTAACGAATATTACGACGACGATCTGCATCCTGCAATTTTATATTTAAGCCGCTTCTCAACAAAGATACATTGATATCTCACAATAGAAACACTATTTCTTGTTCACTGAACAATAGTGTGGGAACGCGCGTTACACGAGTCGAGAGAATTTGATCTTTTTCTCTACCACCCCACTTTTATTCCTCGAGCCTATCGTCTTTCTTTCCTTCCCTCCAACTCACTCAGTTGGATTTCAGGTTTTTTATCTCTTAGCGGTTTATCTGCAGCTGTAAATTCCTTATTACAAAACTCAAAAATCCGTAATACGAGAGTGTAAAGATAAGCAAAAAGTAATATATATATGACGATGATTTGTATAATACACACATATTAAAAATTTGCACAAAAGTGCGAGAAAGGAGTTATATGTATTTAATTTTGTCAAACATATGACGAACATGTTACACGTTTATATTAAATATAATTGCAAATGTGGATGCAAAATGTTATTATCTACAAAGAATTTTGTGATTAAAAACAAACGTTTCTTAAATGTGCGCAAAAACTTTATTCTCGCTTTTTCCTAAATTTTATTTATAACACACAATAACAATTATACATGTTATTTTAATATCATGTATACGTAATATTTTCTATTACTTTATTTTTTTTTTTTTAACGTAAGTAAGAATTTATAATATATTTTTTAACGTAGTGTAAGAATTTATAATATATAACAAAAATTATACATGTTAATTTAATATTATGTATACGTAATATTTCGTTAAAAATATGTTATTGTAGTATTTAATTACGTATTCAACTAATAACACAGCCACACAAAAAAAAAAATTTCTTTGGCCTGGGGATCAGACCATGTTTATTATATGTTTTTGGGGTCGCTGAATCCGAATCCGAGGTCCATTAAACCCCATCGGGTCGGAGTTCCGCCATAACCTCAAAAAACACCATAAACTGAGCTCGAAACCCGAAAGTTGGCTTATTCCTGTGCCTGCCATAACGGCATGAAACCCGTAATCCAGGGACTCAGCCGGATAGCGGTACAACTCCGTTGCCCGCCGTCACCGCGTGGAGG